TAAGCGCCAAGGAAAACAATGAACCCAACAGATAAGGATCCAGCTCACTGTAAATAAAAGGCAATTAGCTTCACGCACCAGTGCAAGGTGTCCAGGGAGGTCCCTCACTGTGTGGGACCTGGAGCCTGCAACCAGGATTCAAAGCCCTTTTTCATCAATCACTAATGGACGACACTGGACAAGATATTTCAATTCACTCAGACTAAGTTTCCTCATCTATGACATGGGGATTGTTACTCCCACAAATCCAAGGCCTATGATGTGCCAGGCTCAGGTTAAGGTCTCTGTGTTCTAGAACAGTGACCAGGTCCACTGTAAGGAAAATATTTTATGCCTCGAGCCCCGTGCAGTTGCTCATGTATGTGCCAACATGCACGCACATACACGCACACAAGATAAAAGTTTTATAAAACAGTATCCTTATGGGCCTCCCCGGTGGCTCAGTGGTTGAGCACTGGGTTGCAAGTCTGCCCACAGCCTCTGCAGTGCCGGTTCGATCCCTGGCTGCTGGAGAGGGTCCCGCATGGCGTGCAGACCTCTCCTGCCGCGCCCGCTGCTCCCCTCAGCAGTGTATTTCGTCAGTCTGCCTGTTCTGTTCCCCACTCTGGCTCTGGTGAATTCTCTCTCCCTCCCACGTTTCTGACTGTACCCAATGCTTGTATAAATAAAAATAAAAAAAAATTAAAAAAAACCAATATCCTTATGATGGTATATGTTGCTTGCGATATAATCTATTACATCTGATGAAAAGAAAATTGTGGATACAACCCACCCGTGATTTCCTGGGTTGTGACCTATCATTTGACAACATGATACAGGGTATGTGATATTGTTATCAGAGTGATGAGTGAAAATAAAGTTTAGAAAGCAGGAGCCAGTGCAGAGGAAATGTCTTGTTCATTGCTGCCTCCCATGCCTGGTGTGTGCACGGGGCATGTAACTGGCACATGTTGGATCAGTGAAAATATGGCAGATGCTGCTAGGAGAGTGTTCGCTCAAAGAGAGGGAGGTTGACTTACCAAGAATCACGAAGCCAATGTTCAGCAGAGTAATGATTCTATGTAGGTGTCCCAGCTCTCAATTTCCTCTCCCCTCTTCTTCAAGCAGGATGGAAACCAGCAGAAGACTAGATGGGGGAGGCGTGGGCAGGAGAGCTGCAGATAGTCTTACCTGCAGGAAGGTAGAATTACAGGTGTGTGCCCCTATATATACAGCTGCCCCTCGCTGCCAACGTCTCCTCCAATTATTGTCTGGTTCTGTTTTTTGGGACTGTTTTCTTGGGGGTGGAATATTTTTCCCTTTGGGCACTCTGTTTTCCTTTTCTGGCTGTGGGGTGGTTGTTGTTCTTTTTCCTAATAGGTAGAATCCCAAATGATTTGACATGGGTGGTCACACTTGTGCCAGTAAATACAAGGCCCCTGTTTTTCCCCCCTTTGGATCAAGAGATTCCTTAGTTAGAAATTAACTGAGAAAGCAGTGCCAGGTGCTGGCTTTTCCTTGGGCACTCACAGGGACAGGGTTTACCCAAGTTGTCAGGCAGAGGTGGGTATCTGAAGTCGGTAGGCTCCAGGAGAAATCCGATGTGCATCGTCCCTACTGGGATGTGCACCCATGGCCACTGGGGTTCCCTGTCCTGAAAAAGGCAGCTTCTGAAGGACCCCCATCTTCCTGGGCTCAGTCAGGTCTCCTGGGGTCCAGACATGAGCAGGAGAGGAGCTGAAAATGGCTGAAGGTCAAAGCCAGAAGGTAATACAGGGCATCATGGGACCAGAACTTTTCTAGCAAGCCGGGATCCCGTGAGAGGAGGTGCTGGGGGACGTGGGCATTCGTGATTGACTTTGGAGCCAGGCCATCTGAGTTGTGACAGGCCATTTGTTGTGAGCCAACAGGTTAATTTCTTAGCCTTCCTGAGATCGTGTTCCTTATCCATGAAGTGAGATACCCATGTCTGGAGTTTTTATGGTGCTTAATGGAGATGATGCAAGAAAAGGTGGCAATTTCATCTGTGGAATGCTTCGGGGTCACGGGGGCGGTATATGGCAGCCCCTGGCTTCACCCCCACTTCTCCTACCCAGGTCCATGTGAATGGCAATCCAGGATGAGAAAAACCAAGCATGGGCTGAGCAGAAAATGTCGCAGTGACCCACCGCATTTGCTTTTTCAAGTCCTTTCTCTTCTTGTGTCCTGTGTGAGGCCTGAGAGCACAACCTCCTTGGCACTGTTTCATAGAAAAGCAACTTTGGGGTCAAAGAGGGAGCCCAGGATTAAAAATTTTGATACCTGTTCCCAAGCAGCACCCTGCAGAGAGTTTTAAAAATTTATATACAATCCCACCCATCCTACCCCACTACTCACAAAACTTGAGCATCATTAACTGTCATTTTTTTTTCCAAAAAAGCAAGCAATCACTCATTATTACTTATTTTTGTTATTCTTGGATGAAGAGGGAAGTTATTTTTCCATTTGTTTATTTATCCTTCTTTTCTCAGCTGGGTATTTGTATCATTTCCCTTTTTTCCCCTAGCATAAGAATGTTCCCCTTTTCCCTGCCATTGCTTCAGAAGAAAATAAAAACTCTTTATATTTCTCCCCTCCATTCTAGTTGGTGACTATTGTTTCTGGTTTGTACTTCTGAGGCCCCAGTTTGGGCATCTTTAAAGGATTAAAGATGGAACTCCAGCTGTTGTCTGGACAACAAACCTGGATCCCTGCAATTTGGGGCTGGAGTCTACTGATAGCCTAAGAACCATATTATTCTAGTTTCTGCATTTGATGTTTTTATGTCTTGAGGTTTGGCTGATCCTGGAGGCTGGTCCCTCTCAGGGCTAACCCAGAGCTAGCAAACCAGCCAATCCAGAGCCCAGCCCTACCCTCCAGGCTCACACTCAGCTTCCATCCCCTGCCTCCATCAGCCCAGCAGCAGGTAGCTGACCACCAGGGCCAATTCCCACATCCCAGAGGGTGCTGCAATGACTCCAGCCAGGCAAGCCTTACCCTGCCTCTTTCATGCTTGCAAAACTAAAACAAAGGCTCTAATCCACACTGCCCCCTCACACCCCCCTCTGCCTCCTGGCTAACCCTGGTCCCCTGGGCAATTTCTCCCATGCCCTCCCCATGGTATGGGGTGATCCTCCCCCTGGGTTCTGTGAGTATAATAAACTGTCTTTGCAGGGGCAGTCCTCGCCTGGTTTGTTGGCCTTGGCATAGCTGCATAATAATACAATCCATGTTTTAAAACTATAAGCACCATCCTAGCTTCTCACAGTTGGACCATCCTGGGGCATTCACTACCTGTCCATTTTTCTACTCTTTCTCTCAAAACTCCACCCCTCCCCTGTCCCTATATGCTTGATGTCTTCACAGCATATTTCATTGGCATCACTAAGGGTGTTCCCAAATTCAGTAAATGTTTTTCTCTTTATTGTAACTTTCAGGTAAGATAAAAAAAAAATCAATCTCAGTAGTTCCTTCCCTGTTGGAACATTCTTCTCTCTTAGCTTTTAAATATGGAGACTTGAACTTAATAATCTTGACACTTGTCACTTACTGAGTGCCTCTCTTGGGTCAGACACTGTGATGGGAGCTTTTATATCCATTGTCTCATGCATGGAAACACAGCAGCCGTGTTACTGAGAAGGCTATTATACAGCAAGGTTGAGTAACTTCCCCAAGAATAATACACAACTGGCTAGTGTGAGCCATACTATCTGGTGCAAACTCCAGACTAAAGCTCAACTCTCTCAGATTTACCCCTATGATCTATTGCACTCTTTAGTGTAAGGAACATTCCATGCTCAGCTATGAGCCTTAGAGGGATAAGATTTTGTAGATCTATTTTGAGTGAGTGAAGCTAAGGTCTGGAGGCTTCTGGAAAAAGGCATCAAACAGAAATCACAGGATGAGAATGAGTGTGTGTGTTAGAGGAGGCAAAAAATGAGCAAATGGTGAGACCTCCCACATGGAGGGGTATCAGCTGCTGCCCTCCATATACTGCTTCTCCCATTCTGAGCCCCTACCTCCTAATGTCCAGTTAGCCCTGGGGGACCTGCAGGTAACACAGCCAAGCCCTGAGTCGTGGCCAGTGGGGGCTCCATTCCGCATGACTAGTCCCAGCAGTCACCTTGCACCTCTGCTTTGACTGGCAGCCATGTGGCCTGAAGACTGAGGCAAGTGAGCCCTGTGTGTGCTCTGAATACTAACTCCTGCGCCATGAAAGCGTCAGGCCCCAGTGGAGGGCCCCCGGCTATTCCCTGCTGGGATGTGGACAGGTCAGGGTTGGGGCAGGTGGCGGTGCAAGAACTGACTCTAAAGGCCTGAAAAAGCACAAACTGCCTTTATGTTACACGATGGGTGACAAGTAGAGAGGACGTGTGGAGACCTGGGTCCCTAAAATAATAGCCACTCTATAGTTGAGAAGTGGTGGGTGGCTGTAAATGGAGGTGGAAGTGGGTGGAGTCACGTGGAAGTGGGTGGAGTCATGTGGGGGAAATGGGTGGAGTCACATGGACTGGTGTGACTGCTTCTGCTTCACAAGGAAGGGAACTGAGGATTCCCCTAGTCCCTCGCTTGAGAGAGTGTGCAGGTCACTTACTGAGATGTGGAAGACTGGAGACAGGTCTGGAGTTGGAACTTCATGTCAAAATACAGTGTAAACAAGTCAGTCCACCGCATTTGAAAGGTCTTAGCCAAACTCGGAGAACTCAGGTCTGCTGGAGCTGGCTGCAGACTTTCTAGAGTAAGACTGCCTGGGATCGTAAGGGCTTTCTAGCTGTGTGATCTGGACTCTTTGCTTTGGCTTCTTCATCTCTGTAAAGGACATCATGAAACCAGGCTCCCAGTAATGTGAAAACGAGACAAATGCCCAGCATGTTGTAAACCCTCATTAAGTGTTGCTTTTATGGCTTCCCTCACAGCCCTGTCTGAATTCCAGGTCAAACAGCTCTTCCAAGCCAGCACCAATGAGGAGCAAGAGAGAATGAGTAAAACAGGACCAAAGCCATTCTAGGACCTTTATTATCCAGCCCCCACCTAACCACCAAAATGATATATAATTTTATTGAAGTAGATCTGCTCAGAAAATGATGCCAGAACCTGGAAAAGTGGCATCTTCTCTCCTGGCTTTGGAAAAGCTACAATTCTTCCTTTATTTCTGGTTTCTTCTCTGATCTTGGAGGCCCCTTTGGCTTAGCCACTTTCTCCTCCTCCTTAGCTGCTTCCTTCTGCCCAGCTGTCTCATCCAGCTTGGCTGCCTTCTCCAGCACAGGCAGCTTCTGTTCAGGTAATTGCTGCTCCATGAAATGCACCTCCTCTTCCTCAGCTAATACCTCCTCTTCTATCTCTTCATTTTGCTCGACAGATAGTAGCTATTTAGGAAGGGAGAGGTGGAGGGAAGGAGGAGAATAATGAACTTGAAAGACAAGAAACGTGTGATAATCGTGATTTCGCTGACCAAGCCCTCCTTCTCTGAAGTGCCCAGAGAGAATCAATCTTTAAACTCAAGGATCCAGGCCCCCCCAGTGGTACAGCGGTTGAGCGCTGGGCTGCGAAGCTGCCCGCAGCCTCTGCAGCACCAGTTTGATCCCCGGCTGCCGGCGAGAGTCCCACGTGGCACGCAGACCTCTCCTGCCGCACCCGCTGCTCCCCTCAGCAGTGTGTTTCATCAGTCTGCCTGTTCTGTTCCCCGCTCTGGCTCTGGTGAATTCTCTTACCCTCCCGTGCTTCTGACTGTACCCAGTGCTTGTATAAATAAATAAATAATAAACCTTTATATAAAAAAATAAAGTCAAGGATCTTCCTCTAGGCAAACATCCTTTTGGTGTTGGGTGTGGAAGTGCTCAACTGTGGTTTTGCCCTACTGCTAGCAGGACTTGTGAAAACCACCCTTCCTGCTTCTGTGTCAAGGTGTGTCTTATGCCAGGTTCCAGGGTGGGTCATGTGAGCCTAGCCCAGTTAATGAGATCCTTGTCCAGGACATTTGCTGGGACTACTAAGAAGTAGGTACTTTCTAAGCTGGGAGGATGTTGTTTTAGAGCTTTGGGGCAAGCTTTGACCCTCCATAGGGAAATAACTGAGCATGAAGCCGGCATAAATAAAACAGAGATGGGGAAACAGAAAACATGTTGGAACTTCTGGATCCACCCAGACCTGATGTTCTACCAGTTTTATGGGTTAAATTTCCGTTGTTGCTTAAGCCAAGGAGTAGTGTTTCTGACATTTGTAACTTAAAGGGTCCTGACTAATACATATGGCACCTTTCAGCAGATGGCCTCACTGTGGGATGCAAGGGTTTAGGAAGAGAACTAGGTTTGTCAATCCACTAGGAGAAAAATTCCAGAAGGCAGGACCCCATAAAAGCAACTGGTTACCAATTCAAGTACAGTGGACCCAGACCAGGGAAGCAGCCACAGAAGCTGGATGAGACCTCAGAGCCCCTGGCTTTCCCAATTTGTCTAAAAGTCTGCCATTTATACTTCTTTGCAGTAGTGCCCTTGAAATAAAGTCACCCAAACTGGTGGATATTCATCTGTTCTCTGCTCTCTCCAGATTAGGAAGCTCTTGGAACACTCTTTCCCAGTCTCTCTGAGTTCTTGGTGATTCAATCCACGGTCCTATTTCACCCTTACCTCATCTTCATCCTCAATCCTGGTCTTGACTTGACTTTCCAGAAAGTCAGAAAAGCCCTTCAGAGTGTGTTCTCCCTTATATGGTACAGCCTGGGAAGAAAACGGAACAGGATCAAAATGTTTCTGCAAAACACAGGAATTGCTGTAGGTAAATCCAGGGTCAAATTCCTAGCAACCTGAGTATGCTGAGTAGGCCTTAACTTCTCTCAACCTCCATGACCACGGCTTCAAGAGAATATAGAAATGCTTCCAGCAGCCCTTCTAGGCTCTGACCTTGGCTTCACCGCTTAGCAGTGTGTGGGGTCTGGTTATTTAAACTCTCTGTGAATCAGTTTCCTTATCAGAATATGAAGATAATAACACCTTGCTCATCTTTTTGTTAGAAGGATCTAATGAGTTGTTAGATGAAAAATACATAAAACAGTTCCCTGGCTCATGGTGAACAGTATGCATTTGCTATCCCTATATCATCATCATCATCATCAACATCATCAACATCATCATCATCATCATCATCATCATCATCACAGGAAGAATATTTTACAAAGCATCTGTACATAGTTGTGCTGAGTCATCATGAGTTCCCTTTCCTCTTTTGGTCTTTAAGATGATTAGCAAACAGCTGACTGCCCACTGGTTGTCTAAACCCCTCTTCAGATAACTGCAGATCTATGCCAGCCCCCCTCTCTCAACCCAGCAGACTCATCTCCCCAGGACTCCCCCACATGCATCTTCTGAGCCAGGAGGATGGCATCTCCTTCGCTGCAGTGCTGTGGTCACCCTTCTGCCCACCTCCTCACTCACATTATACTTCCTACCTAGAGTTCACATCCCTTCTTCTAATCTGACTTAAATCCCCGCTGTCCTGCAGAGTCCCAATCTGCCTGGAGACTTTCAGCCATACCTGCCCTTCAGAATGGCCCCTCCAATTCCGACTGTGCCTCGAGATGGACCTAGATCATGTCGACGTCTCTCCCACACTCATCCTTACTTTTCTGGGGGCAGGGACCTGGGTTTGCACTTCTTTGCCATTCTTTCTCATATGACAAAGTGCCATGGAGTGTGTGTTCCCTGAACACTGGTGATGTTTGATGACTATAATTTCCAGTGTGAAAGGCATTGATTGTCTCTCATGCTTTCTTTCTTCATCTGATAGCACCCTAGACCAGGTACTCATGTGGAGACACCCCCACCTTATTCCACAGAACCTGGCTAGAACTCAGCCCCAAATACTATAGGGAACCAGGTAACCAGGGTCTGACCACATGCACTTGGCCATAATGATTGGGTCAGGGGTGAGCAACTGACCTAAACTGGATACCATTGGTGCAGTTTTGGGACATTTTTAGAAACTAATCAAAAATATTCTTTAACTTGACAATGAAAGAATAATAAAGGCTAGAGCTGAAGCTTCTTTGGTAGGAAGCAATCTGGAGGTAGGGAAGAACTGAGTTTGTGATAATAACATAACATTTTCAGGCATGTGCCCCCCCAAAGGCCCTCACTTGTTGAGAGTCAGTAGGGAAGAGTTGGAAGAAGGGGTACCGGTCCAGATACATCAACTCTATGTCGTTGGCCGTGATGTCGATCTTGGCGATGGTGACTGTGGAGTGGTTTTGATACTTTGTGCCCATCTCTTCCCACAGGGGGAACAGTGCCCTGCACTTCTTAGACCAGGGTGCATCTGGAAAAGAAGGGCTGATGCTCAGGCGTGAAGACTCGAAAGCCAGTGCTCCCCCATAAACACCCTCCCTATGTTCTACTCATAAAAAGCTCTACTTCTTTGCAAGTCACATACTCCCTCTTTCTTTTAGTAGTATACTAGGCTACCTTAAGTTTCAAACATAATACCTGATCATTATGAAATAATTTAGGAAAAAATTAACTCAGTTCTCTCCCACCCAGACACTAACGTTTAACTTACTGGGGATATTTTCCTCTTTGTTTTCTCTTTAATATAGTTTTCTACAACATTTGAAGAAAATCAACAAGAAAAAATGATGCAAGGGGATTCCTCACAATCTTCCAGAAAATGTTTGTGTGTGTGTGTGTGTGTGTGTGTGCGTGCACAAGAATTTTCCAACAGTTTGATGAAGTGACCCAGTTAAGCAAGCAGAGAAAGTGGGATGTGAAGACAGCCTTGACTTGTGACCATTACACCACAGTACCTTTCAGGTCAATGGAGGGGAATGTGCCCAGAACTGAAAAGGAGGTTGTATCAAGCACAATTGCCCTTTGAAAGGGATACCAGACTTCCTTGTGGACAGTTCCGTGAGACTTGGGTTTGGCTGAGGCTCCTGGTAGTCTGGAGAGAAATCTGGGACTAGCTCCAACACAGAAGAAACTGGACGTTGCCTGCTTTCATCCCATTAAAGTTTCTGACTATGTGAGAAGAATGGCTTCAAAGACCCCAGCACTCCACATTTGGATGATCATCCTTCCATTTACAAACCAGTGCCTCCTGTCTGCCCCCTCAGCCCTCCTGGAGCCCGACGGGCCCTGGGTCAGAACAGATGGGGGCATAATGGTCATAGCTCCAGGAGGCCAATCTGCCAGCCATGCTTCCCAGAAAATGAGGTTGCTTTCTCCTTTTACCAGAACAAAATGGACATTTTCCTAACCCTGGGTGTCAGGGAAGTGCAGAAAGGCTGTCCCCAGCCTCTCATGGCTATTCAACCATGCAGATCTTAAACATCTCACCCTGTGGATGAGTCCATTTCAGTGAGATTGAAAAAAGCTGAAGGATGCAATCCAGCCCATATTTCACCCTCCAGGAAGTGATGGCATCTAAGTTCATTTTGAACTTTTTGCTTTGCAACTCACAGTGAAACCTGGGATAAGAAACCACCAGTCTGAGACCGAGTTCCCTGATCAATATCGTGGGGAAATCCACTGGATTTTTTGAGGAGGAAGTGACGGCACAGTCATTGTCGATGCTCAGTCGGGGTAAACCCTCTTAAATAAAACTTCCATGTTATCCTTATCTGTGTTTCAGGGCCAGGAGAGAACGCCCTGCTGCTTTGACTCCCACATGCAAATCAGGAACAGTGGGCCAGGTTATGGTTCTTACTAGAGCACTGGAAATATCAATAATTCTAACAATAGGAATAATAGTGGCACTAATAGCTGTCACTTATCAGGTGATTGCCATAAGCCCAGCACTGTGTTAATTACTTTCCTTGCCTGGTTTTGGTTTACCCCTACCCCCCTTTGGTCACACAAACTCGGGTGGATGAGATCCGGGTCATTTGGTAAGTCACAAAGAGGCAGAAGCGGAGCAATTTCTCTCAGCGGTTCCCAGCAGAGGCGCCAGAGTCAGGCAGTGAGGTTCCAATTTGGGTTCCAGCACTTACTAGCTGGGTGACTTTGGAAAAGTTTCCTCCCATCCCCAAGACTCCTTGAGTCATTCTGTCAAGTGGGAACAGTAATAGCTGCTTTCAGAAGTATGTGGTGAGGATTAAATGAGATCATGTCAACATGGCCTGACTGGGAGACCCAGGCAGTCAATCAGGATGATGATTTTTATTATAATAAACAGTCCACAGGCCTGGGATCATGTGTTGGGCCAATTCCTGACCCAGGATTCAACTTTGGGGGACAGCCACATTGTAGGTGACAGCATCTGGATGCAAACTCTTTGGCTATATGAACACCATCCTCACACAGACCTTTGATAGGTCTTGGAGATCTGGGTACCCAAGAAATCAGGGACAAATTTGTAATGTCAGGGTCCCTGTGGAGATACTTACAGAACATCACAAATACGTCCCTGTCCTTATCAAAGACCACTAGGTTGAAGTTCTTCCCCACAAGCTGCTTAACCGGACGCTGGTCCCAGTATTTTGGAATCTCTTCGCTGGGCTGATGTTTCTAGGAAACACATGAGAGGTTGATAGTCTTGGGGGAGAAGAGGTTAGTGGGGGATGGTGGTTGGGGGGTGGGATCCCCGCCAGACTGGAAACAACAGGAAGCTTTCTCTCATTCTTACCCAAGAGCTGGAGGAAAAGTCAAAAGAGTCTGAAGTGCTGAGATATAACGTGACTGAAACCCAGGCTTTCCTGGGTTGTCCCGCCTCAGGGTTGAGACCAGAGGGTGGAAGGGAAGACAAGGCTCCCAGCCGGGCAAAATTCCAGTATTTTGTTCTAGTTTGGCCCCTTTGGTTAGTCTGGTAACCCTTTTGTTCAGGTAGGTTGTTAGAGAAAGACTGAGCAGGACACCTGTTCAAATAGGACTTTTGGGAAAAATTGACAAGAGTCAATTTCCCTGTTTGAGCAGAGGCTGGGCAACCCAGTGGTGGTCCAATTCCCATGTTCAAATGGAAGCCACTTATGTAGCGATCCAATTTCCTCTGTTCCAACGGGCAACTCCTATCTCACCAGCTCAAGATTTCTTTTATCTCCTAAACTGGCTCAAGGGGATTGGAGCTCATGGAAAGGGCAAGGGATTATAGCAATGTGGGTGCTGGAGAAGGGAACTTAAGATGAGGCTTTCAGAGGGGCTGCCATCTCTAAAGAGCGACTGCAAGAGTAGGTGGTTAGGATGGCACAGGCATACCAATTATGAGAGAAGGCTAGGGTTTAGAAATGGTGGCAGAATAGGGTTGGGAGGCAAGTTGGCATGAGGAGCTTAAATCCTCAAAAAATGGACTTAAGATGATCTAAGCAAGCAATGGGTCAGGGCAGGTGCAGGTGACCAGAAGTCCAAAGGCAGGGGATCTAAAGGATCTGGGATATTTGGAGGGAAGAGGAGAAGAAAAGATGTGAAAATGGCATGGAGAACACCACCCTCACCAGCTGACCCAAGATAATACTGAGCATATGGGAAAAAAACAGCTTTCACTTGAGAAAGCTACAGGAAGTGATATCCATGGGGAACTAGACAGAAGGTAATGAAAGCTCTCCAAGATAAGGTGACCCTATATTCCAGTTTTCCCAGATAGTTCCAATTTATTCCTGTTGTTCTGGGATACTTTTTTTTTTTTTAAGATTTTTTTTTTTTATTATTTATACAAGAGCTGGGTACGGGCCAGAGGCTTGAGGGTAAGAGGATTCACCAGAGACAGAGTGGGGAACAGAACAGGCAGACCAACTGAAAGCACTGCTGACAGGAGCAGCGGGCGAGACAGGAGAGGTCTGCCCCACCATGTGGGTAGCTCCCTGGCTGGTCGAGAATCGAACTGGCACTGCAGATACTGTGGACAGCTTCATAGTGCTGCGCTCAACCTGCTGTGCCACCAAGGAGGCCCTGTTCTGGGATACTTTTAAAGAATGCCCACATTATTCTCAAAAGTGTTCCATTCTGGGAAATGAACAATTAGTTACCTAACTCAGCAGGGTCGTTGAGGAAATATCTGGTGCTAAATAAACAGCAAGTGCTATTGCATTAGGTGATCCTTCTGCAGTCTCTTCCTTTCTGCAAATAGACACTTTTCTAATCCCATGCAACCAAAGGCCCTCAAAGCCTTTGAGACTATTCTCTGTTGCTCAGTATGTTCCATCCCCTTCCCCCCGCCACCCCCAAACAAACATCTGTCCTTGAGCCAAGTAAATCTTTTACATTAGAGTCTGCCAGGAGGATACGTCCATTTTAGAGGACGTAGATTTTAGAGGATGTTAGTCCTGGGAGTGCTTGTATCTCAACTGGAAATTCCCACAAAGGAAATTCTTTAACTTTTAAGAAAAAAGAATTAATGGGTAAAAACTAGTGTTACTGCAATAAGAAGAAAAAAAAAAGACAGGGGAAAGAATGGTGAAATTATAGGGTCAGGACAGGTCAAAGGTTGACCAGATTCTAGGCAGGAAGGTGGGGTATTTCCCCACGTTGAGCCATAGATTGACCTTTTTAATCTGTGCTCCCACTCAGAGGATCAAAGTCAAGGAAAACAGGCAAAAAAAGGTGATGGGGAGGTTCTGGATACATCTGGAACTGGGGAGGTCCTGGAAACATCTTGTTCCAGAACAAACTTACCTTGGCTCTCCTGTTCAGGAAGTTATTGCTGAATTTCTTGAGGTTTTCATAAGTTATCTCATCAGAAGGCATTTTGTACCTCGCATCTGAGCTCAAGTTTAGGATTTGGACAGAGGGGATGTCAACCTCTGTGACTTGGAAGTATTCAAAGACACGCCCGTTTCTGGGTTCATCCGCATCCACGAGGATGAAGAGAATCTGTCGAATCAAAGGAAAACTGTGTCTGGGTGGATCCTTTACTGTGGGATGGGGGCTTTGGGGAGGCCATGGTAAGGCCGGAGAGGAACAGGAATATCAGGGTCCAGATGAAGCTCTGGAAGACTCCATAGAGGCACCTGCCCCCCAGCAGCCCTGCGCGGGGGGCGCACACGAGAATCCACCTGCAGGCTGGTGTCACCTTCCTTGGGAAGACAGTCCACACCATCCTAGGCAGTCAGGAGGCGCTGAGCTTTCACCTCGGATCCTTGGGGGAAAGAGTGACTCCCCTCTTTGAGCCTCCATTTCCTTATTTGTAAAGTGGTGATGGTAATGGTACCCCCCCCTTCCAGGTTTGCTCAGAGAATGAAAAAGAGCGATGCCTATAAAGGCGTGATTCAGAGACTGGTAGGCACAAATGCTCCATCCAGGTCAAAATTTCTCTTTGTCCTAAATTATGCTGTCAAGAAAACTCATTCTCTCATTCACTTGATAAATATTTGTGGAGTGTCTCCTATGGGTTATGAATTTTACTAAACACTGGGGATACAAGGCTGCCCAAAGCAGACAAAATCTGTGATCTCATGGAGTTTATGTTTTAGTGAAGAAAGACCTAATGAGTATCTAATAAATTCAGATAGTGAGTGCCAATTAGACCGCAAAATAGGGCCCGGTGATTGAGAGTGACAGTACAGGTGGGTGAGGTAGGGGCTCAGCATTGGGCAGGCAGGTCAAGAGGAGTATCTGAGGATGTGACATTTTAGCTGGGACCTGAGTAAAAGTCAGAGGAAGGGTCTCCCCGGTGGCACAGCGGTTGAGTGCTGGGCTGCGAAGCTGTCCACAGCCTCTGCAGCACCAGTTCGATCCCCGGCCACCAGCGAGGGTCCCACATGGCGCGCAGACCTCTCCTGCCACCCGCTGCTCCCCTCAGCAGTATACTTCGGTCCTTCTGCCTGTTCTGCTCCCCGCTCTGGCTCTGGTGAATTCCCTCACCCTCCTGTGCTTCTGACTGTACCCAGTGCTTGTAAAAATAAATAAATCTTAAAAAAAAAAAAAAGGCAGAGGAATGTTGATTCAGCAGTGGAAACTGTTGATGCAGAGGCCTTGGAGTAGGGGGACAGTAACTTAGAGCTGTGAATATCAGTATTTAGGACCCTATTGAAATGAGGTTGAGAGATAAAATGTACCCAACCATGCTAAAAGCATAGGACCCAACATGCCTTGCCTCTCCCACCAGAAATGATGCTATTTCTGCTCCAGTGGAGTTGAGAGGAAGTCCTGCAGGTTATTGAAGGGGGTTTTGTTAGTCTTGGATTTGGAGAAGTGCACAGGGGTCTTGCCATGAATGTACCCTCCCATTCGCCCTCCCTTCTGCTGTCTGCTTTGAAAGAAAGCCTGCTTGTTGTTGCAGTAACTGATCACTTTTGTGAGGTCAGTAAAGTATCCCAGGAATAGAAAGGAAAGGTAGTGTGACTTTTGTCCCATGAAAGAGAGCTGTGAAGTGTCAGAGACAAGGTCAGAGCACCAGGAAGGAACTTGGGTTTAGTCTAAGGAGCTCGGGAGGCCACTGAAGGGTAGTCAGCCAGTGTGGACATGATCATTTAAAAAAGATCATTTTGGTCATAGAGAAGGAGTGGCAGCCTGTGGGCCAGTTAGAGGCCATAGCAGACAGTGGGAACAGACACTCGCAGGTCATTCATCTGTCAAAATATGAAGAATCCTACTAGTGCCATAAACACTTGTAGGTCCTGGGGAGGATGTGAAAGCAAAGTGAATATATTAAGCCGTCCTTGTATACTTTCAATTAATATAGGTTAGCAGTGAACAAGATACAGGGGTGTGATCATTGATGAAACATTCATCCAACTGTTTATCTTTCACTCTAAAATGGATCACAGTCAGTAAATGGCATGCTATCTGGTGTGAAGGTGATTTAGAACCTCATCATACAATGTAGGACAACATCAATTCCACCTAGGGTAAAGAGTTAATGAACAAAAAATCTGGAAAAAAAGAATAAGTATTGACTAACGAGGTGAAAAAGAGGGAAAATAATCAAATTGTCAGAAACTTAATTACATCAACAATCTCAAAGCTTAAAAAAGACTAAACCAAGAGACATATTTACAAGAGGTATTTCTGCCATTGGACCCACCTCTTGGAGAGTAATGAGGTAGGACACAGCCTGGTTATACAATATATTTATGCCCTAAGTTTATGCCCTCTGAGTTTGAGTGTCAAGACTTTTGTTTCATTTGAATTTCAGAATAATTTTCCTCAAAAGAAAAAAAAAAACCAGTTATTATAATGGCCTCCTTATAAAAATAAGGAGAAAGATTAAATAACTAGCCCCATAGTCCAGGAGGCGGTAACTACATAAAATGTAAGGAAAGTGTTTAGGAAAATCGATGTGTTTCTAATCATGACAGTTACAGCATGTGCTTTGCATGCAGGGCAATGCCTCTAATTCTTACCACAACTTTGCATTTTATACAAGGGACTGGAGACAGAGGTAAAGAAACTCACCAAGACAAAAATCTCTTGTAAGAGGAAGAGACTTTGAAGCCAGGCCTGTGTGAGGTTAACACTAGAATCTCAGCAGCGACCTGTCAGACAATCTGTTTCTTCATACCCTCAGGTTTTTCATACTCCCAGGAGTGATCTCTCCTCCTTCTCACCTCCAGGCGTAAAGTTCCCCCCATGGTCATAATTCACTCTTAGCAAAGCTTGGTCCATCCAAAATAGCATTATGTTCCAATGGTAGACTTATCAAGAAGATGAGGGAAGAAGGAGCATAGATTTGACAAGAGAGGGAGAGACCAGCAGAAGGAAGGGGGATGGTTTAAAATTAAATAGTAAATGACATATAACATTGATATGAAAATAAGGCATTGCGAAAGAAGTGATTATGCAAATTCCTCCCTGCTTAATTTAAATGCAGCAGGGCAGGTGAATGAAATGCTGTCAGGGCCAACAGGTATTGGGGGTCGCAGTCTGAGAGCCCTAAAGGGCAATGGACTCTTTCCACAAACCTTGTTTTGAAATTCCTTTGATGCCAGCTTATAATGCTGCATTATCATTCCAAATGACTCTGAAGCTTTGGAGGCGAAGAGCAGCATGTGATTCAGGATGTGCAATTCGTAAATCAGATCCTTATTCTGAAATTACAAAGACAAGTCATCCTGTGCACCTTGTTCCCTGGGACCTGACTATGATTTTGTCACTGACCTCAGAGTTGTATTCAATCACCAGATCGGTGAGTTGCTCTCTTATGACTTGGTGGAGGATGTTTTTGTTGTTGCTGTCATTAATGAGCTCCTGGCGGTTCACAATTTTCCCCTTGGACAAAAGAAGAGAAACAGAGGAGGGCAGTAGCTTCCATGATCTAGACACTTAATAAATATAAATAGCACAATTTTCCCAGAGGATAAAAGGGAAATACCATGGTGACAGGGTAATCCATAATCTAGGTACTTAATAAATATGGATGGCTGGGCAGAATCGCCTGTGGGTAGAATATGGGTATGAGGCAGCCATGAAAATGTCTAATCTACAAACGGAGTATAATCAACTGAGAGCCCTCGCTGCCTTGCTCTGACATCCCTCACCGTGTCTATGCTGATGCTGTGTAGCTTTTCTCCTGCTGCTCCTAAGCAGTGACTGACTGTCTGGGATACTACAGCAAGCCCATTTCTGGCCGATGTCGGACTTCTCTGAGAGTTCACTTTGATGAACGTCCTGAGAAGGCCACTGTTGTCTACAACTTTTCATCCGAACTTCCTTCCTTCCAGAGGGTCCTTACATGGTGTTCTGACGACTCTGAATCTTTCTCACCCTGTTGTCCTTTACAGACATTTTCCCTGATAAAGCTTTGCTTGTCTAATCCTGCTTGGTGACTGCATCTCAGAAAGACCTGACCCAGCACAGGGAATGATAAAATTCTCTGTAGCCCAGGAGCCCAGTCTGTAGGGGATGGAGCAGCAGCAATCACCTCATTTTTCTCTGCTCCATCTCCCCCTCTTCATCTGCACTAACCCCACCCTCTAGTCCAAGCCGCTTCCCTGGACTGCTAGAAAGTCTCATCACGGTCTTCCAATTCCTCATCTTGTTGGCCTCCAATCCATTCCCACACTTAGCCAGAAAGATGTTGTTAAAGCGCAAACATGACCCTGTTATTCTCTTGCTTAAATACATCATAACCCCTGCTGTCCTCTAGATAAGGTGCAAACTCTGTCCTGGTATGCCCATAGTCTAATTGAGAGCTCAGGCTGTACCAGTTCTAAGCATGCTACCTGCGCAAACTCACTTAATCCTTGCAATACCGCGTGGAGCTATGTGTTATCATCTCCCCCACTTTACAGTTGAGAAAACTGAGCTGCAGAGAAGTGAGGGACTTGTGAATTTGCTAAGGGAGTCAGAAGTGGAGGCTGCATCTCACCTAGGCGGTGTGACTGCAGCGCCCATGCCTGCGATCATTGAAACATACAGCTTTCATGACTGAGCTTTCCAAGTTTGCTATTTGGCTTTTCATTTTGTGATGGGGTTTATTCTGCAGAACTTTTACATTTTTGCATGGTCCAAATTTATCAGTACCTCATTTCATAGCTGCTTGGCTTTCTATGATGTTTTATAAAGGGGTTTTCCTATGCTAATTTTAACCAGCAAAGTCCCCTGTGGCTTCTTCCAATCTTTCCATGATTTCATTCTTATGGATTCAGCTTTAGTTTAGTTTTTCAAATAGCTACTCATTTCTCTCTACTCTAGTCACTGAATAATAAATATTTTCTTCACTGACCTAAAATACCATCTTTATCATATACTAAATTTCCATCTGTATTTTAATCTGTATCTAGACTCCAGGTTGTCACATTCAAAAACACAAATCAGGCCATTTTATTCTCCCACTTTAATCCTTTCAATAACTCCTATGGACCCAAGTAAAAACACAGTGGTTAAGAATCTTCTCTGAAAGTCAAACCGATCTCATGTCACTCCACTAACCTCCTGTGTAGCCACTGAACCTATCTACAAGCATTTATGGTTGTAGTAAAAGTTTGGCTTTGTGTATGGAAGGAGTAAGGCAGCTCTAGGAAGCAGACCACTGTGTCTATAGCAACATTGTTCAGTGCAACTTTCTGTGTTGATAGAAATGCTCTGTAAGCCTGGGCAGTCCAGGTCATCAGCCACTGTCCACAGGTAGCTGTTCAGCACTTGAAATGTGACTAGTTTTATTGAGGAACTAAATTTAATTTAATTTAATGTACACAGTTGCATGTACCCAGTGGCCGCCATATTGAACAACTCAGATCTAGATCCCTGAGTGGAATCTAGACTAGAAAGTAGTCAGACTATAAAAGGTCTTCTGATGTTCATTAAGGATTTGAGTCTTCATCCTGAGAAAAAAATGAACCATAAAAGGAAAGTAAGTGGGAAGAAAGAAGAAAATGACTATCAAATCTGAATTTGGGGAAGACTGCTCTTTAGAGGGTGAGAAAGAGTATGGAAGACAGTTGCGTGGCTGTTGCAGGAGGCTGTGGAAGATGATGGCCACTTGGTTCAGGATAGCAGCATCAGAGAGAAATGGAGAGATTTTAGGGGCTTTTTGGATATAAAATCAATAGGATTGAGATGTTGGGTTGGTTAGGAGGGGCGGAGAAGAGGGAAGTGGTGTTAGATTGATGACTCTGGCTCTGTGAAACTAGATGGGACAGATGGTGGCACCATTCATTGAGAGATAAAAGACACTGGAAGAGGATTTTGGAGAGCAGTACCGAGATAGCTGGTGATAGATATAAAGTTCTGGAGATTAAAGAAATCTGGACATGGAAAATTTTAAGTCATGGGTGTGTGGATGATAATTGCTCATGAAGGGTGCACAGAGGAGCATGGCCCACAAGGAAAAACAGAAGAGAGGGTTGAGGTTTAATGAATGCCATTAACTGGTTAAGGAAAGGAGAAAGAGCTTACAATGGAGAATGCCTAGGAAAGCTAGAGAAATATCAGAAGGCTGATTGCACAATAGTCCATGAGTTCAATGCCATGAAGCTCCCATGTGGCAGAGCCAGAATTTGTACCCCAAATCCATACATAATATATGTAGCTCACTGTTTTGAACTAGAGACCACCTTCATTGCAATAGGATCAAAGTCTTACCTTTTTGAACACCAGGACACTGTCCAGTGTGACGTGGAAATGCCCCAAGGCATTGTGAATTGATATTGCTCCAAATGTTAGCTCTGGAAAGTCTTTAATCATATCATAGAACAACTGTGCTACTTCTTCCTCTAAATCCTGTTTGGGGAAACATGTTTGTTAAGGTTTCAGTAGCAAGCAAATTGCCTGGCTTATTTAAGGGGATGGTGGCACTGGTGACCAATTCTCTCACCTTTCCAAGTGCTGGAGTGGCCTAAATCCCTTTTCAAGGATGTTTTGTATCCATCTTGCTTGTCTGGTTCTGACTGAGGTCAACATGGGCAAAGCCACATACTGAATGAATTGATAAACTTGATCTTTTCTATTCTAAGTATTAGAGTATGTGCTCTGCTGAGACAGGGTGAAGACTTTTTTTTTTTAAAGATTTATTTATTTATTTATTTATTTATTTATTTATTTATACAAGCACTGGGTACAGTCAGAAGCGCGGGAGGGTAAGAGAATTCACGAGAGTCAGAGTGGAGAGCAGAGCAGGTAGACTGACAAAATACACTGCTGAGGGGAGCAGTGGGTGGCAGGAAAGGTCTGTGAGCCATGTGGGACCCTCACCGGTGGCCAGGGATCGATCCAGTGCTGCAGAGGCTGAGGGCAGCTTTGCAACCCAGTGCTCAACCGCTGCACCACCAGGGAGGCCCATGGGTGGACACTTTTTAACATTTATTCCTTAATTGCTTTCTGAATAGGCAATTGATTTGATCATATTTTGTACCAATTATGAACTTAGGACAAAATAAGGCTGTACTGTCAGCCTTCATCTTTGGCTTGAAAGACAATTGGGGTTGCAAACACTGTCAAAAAGTGGGGTAGTAGAGAAAGAGTCATGTTCTCTTCCCACATATAAATACATATAATGCCATAGTTCTGACCTGGGAGTAGGGGAGGGGTTATCAAGTTACAGGAAATTAGGTAAGACATTTAAGAAACAAATTCTCCAAAAGGAAACACAATTTGCATATTATCCAGTGGTGTTCTAAATGGATCCTCCTCCCAAATTAACGATATTGTTAAAACCAATCCAAGAAATGTGTTCATCTCTTCTCGCTTTCCATTCTTGTCCACCTTTTTAGTTAGCCTCCCTATTACTTCAACTTCCCTTTTCTTTCTCCCTTTTAAGCCTGTGGATTTTCTGCCCCCTCCCAAAAAAAAAAAAAAAAACCCAGCTTTTTGGATAAGGAATCATGGGTATAGAATTAAACCAGGTGAAAGACCTCCTTTTAGCCCATTCTTCTCCCAGATATAAGTCTTTCAAGTCAAAAGCCTCCTCCCACCTCTTGACCCCAGTACCTGAAAGAAGCCAATGATGACCAAGGGCCTGGATTTCACAAACTCTGCCACCTGTTGGGCATTAGTGAACAAAAATGCTTTCTGGCTAATTTGTCTTCTCAACCAAACGACCAAGGCAGTAGATTCAACCACTCCTGGAGAGAGACATAGTTAAATGGATCCCACAGAAGTTTTCTGTTGTACTGGAGCAAGATACACCTTGAAAACCAAGGTCAATTACTCCACTTCCCCCTCCTGTGCCCCCAAGTTCCAAAGCATGAACATTAACAAGGGCAACTTAATTTTAATGACTGCTTTCCAAGGACCAAGCACTGCTTCATGCTTTTCAAGCATCACATGCCCACAAGAACTCCATGGGATATTCTTACTCTCCCCATTTTGCAAAGGAGGAAATTGAAGTTCAACTTACCAATGGCCACCCTATGAGCAAACCTGGGAATCAAACACTGGAGGAAGCATGCCCAGGGTCTTATCTACTCTCCAAAGTGACAGGAAGATGGATTTGGTTTTTTTTTAAATATAAATAAATAAAATGTAGATTAAAAAACTAGCTAACTCTGTGACCTTGGGAAAATTCCATTATCTCCCTGAGTTTCCAATTCTTCAGCTGACACATAAATGTCTGCTGAGGTCACAGATCCTGACATCCATTTCTCAACTCTCACATGGGAGGTGCCAAACACATAAAAAATCTGAGCTTCTAAAATTGGAACACATATACCATAACTGGAGCAACAGAACAGTGAGCCAGATGCATGCACATTTACACAGATGGACATGTGTTTGCTAGGATCATTAATTTCACGTGATGGCAAGTAATGTAAAATATTATATTAAAGTTAGCTGTAGAATAGCCTGAAACATTTAAAATGAGTTTGCGAGATCATGCAATTCCTATTGTGAAGAACTTGGGATTACATACAGAGGACTACGTTCCTTTACCCATTCATTTCATCACTCATTCATTCATTTGACAACTATGCATTGAGTGCCTATTAAGTTATCAAGTGCTATGCTTGGTCCTGGGGACACAATGATGAGCAGGAATAAAGACATTGCCACATTGTAGCTCTCATTTCTGTTGAGTTGTCAAAGAATTACACAAACAAGTATATAATTAACATTCAAAGTAAGTGTCTGTAAGCAAAGTTCTATGAGCCTGTAGCAAAGATATATGACCTAGACTATGAAGACAAGGAGGGTTTCCTGGAGGAAATCACTTGCGAACTGAAAACTGAAGGATGGTGTTCTGGAGGCAATAAGATAAGGGAAAGGTTTCCAGGTAGATAATCAGCCCAAGCAAAGGCCCTGCAACAGGGCAGCTTGCTGCATGGGGCTTGGAGAATGCACACTGAGTTACTAAATCACAGGACTCTACTTTCAGTATCTTTGCTTATATTTCCCAAGAACATTAGGCCATTTTAAAAACTTGAAATTAAGTCCATTTCATGCAGAACTGTACAGTGACGTTTCACAAAATAAACATACTCAAGTAGCTACACCTAGATCAAGAAATGGAAGGTGACCAGCCCCTCAGAAGTTCCTCTGGTGCCCTCTCCCAGTTGCTCATCCACCCCCCACTAGGGGTAAACAATATTCTAACTTCTAGCAACCTGCACTGGACTGCCGGCTCTGAACTCCGTGTAAGTGGACTCATGCTATGAAGATGCCACAACTGGTGTATCCACTCTCTGTTGATGGGCATCTGGGTTGCTTCCAGTTTGGGGCTGTTAAGAATTAATTCTCGTGGATGTCTCTGGGGTCACATTGTACAACTCCACTTTGGGTACGTGCCCAGGAACAGAATTTCTGGTCATACGGGATGCTGTGCTCAGCTTTAATGGATACAGGTTAGGTCATTTTAAAACCCGCAGTGAATCAGGCCTTTCAAGGTTCATAGGATGGGGATGTGGTGGCCTCAAGGTGAAAGCGTGGCCGATCCACCCTCTCAGCAGGGAGAGCCGGGTGTGGTTAACTATGTTCTGAGCTGGTTTTCACAGAAGCAACAAAGCCTGATGCTCTACAATGAATCTTCTGCCATAGCTAAGAGCTCACCGGCTCGGAACCAAAAAGAAAGGAGGAGCCACCCGGTCCGCACTCAGAAGCAAGGGGTCCACGCGCCAGGAAGATCCGGTCATTTGAAAAGAAACTTCTCTGCTTGGGCTGACTTGTTATTACCAAGGACCTCCTGCCAAACCCACATTCCTCAGCCAGTGGAGTTCAATTCTATGATTCTCTCAAGCTCCACTTCTCAAGATATGGTATTAGTCCTTTTCTCCAGCTTTTGGGGGAGGTGCAGCTGAGTCTTGGGCTTACCTCCTGCTGACCAGGCTCAACATTAAAGTTTTTTCTTTCCCCAACCTTGAAGTAGATCTTTGACATTTATGTGCATCTCAAAGATGAGACCTTGATTTCTTATTAACAAAGGGACGGGGAAGGGGTGCTTCATGCCACCCTCAGGCCATGACCCTGCACCCCACTGCAGACTCCCCCTCCTGGATTCCAGTTCCCAGGCTGAATGTGTATTTTCACAGTGTTCTGAGCCATTGTTCTAGAAGAAATGGGCACAGATGCAAAATGTTTTATAGGTTTTTGTCTGAAACAATTATGTTGTCAGTGCCCTAAAAAGAAGAGGTTTAAAGATTCTGAAAATGTAAAGTAAGGTGAACAAGTTCCTCTGAGTGCAGGAATTTTGGGTCTTCAGGACCTTTGCTCGGCTCTCACCTTGTACCACTGTCCTCCACTATCCTTGCAGTGGTCACTCCCCTTTCCTCTGACACATAAACCTTTGACATCCACCAGCCCCTCCCCTTGACTCCTCAGTTCTTCAAGGTCATCTCCTCCTGCTTACTCTGTTCTCAATTTGGCCTTTTCTTACTGACCCCAGCCCAGCCCATCATTACCTCATGACCTGTTGTCTGTCTCTTTCTGACATTGTGCTGTTTTCCTGACTTGCCCAGAGGCTCCTGAAACATCTGGCTCATAAAAGGTGCTCAAGAAATAATTACAGGATGAATGAATGAGGTGAATGAATCATTAGATTAGCTGGCTTGAGGGAACTTGCTCTTGGGTCGCCTTTTCTGGGATGTCTGAGCTCCATTTGCCCTGCTGGACCCCATGGCAGTGGATCTGAACTTGGCAAATAATTTGTTCCCGAGTGTCCGAAGATTGGGCAGGCCACTGTTCCTGCTGGGCAGGTGCCTCCTCCAGCACCCTTGCATTTGGCTCTGAGCCAGAGGACACAGTGCCAACCCAGGTGTGAGCATTATGTCAATGATTGACTGGGGCCACGGCTCTGTCGCATATTTCCAGGCACAAGTTATGAATGCATCATTAATTGTGGCCCTGGAGGCAACCTGTGTCCCGTCTTCCAGGGAGATCGCCAAGGCCAGGTCTCTCACCATCAATCCTTGGAGATTAGAGGAGAAGGTGGACGGGACTCACCCCACCTTCTGGCTCCTAAGGAGGTTCTCGTGAAAGTCACAGTGCAGGAGACAAAGCGAAGCACTCGCTCCTTTCAGTTCAGGGAAGCCCAGTCCAGTCGAAAGAACTGACACTTGCCCTTCTGTTTGGGAAATGAGAAATTAGAAGCCTGGCTCAAATCCCCCTAGCTAGTCCTGTCCTAAATTCCAGATCCGGCCCCATCCTGTATCTCGCTGCTTCCCTCCCTGGTTGGAGCGGGAATACCGAGGAAGAAGGATCGGCAAGGCCAGTAGAAATTGAAACTGGCTCCTGACCCTGGCTTGCCTGCTCTGGTCCCTTGGAATTCCATTCCTTTCAATTCAAAAACCGCTCTTTAATTTCCTCCATGTTCTAGGCACTGGACCAGGGGCTGAAAATTCATAGTTTAATAACGCTAATAGCTATGGCGGCCATTTACTTGGTATAGTACACTGTAGAGCAGGGTTGAGTCAGTCATAGCGGTGGCCACTTCCGCCTACTAATCGATTTTATAGAGAAACTCTTATTGGAGCACAGCTCACACTATGTTGAGTTCTGTAGCCACAACAGAGAGGATCTGGCCTGCAAGCTATCAACTATTATCTTGAATGTTTGTGACTCTCACTACTTATGAGGTTTGAGGAAGGTGTCCCACCACTCTGTGCCTCAGTTTCCCCACCTGTAAAAGCACCTCCAGTGTGGGGGTTTTATAACATATGAGCAGAGACCAGAACAGTGCCTGGAACATGGCAAAGGCCTTTCAGACTTATTTCCTCTTTCCAGTAACCCTAGGAGTCAAGTGTGTTCACCATCCCCATTTTACAGATGAGGAAATTGAAATTCAGTAGGAGGAAGTGATGGTTCCTTGGGCATGCAGTGAAGACTTGAAGATGGGGGTGTCTGCCAGGAGGGCCCAGGAGCAGAAGTGAAATCATAGAGCGCGAGGAACAGGTGCAATCCTGTGAGGTGAGGGCCTTGATGCTGGAAACACAGGGCCTGTGAGACCACAGAGAGGGGCAGGCACCTTGACCCAGTCAATCAAGGGAGACTCCCTGGAGGCGGTGACGTGGAAGCCTGCTGCATGGCCAAGGAGGACCCAGACACTGGCTCCTCCCATGAAGGGGCTCTGGCAGTCTGGAAGTGGCCATATTGTCACCTCTAAGTGGAGACAAATCTCCTCTGTCCGTCAGGAGTGGAGGCACCGAGAACTTGAGCCAATGCATGAGCGGACTGGCTCTGAAGAGGTTTTCCACAATCGCCCTCAAAGCCAACACATTACAAAGGGCTCCCCTCCTGGGAGTGTGGGTCACCACTGCTGAGACTGTGACTCAGTCTCCCTAGGAAGCATCAGTCTCTGTTCCCTCTCCCGCAGCTCCTCTGGCCTCTCCACATCTCTTCTCTCGCCCCCTCCCGGCTCAGTGATTTCTCAGCACCTTCCTCTGCACATCTGGGCCGTGGGTCTCCTGCCCCCTTGTGTCCATCCTGAGAACTGCAAGAGAGTTCTGAAAACCCAGAAAGGTTTTTCCCACGTCCACCCCAACTCCTCTGGCACTTCAGGTCTTGCTCAAACAGATTTTATCACAAGCTTGCTAAATTCCAGGACCCGCAATGCCGTCTCAGTTTCCTGAGATTCAATCATTCAACACTTGAGAACATTCTACTAGCATAATAGGGGCTCTGCTGGGGGTCTTGGTTTTTTCAGTTTTATTCCCTTCATCCATATGTCTACATTGATGCACTCATATATTTAAGATTTTTAAGATTAGGAAACATTCTCCAAAGCATGATGGGGCTTGACACACGGCAAGTTATCCATTAAAGGGTGCTGAAGAGGTGAATGAAATGGAGGTTGATAGAAGCAAAAGTGTTTGGTAGTCACCTTTCCCAAGCCTGTCCTGTTCTATCATTCCCCAGTCTCCCTTTTGGCCAACCAGTGCTTCATGGGCCTATAATCATTCTAGATCCCTGGCAAAATTAAAGTTTTGGATGTGGAGAGAAGGAATTAGGGACTTGCTGTTCTCTGGTAGTTTATAAGCCTTGCTCCTCACCCACTTTCAGGGTCTACCAGCTGAGATGCAAGCTGAGGTGAAGGCGTCTAAATTTTCATAAACATCTATTTTCTTTTCGTTAGGGACACAGAGCGGGCCATATTTCTCAGCCTTTCAGTTGGGTGGGGCCATGTAACAGAATTTTGGTACTGGCGAGAAAATACAGGGATGTATTTTCCTGGCCAAGGGTTATGGCCACCATCACTGGTGCTCCATCCACCTACTTGCCCCAACTTCTAGCCACCCAGAGGAAACTGCAGGTGGCTCAGAAGCCCTGGAGGAGGGTGGAGACACTAGCTGGAAGGAGCCTGGGTCCTTGAAAGACAGTGTGGAGCAAAGCCCCACCTCCAGCCTCTGGCTGCCATCTGCAAGATGGTTTTGCAAGAGCAAGAAGTGAACATATCCTGTTGCGTCTCTGACATGCTGGTGTTTATGTATAGGTGGTGTCCCCTGGATTGACACACAAGCACCATTACCTGTGCAGCTGATGGGCTCCAATCTGTTGCCCTCAAAAAACAACTTCAACTCTGGGGCCTTCTTAACATCAAACTCCTTTCGAAGTTCTGTCTCCACTGTGATATCCACTTTGCCAAAGCCGATTCCATTCTTGCCTTTGCCCATGATCTCCATGGCTTTGCCCAGCTCCTCAGCCATGTTCCTCGATTGCTTTGTGGATGGGTTGTCTACAAGAGCCAATAGGAAGAGACAGAATTTGCTAGATACTCTCCTCTCCCCATCTCCTAAGGAGGAGGTGTGGTGTGGACAACTCAGCTCCTGGGCTTTCTCATGCCCTTTGAACTGTGACAGGGTGTGGGGCACACATGACTTAGGAAATGGATCGATTTGGGAGACCCATGTCCTCAAGGTTCCTTGGGGTCAGCAACAATGGAAACAATATCACTTTGGACATCCCAGTCTAGCTAAGCTCCACATTCCTCATGGGTAAAACGGGAAAGTCATAGTGGCCACCGCATGGAGCTGTCAGAGTCACATGGGATATATTTAGCAATCAGGTAGACAGGGATTACTATTTTCTAAGAGCTTTCCATGGATTAAGTCATTGAATCCTCTAGTACCACTCTGGGGTAGATATTGCTAATATTATCTCAAGTTCCTGGATGACGGAACTATTGCACAAGGAAATGACCTATTATCCCCCAATCTCATGGGGCAGAAAGAAGGATGTAATGTGTTTGCGTAACTGCTGTTATTATTATTATTGTAAAATTTCCATGTTCAGAAATTATAGGAAAAGGAGAACGCAAATGAGAACATGGGAGGCCACGAGCGCCATCTGGTGGAACGTTCAGAGACTAACAGGCCAAACCGAGCCCCTCTTGTTGCCTTGCAGTGCAACATGGCGGAGGCGCTCAAGGAAGGAAGAGCAGGTGTGAGAAGGCCTGAGAGGGTGGGAAAGGCTGATGGCGGCTGTGATGCCCCCCTAGCCCCCTCAGAACCACCCATCTTGGGAAAGCACACTAAATGCTATGAGAAAAAGATACTGGGGGGCCTCCCTGGTGGCGCAAGGGGTTGAGCACCACACTATGAAGCAATCCGCAGCCTCTGCAGCACGAGTTCGAGCCCCAGCCAGCCAGGGAGCAACCCACACATGGCAACCCGCAGACCTCTCCTGTCTCGCCTGCTGCTCCCCTCAGCAATGTATTTTCAGTCAGTCTGCCTGTTCCGTTCCCCGCTCTGTCTCTGGTGGATCCTCTCACCCCCCGCATCTCTGGCCTATACCCCAGCTCCTGTATGCATAAAGAAATAAATCTTAAAAAAAAAGAAAAAGATTCCTCTGTCCTCTTCCCCATTGTGGTGTCACTTGGGGTTGTGGGTATGAGCAGGGGAGCCCTTTTCTGCAGTCAGCCTCAGGAAGTTGGCTCTTGATCCTGGTAGGGGGATAGGACTTCCAGCCCAAAGGGGAGGGGACTAAAAGGCACTCAAGTGTGCCCTCCTTTCTCCTGATAATATTGTGAGCCTGTGGGTCCTCAGCTGACTACCCCAATGCCTGCCATGGTCAATAGTTCTCTTCAAGGCAGAGAACTGGATATTTTATCTTTTCAAGCCCTCAGCCCATCTGGAGTGCTGGGGGTGGCGGGAAATGTAAATCACCTCTACTGCTGTGGGAGAGTTCCAAGCCCAATAGAGAGGCTTTTGTAAAGCAAACCCAGAAGGCTGGGCCAGGACAGCTGGCACCCTCCCACCCCACGGCCACTCAGCACACCTGCCCCTGTGAGAGAGCCCGAAGGTGAATGATCACTTTCATTAAATTCCCAGTCAATGGGCTGGAAGAGGACTCATCGCCTCCTTCATAGATCGATGCCTCTCCACTGCCTGCTTTATCACCTTCATTACCTTCGATGCCCCTCCATCCATCACCTCCTGCAGTGCTGGCCTATTGCTGGTTTCTCTAGTTTCCTTGTGGATCTGGCCATGCCTGGCTCAGGGTTGCTGATTGACATACTGTCCAAATCTGAGTTTCTAAGGTAAGAAGCTCAGGTGAGTGATGTACTTGGACTGATTGTCCAAATGGGGCTGTTAGAGCTTCACATTGTGTCCCAAAGTAGAAGTGGGAGAAAGGTTTTGAGAGCCAGAATGTTGGGACCTGAGGGCTGGACAGGATCTAAGTAACAATAATAGTAATGAGGAGCCTCCATCCATCCATCCATCCATCCATCCATCCATCCATCTGTCTATCAGTCCATCCAACCTGTTTTAGGATCCTCCATGTGCCAGGGGCTGTTCTAGGTACTGGGGATTTAACAATGAACTGACCAACAAAAATCCCTCTCTCATTGGAGAGAACAGAAAATAAACAAAATAAAGTATGCCTCCTCCCTTAGATGCCCAGTGCTATGGGGGAAAAAAGAATTGGTAGTTGGGAGTGTCAGGGGAGTTCTGATTATAAGTAGGGAGGGTAAAGAAGGCCTCACTGAGGAGCAACGTTTTAATAATGACTGAAGGAGATGAGGGAGCAGCTCTGTGACTATGTGGAGGGAGTGCATTCTGGGCAGAGGAACTGTAAGGGCACAGGCCCTGGGGTGGGCCTCTGTGTGACATGTTTGGGGCACAACAAGTCTTCCAGGTCTAGCAGAGTGAATTGAGGTGAGGATAAGATGGTGTCAGCTTTTGAGGGCCATCGTGTAAATGTTGACCTTTCCTGGGGAGGTTGTGTAGGGCCCAGAGCAGAGTTAGATGAGAAATGACTGTTAAACTGGGTTGCTCTGAATGTTGTAGGACCAGACCACAAAGGGGAAGGAGTGGGTCCAGAAAGACCAGTTGGAGGCCACTGCGATAATTCAGGTGAGACACAGTAATGACTTGAAACTGGGTGGTGGATTTAACGGGGTGAGACATGGTAGAGTCTTGAGAGATTTTGAAGGAAGAGTTGACTGAATGTGTGAATGGATTGCACGTGGAAATGAGCAAAAGAGAGGGGGTCAAGCATGACTCTGAGATTTTGTCTGGAGCAACCAAAAGGATGGTTGTTGGTGATAATTGTGGTGGTGATGGTGATGATGATGATGATGATGATGATACAGTAATAACATTTACTGAGCACTCACTATGCCAAGCACTTTGCTAAGAGTTATATGCATTATTTTGATGATAAGTTACCTACTATTCTAGGTGAGGAACATTACAGATGCAGAAATAGAAGTTCAGAGGCATTACATCTAGTAAGTGGTAGGCTGAGATTCAATTCTAAGGCTGACTCCAAGATCTATGCCCTTGTGCCCTAACTGACTGCCAGGTAAGCTGGGCTGAAAAATTTCCCTTTTTCCTGGAGGGGAGAGATAGGGGTGCATTTCCCATCTCTGCTCTGCCCCCATCAGGGCAGAATCTGTAGAGCTAAATCCACTCTTTATGATTCATAGTCCCACTTTTTGTCTTTTTAAAATTTACAAATTTGTTTTACCCCTGGGGATCTGAAACACTGGATTCTGAGTTTGTAAAGGTGAAGTGAATGCATGCACTCCCTCAGCATGCAGTGACTGTGTTCTACAGGAAATGCCACTTGGGGTCAAGGCAGGGAGACGATTCATTGCTGTTGGCAGACCAGTGTCCAGTGGACTGTGGATGAGCAGGGCGTCCTTTCCTGGGAGGGCAGGAGCTCCTGTGGGTACAACCTTCCTCAGCTCCTGAGCTCCACCCTAGTTCATTGTCTGGTCCATACAACGAACTTGAATTCCAGAGATTATATCTTAAAACAGAGTTATGGTGGTGTACAGCACTTGTGGCCTTGGCAAGATGTTTTTTAAACTCTGTGCCTCAGTTTCCCTCATCTGTAGACTGGATATGCGGATAGGTCCTCTACCTTAGGATGAGCCCACATAGTAGGCAAGTCGAACAAAGCTCTAGCACAACAGTGCCAATAAACATTAACTATTATGACGCCATAGGTGGGGTCCTGCTCTGAGTGGGTCTCTCTTGGAAGGGAGGGTCCCTTGGAGATATCAGACTCCTCAGCAGATCTCCTAGTTTTGGGGGAAAGGAAAACAAGGGTGACCAACGCCCAGTCACCCAAACCAAGACCCAGGTCTGTTGTGGGGCTCACATGCTTACGTGCATTTGGAGGTAAGTAAAGGGGACGTGGATTATGTTAGACTAGGCAGCAACTCTGCCTGGTGTGCAGACCTATTAATGGCTAATGATCCTAGAGTCAATGTTTGCTGGGTTTTTAGTAGCTAAGCCCAGATTCCCTTTTCTGAGCAGCTGGTGTGAGGCAGGGGAGGGGCTGATGCATGGGGGAGGCGGGAGCACAGGGACTAGAGATCAGCTTCCGACAGGGAACTGGAACTTGCCTCTCTTTACACAGTGTTTCTCAGCAGGAGACACTTGACCATGTCTGGGACATCTTTGGTTATCGCCCCTGGAGTGCTGTCAAATAAGGCCAGGGAACTAACATCCTCCAATGCACAGGACAACTGTCCCCTCCACACACAACAAAAATCACCCAGCCACAATGTCAGTAGTGCTGAGGATGAGAAATCTTGCTTTAGACCAAGTTCCAGATCGAGCATGGAAAAGCTTTCTGAGAACAGCCCTCTCCCCATTCCACGGGGCCATTTGTTATTAACAGGCATATGCCGGGTGGTAGGGACTTCAGGATGGTCATCATTTCCTCTCATTGCTCTGAGGCCAGCTGACAGAGTTCTCTTTCATTGTCATGACTTACAAGGTCCCATTGTTCTGAGCTTATTTCTGACTCTCTAGTTAGCAACTCAGCTTTACATGAACCACCCTGACACCTCCCTGCCTCAGAGCCTTTGCACTCACTGTCCTCTGCCTGGAAGGCTCTTCTTTCTCCCAGATATCCGCCTGAATTGCTGCCTTCATGTCTGTGCTGAATTGTGCCCTTCTCAGGAAGGCCTTCAAGGTCCCCCACATAAAATCTCAACCCCACCTCTAGCCACCCTTGAATGCCCTTATTTTTCTCATGTGCTTTTCTCCCTTGTACTTTTAACCAGAAGCCATTCTCCATCTTTTTCACTAATTTATCTGTTTATCCTGAGTCTCTTCAGTCTTTTCAGGCTGTAAGTTCCAAAAAGCATGGAGGTGTATCTGTTTTCTTTCCTACTCGGTACCTAAAATAATTCTGGTATATGACAAGTATTCAATAAATATTTAATGAATGAATCTTCCACTTATCAGCACAGCTTTGGTGTCAGACCTGACCTAAAATCCAGGCTTCATCACTTACCAGTTGTGTGAGCTCAGGCAAGTCATCCATCATTGTATGTTCAATGGAATAATGAGGCCAAGCCCAGTGCCTGGGGTCACCATCATCATCACCTTCCTCATCACCACCCCTGTTATCATCGTCATAGCTGTCTTCATCACCAAACTCATCCCTGTCACCATCACATCTAACCTGCTCCCAGAGAAGGCTTCCTGCTTTGGGGATAATTACATGATCCTATGTGGGTCTGCTACTCCTAGGCAGCCTATTCGGCCGCCATTTTGTCACCTAAACAAGGTCAAAATGGCCTGGCCAGTTAGGTATAGGAGCCCAACCCTTCAGCCCTTCAAATCAAACAAGAGCACAAAGCTGGATCACACTGGGAAGGTTATGCATCACGAGGTATGACCGGGAACACCCAGGGGGCCGTGGACAAGGGACCCCAGATCAGTGGAACGCCTTGTTGATAAGATTAGAACCATGGCTGGGGATTAGGGTGTGTCATCAAGTAGATAAGAAGTGCCTGGAGGGCAGACTCATAATCCCTAATCTTCTACACCCTTCCCCTTTCTTTAATCTCCTTCCCCTTAATCTCTTTTTGCTCCACCCCCTTATAACTAATATCTTGTGTCAATAAAAGGGCCAGGATCTAGCTCTTCAGCAGCATCCTGCATTATGTAGCCTGCTCCATGACTCCCATTTCTTTATCAGTGTGATGTTGCCCGATGCAACAATCCTGAAGATAACTGAGTAATTTCATTTTGACTCTTGTCTCTGAATATCTTTCTCTCTGCCTCATTTGAGAACACTATGGGCCAAAGGAAAGCCCATTTCATTCATTCATTCACTCACTCATTCAACATCTCTGCAGCCTACATCAGCCTCTGCAGATGTTAGGAAGCAAGATGAGTGCAACTTGGCTCCTGCCCCCTATGGAATTCACAAGTTTATGAGATTTTAATACTGTCCAGAAAATTCTTTGAGAAGGAGGGTGCAGAAGCAGGGCCCATGGGTAAGCACATGGGTGGCCCTTCTGGCTTGGCTACGTGGGGGTGAGGGTGGATAGATTCTCCATGAACTTCAACCACCCAAATCAGACAAAGAACTGGAAGAACACTGCAGGCAGAGGAAACTGTGAGCACAAGACCCTGAGCCCCAAGTCTGACCTATCTATCTGGAGTGGAGCTAGATCCGAAGTAGATCAGGTAGAGGACATTGAGGCCACGTGAAGGAGTTTGAGTCTTAGAGAAATCTCTGAGGGTCTTTCACTAGAAAGATTTGCATTATAGGAAAAAATCTCAGGGTATGCCATAACGATAGCCCTGGAAGAACTCCGTCAAGGGAGAGGCTGCAGCATTTCAGGTGGGTTGTTATGAGGCCAGACTAAGGTCCTATGGGGGCCAGGGGAGTGGGGGCGGAAAGTGGAGATGGCAGCAGCTTTAGGAGGTGGTACCAATAGGACCTGGTGACAAATCAGAACTGAGAATAGAGACGAGTCGAGAATAACTTTGAGATTTCTGACTTTGACATTGGGTGGGTCGTGATGATCTCAACTGAGGCACGATGTGATCTCAGTTAACATCGAAGGTTGTTGGGAGCACATCAAAGATGCCGAGGTCTGCTCTGGATATATGTGACACTTGAGAAGTGACAAGCCCAAGAGGAGAGATGTGCCTCGCCACTGGCACTTGAGCCAGCCAGGGGAGAGAGGAGGAACTGGGCGGAAGTTAAAGATATGAGAGGTCTGTCCCCAGGGACAGTGTTGGAAAGTTCCTTCTTGTGAAGAGTCAATTTATCCCTGGAAGAAAGATTTTGAATGTTTTCCCAAGTGATTAGTTTTTCCAAAGGTCACTTTAGGAGGCCTGCAGGTCTTTGAAAACTCACTTTGATTTAGATAGTGCATTGGGAGGGCTTCGAACTATTTTGATGGAATTTTGTGCAAATTACTCAAAGTCCTTACACCTCAGCCTTCTCATCTGGAATTTAGGGCGGATGCCACATACATGTTAACTTTTAAAAGATATTGATAATATACGCCCACAGTATTTAGACATACATAAAACTCTGCTGGCCCTCTGGAGCAAGGAGGTAGCTCTCAGCCCGGCCGGTGCCCCCGCCCAGGTATGGGGGACACTCACGGAAGAGCACCATGAGGAAGCGTGTCTGGTTCAGCATCTGGGTCAGGCCGGCCGCCGTCAGCACCATCAGGTTGCGCTCCACCACGATGTGCAGGGGCCGGGACAGGTGGACGCCAGCCTCCTTGACGTCTACCTCTGGGGAGCCCTGGACAGCCGACGCACACGAGGCCACCAGCAGCAGAGTCACCATGAGCGGCTCCATGGCTGTCCTGTGGGGACAGGAGGAACAGGAGCCTTATCAATGCAGGTGGCCAGGCCCCATGTCACCACTCCCTCCCTGTCAGCCCAGTTGGGGATGGAAAACAGGGCCCTGCCCGCTGCTCAGCAGGCACACTGGAGGAGAGGCTGACTTTGGGGTGCATGGAAACCGTGAGGGTATATATCAGTATAGCAGGGAGCAGTGGGAAGCTGAATCACAGGCTGGTCTTTGAGTCTACTGAACCCCCAGACACAAGGTGAGGATGGTTTAGATGTGAACCCTACTCCAGACCCTGGGGTGAGCCTCTGCACCTGAGAGATGACTGAACACCTCTTCCCCCTGCACATTTTCTGCTTCATGCTTCTGCAGCTCCTGCTTGAATGCCCCTGGTGACGGGAAGCTCACGACCTTGCCATCTATTCATTGGGTTTTTGAATAAATTTTCTGCTCAAATGGACATATTTCTTTCAAAAGTCATCCTCATAATATATACTTGCAAAAATTATAAACAATGCAATAAAAATATGTTAAAGGGAAAATTAAAAGCTCTCTCATAACCCCACCTCCAAGAAAACTGCTGCTAACCATTTGGAATGAATCCTTACAGATGTCCAAACGCCTATGTGAATGTCCATTTGAATGTGCATATTTATTTTATTTTTTTTTTTTTTTTATAGAGGCATGTTTATTTATTTATTTATTTTGTTTGTTTGTTTTGTTTATACATGCACTGGGTACAGTCAGAAGCGCGGGAGGGTGAGAGAATTCACCAGAGCCAGAGCGGGGAGCAGAGCAGGCAGAAGGACCGAAGTACACTGCTGAGGGGAGCAGCGGGCGGCAGGAGAGGTCTGCGCGCCATGTGGGATTCTCCGCCGGTGGCCGGGGAGCAGCCGGGGATCGAACCGGCGCCGCAGAGGCCGCGGGCAGCTTCGCAACCCAGCGCTCAACCGCTGCGCCACCGGGGAGGCCCTGAATGTGCATATTTAAATCAATATTTTTGGGTGCTCTAAATTTCTTACTTGAGGATATGAAATATGTGGTAGATTCCTTCCCAGAAGTCTACCTAGTAGCTCTGTAGCATAATCTTTTCCCCCACTGCTGACTGACTGACAGAGGAGTTGACAACTCCTAACTGTTAGCGTGGTCTGGACCAGCTGCTACCTGTCTCTAAGTTCCAATCCCCAGATAACGATGTCTTCCCCAACAATTTTGAACACCAGGTCACTTCCTCAGGTTTTGGCTCCTCAAACACTGAGCCATTTTCCTGGGTACTGTACAGACAGCATGAGTGTCTGAAGTAAGAAGACTTTACAGGTATATCCTAGGTCACCCCTTCAGATTAATTCTATAAGGACCCTAACCTTATTGACAGCTGTGTTCCCAGCATCTGACCCTTATAGTAAGAAAATGAAGATAGATGAGCGAGTGAATGACTGAATGACCTGGGGGATGTGTTTGGCAAACTGTCTGGGGATATTTAAAAATAGATATTCTAATGTAATATTTTTGCCACCTATGCAGAGAATTGTGATCAATTCTCAGTGCTAAATGTTCTAAATACCCATAGCTGTACATGAATTTTCCAAATACATGTACCAGGTTACTCTTCTAGAGCTTTCCATGTCATCATCTGTCTTAGGACAACCCTATGACCTATAACCCTAATATTGTTATTCCCATTTAGTGTGTATAAAATGGGGCACAGAGAGGTTAAGTAATTTTCTCAAGATCACACAGCTAATAGGCAACAGTCAGGATTTTAACCCAGGCAATTTAGCTATAGACTTCATGCCCTGGAGCACAGTGATGCTCCACCTCTGCAGCGTGGATGTGGTGGACAGTGTTTTAGACTCTGACATAACCCCGCCCCCACATCCTATGTCCTCTTTCCATTATTCAATCTTACTCTGCCTCAGAAAAGTGGGCAGTGGCTGAGTTTGGTCACCGAGATTGGAAGTATATTTTTGGATTTTGTTTACAAAGCAGACCCTTGATATTCATAGCAGGAAGGGGTTCTGAGTCCCCATTCTGCTGTGGGCTCTGAGTTTGGAAGAACATTTTGGCAGAGGAGCAGTTCCCTGCCCCAGATGAGATGCCAGCTTACCTTCTGATGGGGAGGAGCAGAGTTTTGGTGCTGCTGGGGTCCTGAGAGAGAAATGCTCCCCGGGTCATGAGAGAGATGTGCTCCCCTCTGTCCCTTCTCTACGCTGAAATCCCGACCCCATCACTTTGACCCATCACTGAGCACCACGCATGCCTATCACAACAAATAAATCACTCTTCTAAGTTAGGATTTGAGCCTTATAGTGACCATATCCTTAGTTCTCACTGCACGTCTATGAGGTAGGTACAATTACAAGGCACACTTTACAAAGGGGTGACCTGTCCAGGATGACCCAGCTGCTAGATGGAAAAGCAAGATGGGCTCAGGTAGATCTAAGCCCAGCGTCTTTGGTTTAAAGCAGGTGTCAGGACTCTCTGTCTGTTGCCTGTTCTTATAAACCCAGTGCTGTTGGATCCCAGCCACACCCGCCCCTTTACTATCAGTTATGACTGCGTTAAGTATTTGCAGCAGAGACCATATGTGATTAGCAAAGCCAAGCATATTTATTATCTGGCTCTGTACAGGGAACGTTTGCTAAGCTTAGGTCTAAATCACCAGGCCGCACTGCCCCTGTGCCTACACCTGGGATCTTGGATGTTGGAAGTGGCCCAGATCCTCAGGTTTGCAGAGTCCACGCTCAGAGCCAAATGTCCCCATCTGTAGCATAGGTGGACAGTCCCTGCTTCCAGAAGGTGATAAAGAACTTGTGCTTAATTAGCACTTTTAATCCCAAGCGCACATTAAACTCCTCTGGTGTACTTTTAAGACAATCTTGGTATTTGATTTCATCCCAGACCCACTATTTAAAAATTGCTCAAGATTTCAAGGGTCCAGTCACCTAGATGTTTTAAAATCTCCCCAGAGGATTTTTTTTTAAACTTTCTATTGGGCAAAATGAAGAGACACACAAAAAAATGGTATGATGGATGCAGTTGTCACTGCCAACTTGACTTCATTTACATTCTCATTGACTCCCTGCCTTTTATTACATTTCATCCATACGTTTCAAAGTCTTTAAAAGGTAAGGACTTTTAATAAACATAACCACATTACCATTACTGTGCTTAACAAAATTAGCAGAAACTCTTTCATATCATCAAATATCCAGACGGTATATGCATTAACCCAATTGTCTCATAAATATTACATTTGTTTGAATCAGGATCCAAATGAGATCCATGCACTATCATTGAGGCCTGTGTCTCTGCAGCCTCCCAGGTATTTCTGCTGTCTGAGGTTGAGAACCACGTAGTTAAATGAAATCAACAAAGGCAAGTGGAGATCAGATGGAGGGTAGGCTGGAGAGCCTGGCTTTCTAGAAAGCTGAATGGTGCATGTGATTGGAATCTGTATCTCAGTCAAAGGGATCATGAACCCCTGTCACCCCTGAAGGGTCCCTAATGCTCCCCAGAGCCCCAGGGCCCGCACTATGTGGGTGAGTCTGGCACAGTGTTACTTGGGTAACACACAACTTGGGGTGAGTCTGTTTGTGATGACTGTTAGAACTTTTGGTTTTCAAATTAATTTACCTGCTTACTTATTTGTTCATTGATTCCTTTACTTGGAAGAGAAACTGTTATCTAAAATTTTTTTGATGAAGATGGAGACATCGAAGTGCTAGCGAGGTAACTTACTCTACAGAAAATCTCTAGAAAACCCCTTCTTAGTTATGTGAACACAAGGCAGTGAGGGCCACCAGAAGCTTCCTAGGCTGACTGGTGTTCCTCCCAAACCTCCTTGCTACCCAGAATCCCTTGCAAATGTGCCCAGGGGTCTTGTAGGAAGAACCCCAGGATTCAAGATTGTGAGACCCTCTCTGAGAGGTCTGGAAAGGCTTTGTCAGAGGGAAAGGGAGGCTGAGTCTTGCCTCAGTTCCAGAGCTTTCAGAATTGGTGCTCGGCCACGCCAGCCAGGTGGGTGCCTGTGCATCTGAGTGGCAGCTAAGGCAGTGGGGGCTTTGGAGGGCTTCTCCATCTCAAGCACCCCCTCACAGGGACTCGACCATTTCATGGGGCTCTAGGAGGCCTGAAACCAGGTTTCCTGTTGCCTGGGAAGGTTGGTACTTGAGCCCGGAATACTACCAGCACCTCAGGTCTTTCTGATAGATATCCAGTTCCCCTGGCCCCCCAAGTTCACCCTCTTGCTTCAAGGCATCAGCCACAACTCCTGTTCATTCATCCATTCACTTGTTTGTTCATTAAATATCATTGAAGGTCTTAATACATGCTATGTACCATTCTGGGGATGAGGGATGCAGAAGGGAGTGAAAGAGACAGCAGAGCTCGTCTTCACGGAGCTTAGAGTCTGGGAGAGGCAAAGTGAGGTGAACATAGAATAACTATGTCCGATGATCTAAGTGACAGGGACAAAAGTAAACAGGGAAGACCCGAAAGTGATAAGGCGGTGGGGAGCAGTATTGCAATATTGACATTTTAAATAGAGTGACCCTAGCAAACATTACTCAGAAGCTGACATTTGGCAGAAGGGAGCAAAGACTTCAACTATTTGCATTTCTGGGAGGGAGAAGTGTGGGAGTAGGGTTAGGAGTGTCTCTCTCTCTCTCTCTCTCTCTCTCTCTCTCTCTCTCTCTCTCTCTCTCTCCTTTCCTCTCTAGTCTTCTCTTGTGCTCTCTCCTGAGACCCTCTGGTTATGGCTCAGCCTCACCTCAGACAGGATTCCCCTCAAACTCTGCACCCCATTCTTGTTCAAGTCCTGCTCTGTCCCCTCAGCTCCTCTGATCCTTCATTCTCTGGGCCTGCTGACGCCCTTCTCCCTGCACCTGCTCCTCCAACCTGGCCTCCTTGTGGCCTCTGTGTCCCCAGGGAACTGTTTCCTTGGCCCACAGATTCCAGGCCTAGCTGCCGGCTGCAGCCGAGGGAAGTGCCACGAGGAGAAGCTCACTCCTCAGAATGGGAATCCCAATCAAAGCCAGGAGAGCTGACATGGGGGACTCGCTCCTGGCCGCCTTGCTGAGCACCCCTGTGGGCCTCCACCCCCAGGTCTCCTTCACAGGGACTCTGCTCCCTCATGCTCTTTGTCCCCACAACACCCCCCCACCTTCTCAGGTCCCTTGGCCTGGGCGCTCCATTCTCCCCACTCCGCTGTCTCCTTCTCTGTCCTCAGCACCCTGCCTGGGACCTGGGCCTCTGCTGGGCACCCTGACCCGCATCTTAGCCTCTCTGGTCACTCAGTCCAGCAAGGACTCCAGCCACTTAGGGGGTCCTGCCTAGGCCCCACCTTCTCCATCTCCGCTGCCTGCACTGTCAGCCACATTACGCCTGTTCGCTTCAAGTTTTTTATTATTATTTCTGGATATACCTTGTTTGTATGTCTGAATTTTAAATGTCAGTGCCTTTTTTCGTGGCTGTTTCTCACCTCCTCACCCAGTGCCTGCGCCAGGTTGGGAACTCAGAGAATGTTATCTAATTAGTAGATGAACAAATGACCTAATTTAACCCTCCCATGAGCCCCTGGTCCATTCCAGTGGTTCTCAACATGCTCACACATTAAAATCCTTCAGGGGAGCTTTGAAGAAGTGCAAATCCTGGCACCCAACCCAAACACGTGATTGCTCTGGGTGGGGAGAGTCTGAGCATTTTTTTTTTTTTAAGGCTCCTAAGTAACCCTAATGTGTAGCCATTTATGTCAAAATCCACACGTCAATTTGGAATGACTTTGGCAGAGGGAAAGCTGCCAGGCAGGCCCTGAGGGTCAGTCACCATTTTCACACAGCTCGTACCTGCAGGGAACCTGATTCCTCTCAGGTCTGCGGGGGCCCAGTCGGGGTCAGGCAGCAAACTCTGTGGTGCTGAAGGAGAGAAGCTGCGGCCTGAAGAGCAGGCTCCTAGCTCCCCTTTGTGGCCAGAGCAGGCCCTGTAGGAAGCTGGACGTTCTAAAGAAATCCAGAGGCCGAAAAGGAGTTCTTTGCTGGCCACCCTGAGACTGCAGCCGCTCACCAGCACTGTTCTGAGTTCTGGGATTCTGGAGGACCAGGGGTGCCTCTGGAGAAGAATGGGCCATTGTTGAGTAAGAGGGGGCCCTGCCCTGCCCTTGCTGAGAGGAGCTTGCCCAGGGATGGGGGAGTAGAGGTGACTGGGAGGACCACTGTTCTCTGGGACACTGGGTGTAGCATAGAAGGTTCCCGAACTTGGTGCTTATGGATTGGAATTTGAATTCCGTCTCTGTTCCTAAGTAGCTGTGTGTCACTTGTGCTCTCTGAGGCTCAGTTTCCTAACTCATAAAGTAGCCTATGGCTCATAGGGGTGCTGTAAGAGTCAAATGAGATGGTACAGGCACGCGGGATAGTACCTGAAAAACAGGGTAATCCATTTTGCCCTCACCTCTTAATGATAATCATTTACACAACATTTGAAATCATCACACCCTCAATAGATACAAATTTTTTCAATCATACCCTCAAAAAGCTGGAAAAAATATATTGGATGTTAGAAAGAGATAAATTCTAAGGAGGAAAATCAAGCAGGGGATGGAGGCTGGGACATGTCAGGAGCGACAGGATTGCAATTTGGGGTCAGTTGGTCGTTGGTTGAGACCTGTGGGTGACAAGGAACAGGAAGAGTGTGCAAGGGACCTCCTGGCACAGAGACAGGCTAGCTCCAGGCTGAGCTGGCTGGAGCCAGTTTGCGGGGACGCAGGAGAGACTGTTGTTCCTCGGGAACCGTGCAAGCCAGTTGTTAAAACTTCAGCAGCTTAAAATTGGCCCTGGTGCGAATGTTTAACCACAGGTATTGGTAAACACAAGTCATTTTTGCAGTGACTGGTCTCAGATTGCAGTCCCGCTGTGAATGCAAACAAACAGCAGGGAGATGAGGGGCTGGCAGTAGAGTGGGGCTGTGGGGGGGAGAGAAGAGCCTTGAACCCAGTGGGAACTTGAATCACCTCTGGGGACTTGGACTTTGACCCTGAGTGAGATATGGAGGTTTTTTGTTTTTTAAATAACTTCATGTAGGTGTAACTAACATACCATACAATTCACTCATTTTAAGTGTGCCATTGTGGTGATTATGAATGTATTTTGTAGGAAATTTACAAAGGTCTGCAGCCATGACCACAACCCAAATTTAGAACCTTCTGTCACGTCAAAGAGACCCCTGGTGCCCGTTTTCAGTCATGCCTGCTCACAAAACCAGCCCCAGGTGACCACAAAACCAGCTCACAAAACCAGCCCCAGGTACCTCTGTGTACTAGAAGGCTTTGAGCAAAAACAGGCCATGATTTGACATATTACTGCCACTATAGTATCCTTTCTGCTGAGGCATAATGCAGTTCTTGTCGTCCGCTCAGGTTATGTGGTGTCTGAATTTTCAGGGAAAACACCCATCAGATCAGGCCTCCACGCACAGGTAGCAGAGCTGGAATTCAATCTCCTGATGGCTGCGGGTGGTAAGAAGAGATTGTGGGGTCACTCTCTCTGGCTCCCGGTTTGCTGGCCCTGGGAAGCCACTGCGGCTCCTGCTGGCTGTGGGCAATGCCCTCTCTCTCGGCCACGGAGGCTCTGGGGCCAAAGTTCCTGGTGGGAGGCCTGGTCAGCAAATTGCCTTCACCAGCACCCGAGGAGTGTTTACAGACTCTGAGGCCCGCACTCAGCTGACGCATCACATAGGAGTCCTTGCCATTTCTTGGGTTCAGGAACAAGGTAACAGAGGGAAACCCTTCAGCTAGTGGCAGGTGTCAGCTGCCCCCGAGGCCTGGGCTGTTTAAGTCCTGAAGGCTACAGGGTCTGACATGGGCTTCTGTCCTTGGGAAGGAGGCCTGGGGATTCCAGGAATCCTGCGGTGGAGGGTAGAGGAACAGGCTTGCGGCAGAGTTCAGAGAGGTGACCAGCTGGGGCGGTCAATAAGGGGAGTCCTGAATCTGGCAGTCCCTTCCCTCAGCCCCCATAAGTGGCCACAGCAGAGGCTGAGTCCTAGGCCTTTCTGGGAGTTGAGACCCAGAAGTCACTTTTCCCCTCCAAACCCTGCTTTATCTATGAAATGGAGAAAATAACACTAACACCCTAGTGTTATTATGAGGATTTAAGGAAGTAATATTTATAAAACACTCCCAAGTGCTTGCTATGAGGTAAGCCTTTGGCAGATGGCAGTTACTGTTGCAGTAACAATGTGACACCTATTTTTGGTTATTATCTCAGTGCATTTGGGCTCCTGTAACTAAAACACCATACACTGAGTGCTGTCAGCAACATTGATTTCTGGCGGTTCTACAGCTTGGGCGTTTCCGGGTCAAAGATCCACTGGCAGATTCGGTGCCTGCCTCCTGGCTTACAGCTAGACCTGAAGGGGAGGAAGCAGAAGGGGGCCCCCTGAGGTCCCTTTTGTAAGAACATGAATCCCGTTTATTGGGGATCCTCCCTCAAGACCTAATCATCTCCCCAAAGCCCTACCTCCTGATGCCATTGGTTTGAGGGTTAGGATTTAACATATGAACTTGGGGGACACATTAGTCTAAGTCAGTGCTCATTACCATCCTCACCATTATTATTACCAAGAAGAGCTTGGGGAGGGGAGCTGGAACTGGGGATCCAGCCCCCCAAGCCAGCATTTCTCAAGTTTCTGTGTGCACAGTTCATTCGGGGGCTCTGATAAAGAGCTGGTTCTAATGCCACAGGTCGAGGTGGGGTGTGAGGGTCTGCAGTGGTTCCACACTCCCAGGTGGTGCAGGTGGTCCAGAGACCACTCTTTGAGTAGTCAGAGACTGGACCCCCCCACTATCCAATGTACTGGTCATGAGCCTCATGGGCTTGAAGTGTGATGGTCCACCGTGACTAAGTGGAAAATTCACATCAGATTTCAAGGACTTAGTACAAAAAAAAGATGTAAAATAACTCTTTAATAATTTATATCTATTGATTACACATTGAAATGACAGGATAGCTTGTTAAAGAAAAGGTCTTTTTTGATAGAGTCCTTTTATTTTTATTGAGGTGATATTGGTTTATAACACTAAGTTTGAGGAGTACAGCTTCACGCTTCTTCAAATGTGAAAAGTTTTTGAGAGTAGTTAAAACATTTTTTAAAAATCATATTAAAAAGATGGTTTCTATTTTTTTCACCAGATGTTCATAATTTTATTTGCAGCCTTTACCCACCACAGAAGTTCAATCTCCCCATAAAATGTATTATTAAAATTAATCTCATTTTTTTTTTTACTTCCTTGAATAAGCTACTAGAAAATTATGTGTTCGGTGTGCAGCTCACATTATATTTCCCTTGGACAGTGCTGCTTGAGAACTTTCTCAGCTTTGTCAGGTCAGTTCTGGATTTGCCAAAGGCTTTTTGCAGGATTCCTTTTGCAGCACTGAGCCTCAGGAAGCGGGCTCTGAGTTCCTGACCACAGATCCACAGAGATCTGCAGACAGTGATGGGGGAGGGAAGGGCTTTGGTCTCAGAGACGAGAAATAACCAGATGCCCCGGAAGAACTAACAGTAAGCCCAGACTCTGTTCTACAGCATCTACCACAGCCACCCTAGGCTGGCCCAGGCTTTCCCCAACCTCACTTTATCCCCCAATCCCAGAACTCAGGGTAATGTCTCCTTTCCTCTCTGGTTACTGTCAGGAGGCAGCACCATGTGGCTGTGGTCAAGAGGCCTGCTCCTCCAGACGCTCAGGAGTGCCCGGGGATTCTGTGGATCTCACAGGCAGCCTCCACCTGCCCCTCAGAAGATCGTGACCACCTGGGAAGCCATCAGCCTGGGGAGGCAGCCGGTACCTGAGTACTTCAACTTTGCCCATGATGTGCTAGACACATGGAGTCAGCTGGAAAAGGTGAAGTCCCCTGTGTGCTATGTCCACCCTGGACATCAAAGGGCACCCTTGACTTCCCTAGGGAGATGGCGAGGGGATGGGAATTTTGCAAATTCTAAATTTAAACTGTTAGCCTGTAAGCCTTCGAGAAGAAATTGATGACTGAGTGCTGTGAGCCTTAGACGCTCATGCTAGAGCAATTTCCGGTGGGTCTCACATTCCTGAGCTCAAATCAGTTACATGCAAGGCAGTTAGGTGCCTTTTAATTCCCTTCTAATCATTCTGAGCAAGTGAAAAGAAAGTTGTGTTTTGCTGTTATGCTGTCTTTCATCTCCCTCTCACTCTCATGCATTTCCCTTTTAAATAAGAGTGCTGCTCGGGCTCAAAGCTTTTCACAGATCACAGCAGACACCTGGATCTGAACCAGGTTGTCTTACTTTCTGTGGGTGTGTGTGTGTGTGTGTGTGTGTGTGTGTGCATATACCTCCTTTTTTACTTCCCCTTCCTTATGTGTCTTTTGGGTCTCTCTGTATACCATGCTCTCTTTTATTTACACTAAATGATACTAACTTTGCATTCTGGGAATAAAATTTTATTTAAAATATATTTATGTTCATTTTAGAAGAGCTTATTTTTTAAAAAAAGTTAAATAGCTAAAGAAAAAAAACTAAAACTGCACTTTGGTAGATAGTGTAAAGTTATCCTGTTGGTGGATATGGAAGAAATTTAGAAAGGTGCTGTGAGAAAGACTAAGATGTGAAAGCAGGTTTTGCATTCAGCTAGGTGGTTCTCCTGCTTGAAGTGTGACTTTGGACAAATGCCCCAAGTTCTCTGGATCTCAGTCTTCTCATATATCAAATGGGAGTCATTCCTTCTGTGCTTAGAGTTTAAGAATTAAGTAAGACGTGTCTGGGAGAGACCATGATGTTCTATTCCTGACTGTCTGTCTGTAAAATATCAGCTCTTCTAACTCCTTAGTAGAGATTTCCTAATGATAAACAGAAGCCAGGTCATCTCAGCAAATTTGGTGAAATAAGGACTTTCAGAAGTTCTTTTCACCATAAAAGCAACACCAACAATAGCAACAACAAAAATGCTAGAAAATTTGCCAGAATCAATTTTTTCAGAACATTAGAAACTAACCAAAGACTAGAGTGACCCAGGAAGTGTTGATTAGAGAAATGTGTGGCTAAAAATTGAAAGATTTGGCTAAAGATTTTACTAAGAACAGCAAGCTTTGTAGCAATTTTAACTTGCCCTAGTCCCATCCCCTACTCTCTGGCTCTGTGGTAACCTTGAAAAATAATAGCCTGCATTTCTAGCCACCAAAAAAATCAGAAATGAGTTGGGGCTCAAAGAATTGGCATTATTTGTCCTTTATAGTGGTTGTTTGGAAGACCTTTCTTGCTCTTTGTATTTGACCTTAGGCCTCAACCTGTGAGGAAAGCCCTTTCTCTGGGTACAATTTGATAGAAATAAAAACAGGCAAATGAGGTGGTGGACAAAAGTTGGGGCAAACAAGAGCCTAACTAACTAAAAAAACTTTTTAAAAATGGGGAATGTGCTGTCCACAGGAATTTTGAAAACCTCATGTTGCCGGGAATTTAGAAAGCAACTTGCAGGAATAGGACTGTGCATGCCAAGGGCTTTGGAAATGATTAGAGAAGACCTCAGAAAACCCTAACTTTCATCCCTGGCTGACCTTGAGGTATGAGCAAGCAGGTGGTTAGAGCTAAGTCCTCCTTGTCAACTCTCTGACTGAGGGTTGAAGTTGGCCAAGACTGGGAAATTCATCGGTCCCAAATGTTTAAAAAACCTTTGTCCAATCATAAGTTGACCACAAAGTTAATCAAGTAGACAGGTCACACATAACCAAATAGTCACACATAACCAAGAATATTAGATTTTACAGCATTAGGTCCTAAAAATCACTAAACCCACAAACCACAGCAAGCAGCAACAATGAGAATACCTAGGAAAACGGATAATCAAATTTCAAGAGTTGCAACATTGTATATCTTTAAATGACTATTTTCAGGGGAAAATAAACCAACTTCAAGTCATATAAAGAAAGTAGGACTTTCTCTGGCAAAATAATGTCATTCCCCAATACAGCCACACCCTAATCCCTGACACCTATGAATGTAATACCTTACATGCAAAAGGGACTGTACAATGTGATTATGTTAAGATGTTGAGATGGGAAGAATAACCTAGATTGTCTGGGTGGGTTTAATATAATCAGAAGGGCAACTACATTTCTTATAATTATTTACAGCAGCAATCAATAACAGATACAGGTTTTTCTACCAAGAGTAGTGCTAAGTACGGTAACAGATATCTAAAAAATGTGGAAGTGGATTTGGAGTCAGGTTATGAGTAGAGATGGGAAGAATTCTGATGGTCATGATAGAAAAACCTTGCCATGAACAGACTGCTCGTAGAAATACAGATGTTAAGGACTTTGTGAGTAAGACCCAGAATGAGATGCATGGCAGAGAAAACCTCTATTGTGTCAGAGAAAAACTTAAGTGTTCATAAGAGACTTGGTAGAAATATGAACATTAAAGACATTATAGTTAAGAGGGAATGAGGATATGTTACTGGAAACTGGATCTTATACACAGAGCCAGAAATCTCAGCTAAATTGTGTCCTAAAGTAATGGAGAGAGCAGAATGATCGGTGATAACTTAGCTATTGAGCTGAGGAGATCTTCCCAGTGAAACGTTGAAGATACGACCTGATTACTTTCTTGGTTATATTAAAACGCTAGAGGGAAAAAATAGAGGGGAAATTTTTGAAGCAAAAAAAAAAAGAAAAAAAAAAGACCAACACTTGATGATTTGAGTTCTCAACCTATCTGTAATGCATAAGACAGTAAAATTAGGGTATTCACTGCCAGGAAGGTGTGTTTTGGAAGAAAATCCAAGGGTATGACTGGACAACCTTTTACTAGTGATTAAAGTATCTGAAAGTCAGTCTTACAGAGGGTTCTTTGAAGAAATTATGTACACTCTTATTTTATGCCTGCCCCATCATTGCATTTTAGGAGCAGATAACTTGATAAACCTATGTATATTTTAATGAATATCCAAAAGTGAAATTAAGAAACAATTTTATTTATTAAAAATGTAAAAAAATTACATACTTGGAATAAATTCACATACTTAGAATAAATGTAACCAAAGAAATATAAGACTTATATGCCCCAAAGTACAAAATATTGTTAAAATAAATTAAAGAAGACCTAAATAAATGGAAAGACATCCCATGTTCAGGGATGTTAAGGTGGCAGTACATCCCTCTGTGTGTGTGTGTGTGTGTGTGTGTGTGTGTATTCAGTGCAATCTTTATGAAAATCCCAGGAGATTTTTTTGCATAAGTAGATAATCTTGTTCAAAGTCCATGTGGAACTGTGAAGGGTCTCATAATAACAAAACAATCTTGAAAAAGAAATACAATACTGGACTCAAACTGCAACTATGACAGAATTACAGTAATCAAGACTTTGTGAAGAAAAAAAAATGGCATGGCACTAACTGGAGGATAGGCATGGATGAATGTGATAGAATTAGAGTCCATCAATAAATGATTGGATAAACAAAACGTGATATATTCATACAGTGGATTATTACTCAGCCATTAAAGGGAATATAATACTGATACATGCCACAATTTAGATTAACTTTCACAACATATGCTAAATGAAAGAAACTAGATAAAAATGCCATATTTTCTACAATTCCATTCATATGAAATATCCCAAATAGGAAAATCCACAGGGACAGAAAGTAGATTAGTGCTTGCCAGGGGGCTGGAGAAGGAGAGAATAAGGAGTCACCAAACTCTGTACCATATTCTTTTTAGGATAAGGAAAATGATCTGGATGAGATAGTGGTCATAGTTATACAACTTTGTGAATACACTAAAATCCCTAGAATTGTGCACTTTAAACCAGCAAATTTTATAGTATGGGAGTAAAATCTCAATTTTAAAAAAAGGGTGGACATAGAACAATGTAAATTGCATGCTACCTTTTTGCATATAAATGTGGTAACACACAAAAAAAAACATGCTTCTATTTGCTTAAAATAACACTGGAAGGATATTCATGAAAGTGGTAATATTGGTTACTTGTTGAAGCAGGTGAAGCAGGGGTAGGATTAGTAGGCATAAGAATGGGAGCAAAGTCTTCTCAGTGCATATCTTTTCATAATTTTTTGATTATTGAACGCTGTGACTGTCATAACAATTGTAAAAAGTAAAATTAAATATACAACAACCAAACAAAAATCCTCAGCAAATGGTTTCGATTTCTTTGCTGCCTACCCTGTTATCTAGGCTGGACAGCGACCCTTGAATCCTGCGTTCTGGTGGGTCGATGGCAAGGGAGCAGAGGTCAAGTGGAGCTTCGAGGAGCTGGGGGAGCAGTCCAGGAAGGCAGCTAATGTGCTGAGGGATGTGTGCGGCCTGAAGCCTGGAGACAGAATGATGCTGGTGCTCCCAAGGGTCCCAGAGTGGTGGCTGGTCAGTGTGGCTTGCATGCGGACAGGTCAGTGCGTGGGGCTGTCAGTTCCCCATTCAGGCCGACACCACCTGCTAGAACTTTGCTGTGTCCACAAGGGAAAACGGAGCAAATTGAACTGTGTGAAGTTTTATGTATTGCCCAAAGCATCTTGTGTGGGGGGCCCAGACATTGATGTAATTGATTAAAGCAGGCCAGTGCAAGGCAGTAGGGAGTGCTGAGGACTGTGGTGCATTGGCAGTGACATGCCATGCTAAACAGGGGCAACTTCTTCTCAATGCCAACCGAATGTTTCCATGTGGCAGGAGAGCCAGTGTTACTAGAACTCTTAGTTTGTAATAGAAAACTCTGGATTTTTATTTTAAAAACCTCCAATGTTTTAATGCTGACAACTAAACAAATTGTTTAAAAATTCTGAGTGAGACAGACCAAAGATAGTTTCTGCTGGTTGTGGTCTGGGAGTGATGAGCAATGCAGTTATGGATGAAAGAGATACCTTTGCAATAAACCCTTTAGACCTTAAGGCTCTCACCATCAGAGCATCTTCCAGCTCCCAAGGAAAAGACAAAGTAATCAAAGCAATAAAATTAGTGCTTGACAGTCCCTTGTCCTGCAGTTATGTAAGTTCAGGCCAGAGGACCATTAATTTTCTTGGGTATCTTTGTCCATCAGAAGGCACAAAAGGACACAGGCTATAGAGTCCAGAACATCCACTGACCCTGATGCATGCACTTTTAAGGGGCCAGAGCTTTCAGGCTGATTTTACAAAGGCAACACCACTACTTACAGCGGAGAGCAGGTTTCTCCATCTTCTGGGAAATTCCTACCACTCTCCTCCACTCGTGTCCCAGAATATGCCCCACTGTGCTACCTTCCCCTCACCCTGAGCAACCTTTACCCAACACTAGACAGCTTCTGTTTGAAAGGCATGAAAACCACTGAGGTCATCTCTAGGATAATATAACAATGTTCAGGATCATGGACCCCAGGTTTATCTCCTTCTGGGGGCACAATTCCAGCTCTACAACATACTACCTGTGTGGTGTTGGGAAAATTATTTCATTTATCTAAAGGCTAAAGGGCTAAGTCTCAGTCTGTTATCTGAAAGTTGGAAGCAATAGTAACATCGACTTCCCAGTGTGTTAAGATTTAAATGAAATAATGCATGGAAATTTCTTAGCACATGTAAATGCTCCCTCTGGATTTCATCACTATTATTGTTGTTGTTACCTTTTTCAGTCCAGGAATTCCAACCCTCTTGAGCCCTTCCTGCTCCTCTCTCAAAGGGGATATTTGGTCTGGACCTGTTCACAAGGGTCCTCTCCTGCTGCCCAGCCAATGTCCCCTCTCTGTGTGGTGTCAGGGGCTGTGATGATTCCGGGCATCTCTCAACTAACCGAGAAGGACCTCCTGTACCGGCTGCAGGTGTCCAGGGCCAAGTCCATTATCACCAATGACTCCCTGGCTCCTAGGGTGGATGCCATTAGTGCCGACTGCCCCTCCCTCCAGAACAAACTGCTGGTGTCAGACAGCAGTCGGCCAGGCTGGGCAAACTTCAGAGAACTCCTCCGGTAAGTGGGGGTTCACCAGATGACAGAATAAAAATGAAGCCAAGACACTGCCCCTTTAAGCTACAAGAGGTGGAATGTACAGCTGATTGCACACACAGAGTAAATCAAAAGGGAAGTCAGATGGACCTGAGACTAATTCTGGTGACCACCTATGGTCTTTCAAAATCACTCGCTCATAAGTCCCGGATGGACTGACTTTGCAAGCCTTACCAGGTGACCTTATGGTGCAACCAGATCTGAGAACCAATGGGTTAGATTCTCCAGATCATAGAACTTTAGAAATTACCCAGATCTCAAAATCCCAAATTTGGAGAACCCTTTAGAAAACAGCCTCAAATGATCAGGAATCGAGGTGGGGAGATGTACCTGAATGTGAAGTTCGGTACAGACATGTGTGGGTCCCACCAGAACATGAACTTTTTTGAATGAGTCATTAGACATTATCAACCTCAGTTTCCTTATCTGGAAAAGGTTATAATGACAACACCTGCCCCACGAGGTGGCTGTGGGGATCAGCGATAAACATGCCAGCTGGCACTCCCAGCAGGGTGTCTCATACAGAGTATTTATTAAGATGGCAGATGGTGTTGGTGTGATACATGTCCTCGCTACCATGACACTCTCTACTACTGGCAGTGCCAACTCATGTTCTCATATTTTATAGGGAGGCATCCCCAGAGCACAACTGCATGAGGACCAAGAGTCAAGACCCACTGGCCATCTACTTCACGAGCGGCTCTACTGGAACCCCCAAGATGGTGGAGCACTCCCAGGCCAGCTATGGGCTGGGTTTCGTGGCCAGTGGAAGGTACCAGGGGAAACTCATCTGTTGGGTTGGTGGGACAGAAAGTAGGCAAAGGAGTGAGTGAGGGAGAAAGTGGCCGGGGTTGAGGTCAGAGAGTCAACAGGGGTGCAACTCAGGTAGGATCTGGTTTCTCTGATGGAGAAGCCATTAATGGTATTTTTTTAATGGTGGAAAAATATATGCAACATAAAATTCACCATTGTAATCATTTTTAAATGTACAGTTCAGGTCCTCAACTACACTCAGTTATTGTGCAAACATTCTTACTGTCCATCTCCAGAACATTTTTGTCTTGCAAAACTGCAACTTTGCACACATTTCACCCTCTGAAATCTATTTCACAATAATGCCCCATTTGCTCTTCCCCACAAGAACTGGCAGCAATTTCTCTACTTTCTGTCTTTATGAATTTGACTTTTCTGGGAACCTCATATAAGTGGAATCACACAGTGTTTCCCCTCTTGTATCTGTCTTACTTTACTTAGCATAATGTCTTCAAAGTTCACCCATTTGTAGTGTGTGTCAGAATTTCGTTCCTTTTTAGGGCTCAATAATATTCCACTGCGGTATACACACAAGGTTTGTTTATCCATTCATCCATTGATGGATACTTGGGTTGCTTCCATATTTTGGCTCAGGTGAATAATGCTGTTATAAACATGGATTACAAATATCTGTTCAAGACCCTTCTTTTAATTCTTTTAGGTATATAGTTAATGTGTCATTTAACATCAGGGATGTATTCTGAGAAATGCATCATTAGATAATTTAGTCATGTGAATATGATAGAGTACACTTGTACAAACATAGATGACATAGCCCACTACTCTTCTAGGCTATTTATAAGGACAAGCATCCTGTATGTGGTTTGTCACTGACAGAAATACTTTATGCAGTACATGACTGTATGCCCAGAAGTGGGATCAGTGTCATATGATGATTCTGTTTAATGCTTTGAGGAATCTTGGAGTATACTGAACAGAGAAGTAACAAGATTTATTTGTTTTTAAATGAAACACTCAGGACATTGGGTTGAGAATGAGAGTCCAGTACATTACAAAGTGGGTGCTTGCCCACGCAGAGTATCAGTGGAAGGACTGCAAAGAGGCAAGACTGGATGTAACTAGATTTGTTGACAGATTTGCTGTGAGGTGAGAGTCAAAGAGAAGAGTCAAGGATGACCCAGCAACTGAACAACCCAAAGCATGAACCGAACAACCCAAAGCATGAACCGATAAAGGAAAGACTGGGGAAGAGCTGCCTGGTGGGAGGAAGACAAGAGTTCATTTGCGGACTGTAAGGTTGAAGTGCTTATTAGACATCTTTGAGTTCAATGCAGAGATGTTGAGTAAGCAGTTGGATAGACTTGTCTAGGGTTAATGAAAATCATGCTGGGTTACCAGCATAAAGAAATGCATTAACACCATCAGTTTAGCTGAGATTAGCAAAGAGTAATGTAAGTTGAGAAGAGAAGAAGTCTCAGAACAGAGTGCCTGAGCATTTATTTCTATAATGAAGAGGGATGTATAGACAATTCCATGGAGGAGACTAAGAAGGAATCACCAGTGAGTAGGATGAAGACCAAGAGAGCATGTGTTCCAGAATCCAATTACAGAACATGACCAGTCCCCTCTTTTCCATGCTTGTAGACTCTGTTTCCCATGCTAGAGATGTGCTTCTTTCTCTGCCTCACCTATGTCATTGCTGCACAATGCTTATACTCAGCTCAGGTATCACCTCCTCAGTGGAAGTGTCTCAGACCCATCTCCACGCTTGCTCTTGGCTTGGTGCCTGTTCTCTGCAATTGCATAGAGTTGCAGTTGCAACTCTATGAAAGGTTGGTCTCTAGATATATATTTACTTAGCTATAAGTCCCTCAGGGCAAGACTCATCATCCATTTCTATATCCCTAATCCTAAATCCAGAGTAAGTGCTGAATAAATGTGTACTAAATAAATAAAGAACCCTTATTAATTGATTGAGATTATTTATTCCCTTATATGTCACTCTCAGTATACTGCAAAGTCCTTGAGAGTGTGGAACCTGTCTTTTATACTCTGCTCAGGCACTTTTATACTAGGGCTTAGACACACCGAAGATGCTCAGTAACTGCCACACAAGGTTGACTTACAGAGATTAGTCAAGTGTGAGTATCCACTGCGGGCAAGGATCCAAATAAGGTAACTTTGATGATGTAATTCTTTTCAAATCTAGAAGAATCCCTAAAGGATCTGACTTCCTCTAATTTTTGGCAGGCGCTGGGTGGCCTTGACAGAATCAGATATCTTCTGGAACACAACTGACACTGGCTGGGTGAAGGCAGCCTGGACCCTCTTCTCTGCCTGGCCCAATGGGTCTTGCATTTTTGTTCATGAGCTGCCTCGAGTTGATGCCAAGCTTATCCTGAATGTAAGAGGCCTCTCTAAACATCTTTTATGTGGTAGGTGTAAATACGCCAAGTGAGAAAAAGCAGGAGAAAAAGGCATGAATGAATTAATGATCAATAAGATTTCTTTAGTGCTAATATTAATGAAAAAATCTTCCCAGGACCTTCCATAGTCTGGTTCTTACCCACCTGGCTCCCTTTGATCATTATTTATCCCCTGTACAGAGCTCTAGACCAAAGACCACTTCACATCTCCAGAACTTTGCATAGTCTATTTCCACTGCAAGAGTGCTTCTCCCCCCACCACTTTCTTCCCTATGCCTCTGTCCAAACCCTAGTCATTTTTCAAAACCTTGGTGAAAATCATAGTCTACTCCCCACTCATGTGCATTCTACTCAGCATGCGTAGTTCACCCAGCCCTCATGTCCTGGTGACTTGTTCCCAGCCTTCCAGATGGTCTCATGATTGATGACCCCATGAAAGATACAGGACATTTTTCTTCTTCCTTCCACATTCTAACTCCCTCCCTTAAAACACCGGAGAGGCCATCTACCCAAGATTTTAGTACTGAGGCAATCTGTTGCACGCAGTAGCTAATAGCACAGGCTTTGCCTCAGTCAGACCCGACCTCAGACTCCACATTCTCCATTTGCTACATGCTACATGCTCCATTTAGGAAAGTGACTTACTCTCCTTGAGCCTCAGCTTCTTCATATGCAATATGAAAGCAATAATATAGTTCTCTAGAGTTGCTGTGACAATTATGCAACACTAGGCACATAGCAGGTTCTTAACATATATTGAGTATTACTATCATGCAGTATTCATGTAGGGTGATCAGCTGGTATATGCCTTCTTCCCCCATTGCCCCTGCCCTGCCAGAGTGTGTATAGTTATCTGTTTTTGTGCAGCAAATTACTCCAAAACTTTGCAACTTAAAACACAAACATGTATTATCTCACAGTTTCTGATGGCAGCAGCTTAACAGGTACTTCTGGACTGTGGTCTTTTATGAAGTGTTGGTCTTGATGTCAGCTAGATATACTCATGTTCATAGTAATATTATTTATAATAGCCCAAAGTGGAAGCAACTCGAGTCCAATCAATAGTGGATAACAAAACGTGGCACATACACACCATGGAGTAATATTCAGGCCTAAAAAGGAAGCAAATTTGACATGATGCACATAGATGAGTCTTGAGGACATTGTACTAAGTGAAATAAATCAGCCACAGAAGGACAAATACTGTATGATTCCAGATACATGTGGTACCTAGAGGATTCAATTCATAAATGGGTCAGTTTATGAAAGTAGAGCAATGGTCAGGGGCTGGGGAAAAGGTGAAATGAGGAATTATTGTGTAATGGTAAAGAGTTTCCATTTGGAAACATTTGCAAAGATCTGGAGATGGATGTTAGTGACGGTTGTACAACAATATGAAAGTACTTCATACCACCAGACTGTATTCTTAAAAGGGTTAAAATGGTAAATGTTGTGCTATTATCTTTTAAAACACACACACACACAAATGTTAGCCAAGGACTGCAAATTACCTTAAGTCTTGACTAGGAATGAAAAATCAGCTTTCAAAATCACTCATCTGGTTTTTAGAGAACTTCCTCACTAGCTCTTGCCCAGAGGCTTCAGCTCCTACTTAGGTGTGTTTGTCCATTGGATGACTTGCATCCCACACAACATGGTGGCTCATTTTCCCCAGAGTGAGTGATCCAAGAGAGGGAGAAAGAGATGACTTCTAAGATAGAAGCTGTAGCCTGTGTTTAACCTAAGATATCAAAAGCAACACCTGTCACCTCAACAGTGTGCCATCAGTCACACAGACCACACTTGGTGCCACGTGGGAGAGGCTCCTCAAAAGCACAAATGCCAGGATGTGGCAACCATTTGTCGCCATCTTGGAGGCTGGATAGTGCACATAGTGTTCAACTCCTCTCCTCTGAGAATATGAATGTCCAGCTTGCCTCTTCCATCTGCCAAAATCACACCCCACTAACTCTGAATACTTTTTCTTTAGACTCTCTCCAAGTTCCCTATCACCACCCTCTGCTGTGTTCCCACCATCTTCCGTCTGCTAGTGCAAGAGGATCTTACCAGGTATAGCCCATCTGTTTGATTCTTTAGGAAATTAAATATGTGACTATAGAGCACAGGTACCTGCATGAACAGTCACCTCCTCATTCCAACTTTCTCTCTCTCTCTTTCTCTCTCTCTCCCTCTCTCTGTAGCTCTCTCTCTCCCTCTCTCTCATACACGAGCACATACACTCATATTCTTCATAGAATCAACTCAAGAATGCTCCCCAGGAATTTCCCTCCAGATTTAAGACAGTCTGAAATTTCAGCACTTGATGTGGCCTATTTCCCGACTCTACACCCATAGCTCACTTCCTCAGCAGTGTGTCTGCTTCTTCTATGAGATTAGAAAAATCATTGGTTAATTGTTTGGCACCCCTGGAATGGTGTTTGCAGCCAGGGTCGTAGGTTTGGTGGGATCACCAAGTTGACCATGACAGATACTTCATCCCTCCATCCTAACACTAACCATTGAGTGCATTCCACTGGGAAACCAACAGAAGGTGGTGAGATCCTGTGAGTGGCTCCTGGGTAAAGCCAAAGCAAATCTGCTGACAGGAGAAGTCTAGTTTGCTGGGATATGTGGAGAGAGGCTTGTCTCCAATTGTCTCTGATCTTTCTTCCTCTCCTATCCTCTCCCAACTCATGGAAAATTGTCCCCATCCATCCCTCAGCTCCCCCTAAGCCATGGATCTGGCCATGACCATCCCTTAGAGAATAAGACCTTCCGCAATGGTCTCAAGGTGAATTGTTCTGTAACGTAAGGATTCATCATTGATCGGTTGTGTTTATCTCATCATCACAATTTTGCCCCAAAGCAACTTCTGTGTGATTTGTTCAAGAAAATTTGATTGAAAGATACTCAGTAATGCTAAGCAACAGTTGAGGCAGTTTGATCCAAAAGGAAAAATGGTTGGAAAATTATTGTGCAATCACTGATTCTGCACATTTTGAATAATTATTGAATGGAGGGGGAGGGGTAGTCTTGTAACATATTTAACATCTGTCAGCTTCTTTTGCCCCTTTTGCTGTTTGGGTGTTCTTAGAGAACTCCTGACTATCTCATCAATTGTTGATAGATTTATCTTTTCAAGCAGGTGGTTGTCCCAATCAATTTAGCGTCCATTTGTTTCCAACTAAATTATTTTGGACAATTCACCTGGAATGTTCTATGGGTTTCTGATTTTATCCAGACCCAGACAAGTTTGATTTAAAAAAAAAATATATCCATCTGAGAGGAATATGCTGCAAAGTCAGAGGACAGGACCCCTGGAGCAGGCTAGGAAGCCCGGGGTTTCCTCTCCGGAAACGTTTGTGTCTTGGTCTGGACACGGGACAGGGAGGTGGGGATGGGGACCCTGACACAGGCAGCCTTGTATTTCTCTGGCTGAGGAAGGTACCAGTTTCAGAGCCTGCGACACTGCTTGACTGGAGGAGAGGCCCTCAATCCTGATGTGAGGAAGCAGTGGAAGAACCAGACGGGCTTGGAGCTACATGAAGGTTACGGCCAGTCTGAAACTGTGAGCTGGGATGGGGGGGTCCTGGCCCACATCAGGGGAACCTCAGTCACTGGGGATGGTCCATCCACAGAGCCTCCTGCCTTTCTGGTTGTCACATCTGTGATACCTGCCCTGCCTGTGGGATAAGAAGCCAACTACAAAACTCCATCTGCCTTTCTTCCCTTTTGTTTTAAAGATCAACTTAAAGTAAACTCCCGATGACATGATGCCCAGCAAACCAGCTTTTGCAGCCAAGGATGGTCCTTGTCTCCCCCCAGGACAGCTTTTGTCTGTCTCTGATCAGAACCCACCCTGTTCACTAGTGTTCTCTACAGAGATTCAGCCAACAGCTGAGACATTGGCTTGGTGACCTGTCAGGGTCTTCGTGTGCGGGGATTATGGAATGTTCTGTACATGTTTGATGACTAAGGAAAGAACAGAAGAAAGGAAGGCGAGAAGACATGGAGGAGAAAGGGTAGAAGGAAGGGGCTAAAAATAAAGGCAGCAAAGAAGGGAGAAAGGAAAAGAGGATGCAGAAGGAAGTGTGTGAGAAGAGAGAGAGAGAGTAAAGGCATGAACCAGGATGGAAGCTGAGGGCTGAGGATCCTACTTCTTGGTACCACTTTCTCCCCAGGTTGTCATCTGTGCCAACCCAAAGGGCACAAAAATCAGGTCTGGATCCATGGGGAAAGCATCCCCGCCTTATGATGTGCAGGTAGGCAGCCTCTCCCAACTGTGGCCGAGGGTTGGTTCAAAATGCATGACCCCACTTAGCAATACCAGGCTCAGCCGGCAGGAGCCTGGCCATGCAGACATCCTGACACCGTCCTGTGATGTCCCCTCCACCAGATTGTGGATGATGAGGGCAACATCCTGGCCCCAGGGGAAGAGGGGAATGTTGCTGTCCGCATCAGACCCACCCGGCCCTTCTGTTTCTTCAATTGCTATTTGGTAAGTGGCAGGGAACAGTCATTTCAAGGGAATTGCTGTGTGCCAAGGATTGTACCACACACTTTATAAGCTCTTATTTGTGTAGCTCTTGCAATAATTGTTTGAGGTAGGTTGAAATTGTTTGATTAGGAAGGTAGAGACTGTAGTTTTTTGATGTTATTCAATAAGCATGCACAGGACATGCAATGTAAACGTGGTTGTGTCTGAAACTGCAAACCTATCACATTAAGGGCAACCCCAACACATTAAGGATGAGAAAATGGAGTTTAAGGGAAGGGAAGGAAGGTAATTTTGTGTCAAATCTGGTTTTCAAGATTCTTTTTGTCTTGAGTGTTGGGTAGATAGGGGTTTGCTGTCAGGACTCTGCCCTAGGATTCTAGTTCAAGTTTCTGAGCTAATTCAGTAGTTACTTCTCCCTTATTCCCACCTTAGCTGCTGTTTATGATGGGCTTTCTTCCCAACTCTTCTCTATAAAACGCAACTAACACAGATTGCTACCCTCGTTGCACTTTATGAACACTTTGGAAGCTTCATGAATGACCAATACTCAAGCCCCAACTCAACTAGATTCAGTTTTTTAATGGTGTGGATAAGCTCCCCAGGTGACTCAAATATGCAGTCAAAGTTGAGAAGCATAGCTAGGAATCCCATGTGATGTGTATACAAAGCTATCAGTCAGTTATAGTATTGAAAGGCACATATAAAAATCTGTCAATTGTTTTACCAATGTTGAATGTATATTTTAGTGACTTTTCTGTGAGTTTCCAACTGGCTCAAAACAGTTTGAACCAGTTTAAACCAGTTCCAACCAATTCTATCCAGCTCAAACAGACTCCAGTCCGCTGCAAACCAGATCAAATTGATAGAACTGGATCAGACTGGTTCCAAGCAGCTCCAATAAGTTCCAACTGGCTTGAACAAGTTCAAAGCACCCCAACCTGTTCCAACCAACCTGAACACTGGCTCAAACTGCAAGAACTGGTTCCACCAATCTCCTACCAGCTTTCACGGCCTAAACCAGCTCCAATCAGATCAGGCTGGCTGTAACCACCTCCAATCGAATCCAACTGGCTCAAACAGCCCGACCATGCTCCAACTGGATACAGCTGGTTCCAGCCAGTTCCAACCAGCTCCAACCTGATCAAACTGTATCACATTGGCTTAAAACAGCTCAACCAGTTCTGTATGGCTCCAACCAGCTCAAAAGTGTGCAAACTGGGTCTAACTGTCCCAAACGTGATTCATCCAGCTCTAGCTGGTTCCAACCAGATTAGCCCAGCTCCCACCTGTTGCAGCCATGTCTAGCTGGTTCTAACCAGTTCCATCCAGCTTGAACCAGCCATCAAAGCTGGTAGGCACCATATCACAACATTTTTATCACCCACCAAATTTCATTATGTTCCTTCGCGGGCACTTTTCAAACCCTGGCAATTTGTTGTTACTGCAGAATTGTTTTTCCTTTTTTAAAAAAAAAGAATTTCAGGGCCTCCCCTGGTGGCGCAGGCAGTTGAGCGCTGTGCTGTGAAGCTGTCCACAGCCTCTGCAGCGCTGGTTTGATCCCGGATGGCCAGTGAGGGTCCCACATGGCACAGCAGACCTCTTCCGTTGCCCCTGCTGCTCCCCTCAGCAGTGTATTTTGTCAGTCTGCCTGTTCTGTTCCCTGCTCTGTCTCTGGTGAATCCTCTCACCCTCCCACGCATCTGGCCTGTACACCAGTTCTTGTATAAAAATAAATAAATCTTTTTTAAAAAAGAATTTCATACAGACAAAATCTTAAAATATTAACTTTCGTGTGTATGATTTCTTTTATTATGTTATATTACATTACATTATGTATATATCAGTATATATATATTTTTTGCTGAGTGATAGCATTTTCTTGAAAGATCTGAGAATCAGTTTGATTGCTTTTCTCCTTCCTCTACCCCTGCTTTTTGTCATCACTTTCTACCTTCAGTGATTCCTGAGCACAGAGTATCAGTGGCTCTTTCATCCTTTGAAGCAGAGCCAGTGGCCCTGTGCCCACCCCCAGCTTGCAGCTAGGATTCCTAGGACCCTTCTGGAAATGGTAGTGATTTCCTGGCAACTTCCTTCCAGTTAAAAGAGGGAAAACCCATATAATTCTGGCCAGTTCAGTCCCCAGAAACTGCTGGACTTCCTACTGGGGAGTCGTCAGCCTCCTGCATGGGCCTGCTGGGCTGTCACTGGGCTGGGTGACTGCACCCAGATGGCCCTTCAAGAGTTAAACTGTCTTTCAGGACAATCCCGAGAAGACGGCGGCATCAGAACAAGGGGACTTCTACATCACAGGGGACCGAGCCCACATGGACAAGGATGGCTACTTTTGGTTCATGGGAAGAAATGACGATGTCATCAATTCTTCAAGGTCAAGGCATCTGCTTTTCCCTTCTCCCTCCAAAGCTTCATGGCAGAGGTAAGGTCACTTGGAAGTTTGTTTTTCTCTTCCAGCTACCGGATTGGGCCTGTTGAAGTAGAAAGTGCCCTTGCTGAACACCCTGCTGTCCTGGAGTCTGCTGTGGTCAGCAGCCCGGACCCTATCAGAGGAGAGGTAAGTGGACCGGCCCAGGATACTGCCTCCTGGTTCTGTACCTCGCAGCACCCAGCAGAGTAAGCTGGAAAGCCCTGATTCCCCAATATCTCACCCCATTCACAAAGACTGAAATGCCACCACCATACACACCTGCCTTTTGGGTAAGCATTGCCCTCATGCTGTTTGAGATACAAATACTCTCCAGGAGGAAGCAGAGGGAAGATACCAACACTTTGGTGTAGGTAGACATAGACCTGGGTCCCAAAGAAGCAACTGCTGGGAAGGAGATGCTGGTGCTGGCGCAGGCCCTGTCTCCACGCTGTCCAACAGAAAGTCCTTTTCCTTCTGCAGGCGAGGATGTGGCAGGCATGCCTGATGTGGTTGCTGCTGGTTCTAACCTGGGAAGAATGGCCCACTTGAGGGAGAGAAGAAATAGGTATACACAGTGCTAGATCAGGGAGATGGACCACATTTAATAAGCTGGCCTTTCTCAGTGGAAATGCAAATTCCTTCCCATAGGTCCCAGAAGAATAGATGGAGTGGGACAAGTAGGCTTCCTGACTTAGACAGACTGACTGTTCATCCACCATAATCCTTAAGTGTAATGCAGTTACCCTTTGAAAGTTAGCACAGCTTCAAGCTGCCTTCTCAGAAGCATCAGGGCCAGAAGAGTGATTCTCAAAGTCAGCAGCTGCAGCCCCACCCTCCAGGTGCATCCTCTGGGATTCTCGTTTAAAATGGAGATTTCTTACCTTGAGTAAGACTTGCTGCATCCAAGTGACTGGGGTTGTAGTCCCAGGATCTTCATTTGATTAGATGCCCCTAGCTCAGTGACTCTGAGCCCTTTAAGGTGACTCCTAGAGAATGAGGGAGGCAAGAGTCCCAATGTGCTGGAGAAATTAACCTGGAAAGCCTGGAGCGGGGGATTAACTGGGATTAACTGGGGCTGTGACAGTGGCTTGTGCTCAGAACATAGTCTGGTACAGAGAAAGCGCTCGATAAATGCTTGGTTGTTTTAGATGTAAGAGAAAGCCCTTCCTAAAAATTGCATCTGTCTGAACATGAAATGGTAGTGAGCTGCCGCACCTTGGAAGTGTGAAGGACAGTGAACCACCATGTCACAGGATATGGTTGACAGAGGTGATGCTGGTATATGGATAAGCCTTAACTCTGCATTACTATCAAAGGCCACGTTCTGTTGTGCCTGAGTTTCTGGCTCTTCCTCTGCCTGCCTGGGGGGAGACAGTCTGGAGACAGTCTGCAAGAATGATGTGGGCAGAGAGAGTCAAGGTGCAGAATGTCCAGGGATGCCTGGAACAGAAGCTGTGCAGCAAAATCTTTGCTGATTCCAATTGCTCATCTAGGCAGCCACAGAAAGACTCACATCTCCCTTGAAGTGTCTGTATTTCCCCCAATCCTGCCTGTCCAATCCTAAGCCTCACTGCCTGCCTAGTCAGGAAAACCTGGACATAATGGACCCTAAGGAGCTTGCGAAGCTCCTCTCTTCAATGTATTTGCATTTTTGCAGAAGTACCCTGGCTCCTAAAATTGTCATTTTGAGTATGTGGAGTAGTTTGGGAAACAGACAAGATTCTAAAATTATCACACAAAAGCCAACACTCCCAGCAGTTGATCTTGGAAAGGTGGGCATCAAGAAATCACCACTGTTGTCATTCACAGCCTAATTCTCAGGCGGCGCCAGGAAAGAGGAGCTCTCTCTCGCAAGGCTCAGAACAGAGCTCTTATACAAGTCCTGATTGCTTCCGGCTTTGGAGGTTTGAGCTCTGTTTTCTTCTGGCAGGTGGTAAAGGCATTCATAGTCCTTTCTCCAGCCTACACCTCTCATGATCCAGAGGAACTGACGCGGGAACTCCAGGAGCACGTGAAAAGGGTGACTGCTCCATACAAGTACCCCAGGAAGGTAAAGGCCTGAGGGGCACACACCACTTGGACCCCACTCAAGGCCAGCCCTGGGGAGAAGCAAGGCCAAACAACCCTTGCCTCCTTCTGTCCTTTTCTGCTTGTTTCTTCACTGGGGGCTCCTCCCCCCAAGCATATTTTGTTCCCACTCTCAAAACGGGCCATAAATCTGATTTGGGGGGTGTTGTGAAATGCTGTTGAAAAGATCATGTGGTCCAGGCTCTGGTTGTTTTGATGCCATTTGGAGAACCATCAGTCAGGGCGGTTTCCCAACAAAGGGGCAGAGGGTCACGACTCTGAATACACAAGTCTTTCTGCAAAATGATAATTTCAAGCATTTCTATTTTATGGTCACCAGGTGGCCTTTGTTACAGAGCTACCAAAGACGGTTTCTGGAAAGATCCAGAGGAGTAAATTGAGAAACCAAGAATGGGGGAGATGAGAGGCAACCCCAGAAGGCCCCACAGGATCCCTGAAGCTTCTAAGGAGAACTGGGGATCACTAGCTAACACCTGCTTGGGGCATCCTGCCTTCAGCCAAAGGCCTTCAACTTCCAAGTGAGCATCTCCAGAATCATGGATGACTTTGGAAGGGAGGAGAAGCTCTTCACAGATCCGACACTGTCCACTCTGACACTTGCTTAATGATTTGACTTATCCTTTCTCTGGAGGCTTTTTGGCAGCTGCCTACTAGCCTAGCTTCTCCAGAGTTCTCAGCTGACCTCCTAAAGGGCACATCACGTGTGATCTTATTCGCTGCCACTTAACCCTTTTGAAAAAGCCACTTGTTAAAAAAATAAATAAAAAGATTCTAAAATACACAAAAATATGGGGGGAAATGGGTCAAACCCTTTAGCTCAAAAATGCCACCTTTGGGAATCACTACAAAAGAAAGGATTCAAAAGATGTTCACTATCGTATTGTTTGAGATGGAACAACAACGAAAAAATCAACGCCCAAACAATACGACAACAATGGACTAAATTGCAGTAGGTTGACTCAATGACATATCACATGGCCATCAAAAATATGCCTTGGGGAAAACCTGAGCTAAATTAATTTTAAGTCGGAATAAAAATTGTGTGTGGTAGAAAACTACAACTTTGAAAGGAGAAGGAAATTCTACAGATGAAGAACAGAGGGCAAGAAAGCCATTCCTGTTGATTGGATGGAGCTGAATGAATGGATGGTAGTTAGTTTTTACCTCCCCACTACCTTTCTCTGTTTTCCAGACTTTCTCAGGGCATACATAACTATTTCAACGAGAAAATTACTTTAAAGAAACAATCCTCCCCAGCCGTACTCTGCTTCACGTCTAGTTCTTCCTCCACATCCCAACATGTCACCCCAAAGCTAGGTATGACATTTTTTCTTGCTGCTGTTTGTCTTTATAGAACACCTCCTGGCCTGGAAAAATTCTCTTTATTTTTAATGTCAAATACCAGGAAAGACACAGAACCTGGAAGTACAAGATCAAGGTGTTGGGGGGTTTGTTTCCATCGGAGGCCTCTCTCCTTGCTTTGTAGATGTTCTCCTGCATTTCCCATGAATTTTCTCTCCTGTGGCTCCATCTCCTCATCTTGTAGGAACACCAGTCATATTGGATTTGAGCCCACCCCATAGTTTCTTTGGGCACCCCAATTCAGAGGTCATATTCTGAGGTGCTAGGGCTTAGCACTTCAGCATATGAATTTAAAGCGGGGGGGACCCAATTTGGCTGATGACAATACTCTTGTGAAGTCTGCCATCCAAAGGGGAGCTTGACATTTATCATCAGAGAATAATGTAAAGATTAATGCACAATTGTGGTGGATGCCACGAAGGAAAGAGTAGAGTTAAAACAGAGATTGAGGGGAGAGAAGCTTCCATAAGGAAGTCCCCAGAGAACTGGATTGGAGGAAAAGTCCAAGTAAAGTAAGTAAAGAGATTGAACTTTCTGAACAAATGATACAGCAGGTACAAAGGTCCTGAGGAGGGAAAAAAGGGGTTGTATTTCTGTATCCTCAGCACCAGTTATGTCCCAGTATAGCTCTGAATGTTTCAGCTTTCAACCATCCTGTTGCGCAGGTACTGACAAATCCTCGTACAGGTGAAACAGAGAGGTTAAGAAGCTTACTGACGTCCACACAGCTAGTATCTCACAGAGATGAAACTCAAAACCGGGCGGTTTGACTCTAGCACTCGCACATGTTTGCTTTTTATGACTGACTTGAGAAGTTTGTCTCCCTGTGAGTGCTAGGGAGCCACTGAAGATTTATGACAGATAAATGATCTTTTCAGGTTTTGATGGTTTTTGAAAATTGGGTCATTTGTTCTTGCTGCTGTTTGTCCTTATGGAACCCCTGGCCTGGACAAATTCTTTTTACTTTAAATGTCAAATTCAGAAAGGTGATTTACCCCAGACCCAAGAGGAGGGGGCGCCAGAGGCAAGGAAAGCGTCCAGTCAGCACTGCCCACCGTCCTTAGTACTCCAGAGCAGCAACATGGCGCCCGGGGTTGGGCACTGGGATAATTCCCATTGAGCCCCCCAGATGTCAGTGTCCTGAAACCCAGGAACCTGGATGGAAATGACTCCTGAAGGAAGTGGCCCCTGCCATCACTATCACCGTAATCACACTGCTGCCCTCGCTCAGTTTCAGATACTTTGCCTACAAGGCAGATGTCGTCTGGACTCCTGTCCCCTACCCCCTTGGGCTGAGCCAATCTGTTCTTCTCCAGCTGGAATCAAAGTTTTCCGCCCTGGCACCTCACAGACTTCAGTGAGCACAGCCCAAGGATGAAAGAGGATGAGGAGGCCCAGTCACCCTTCCCCTGAGGCCCCTGCTGACCTGACTCTCCAGCCAACTTTCCCAGTCACTTCAGCCCACTTCAGCTCCAAAAGGAAACTCCCAGCTGCTGCTGTCCTGTAGGGAGCCAGGCGTGCGTGCACACACTTTCCCCCAAAACACACATGCTTCCCACCTGCACTCCAGCCCCAGATGTCATTGTTAAGAACGGCATCAATGTCCAGTAATGGACAATTTAGCCCATGTCAAGCATTGTGCTAAATGATCTGCTGAAACCTGTAACTTGGTTTTTCTCAGTCTTTTCTCCTTCTCATTCTATGCTCATTTGCTGGAGGGAACATCAAGAGTGTTGGTGAGAATGTAGAGAAAAGAGACCCCTGTCACGCTGTCATAGGGATGTGAATTGGTGCAGTCACCATGGAAAACAGTATGGTGAGTCCTCAAAATACTAAGAATTGAAATATCATAGGATCCAGCTTTTCTGGGTACCCAAAGAACACAAAACCGGTAATTTGAAAAGATATATGCACCCCATGTTTATTGTATGTTGTTTCCAAGATATATGAAATGATCAGTATTTAAAAAACACAGAAACCACTTCAGTATCAGTATCCTGAATGATCAGCAAATAGAAAAGCTAGTGTATATACAACATGGAATAATACTCAGCTATAAAAAAAAAAGATGAAATGTTATCATTTGTGACAACCTGGATGGACTTTGAGAGGATGATAGTAAGTGAAATAAGTCAGACAAAGAAAGACAAAAACTATGATTTCACTAGTACATGGACTATAAAGAAACCAACCAAATGAACAAGCAAAACTTTCAGATACAGAGAGCAGACTGGTGGTTACCAAAAAGGAGGGGGTTAGGGGAAGCGTAGAATTGATGGGAGGGCAAGGTATGGTGGTGAGTGCAAGCTAAACTTTTAGTGGTGATCATGATGTAGTATATAGAGGCATCAAATTCTGTGCACCTGAAACCTAGAGAATGTTATAAACCAAGTGACTTCCATTAAAAGTTACACAAATATATGTATATATTTCTAAAGACTTCTGGGGGATTGTGAACAGCCCATGCCATGCAAACGGTCTCTGAGTGGGCAGCTGCCAATAGCCATAGAAATAGCAGCTCTTTTTAGTGAGCAGGAACTTGGTGCCTGGCACCTCTCGTCTGTCCTGCCTTCTCATCTATAGTCAACAAATGGCAGAAGAGAGACAAAGAGCATGAAACTCCACCAGGGACATGGGGCAGCCATTTATTCCCACACAGACCTGAGGAGGGAGGCATTGTTGTTTCCTGAAGCACAATAGATTATTCTGAATGAGGTTTTGAGGTCAGTCAAAAAGCTTCCCAGAAAACTAACACTTTGACCTGTTCCCGCTTCATCCTCCCCTGGCATTAGGGCAGCTCTGTGGAAAAGCAAGAGCCTAGGTTTTCTCTCTCTTGGGCTTTCTCAGCACCCTGCTACCGAAAGAGGTGCTGCTTTTATCCCCATTTTGCAAACGAGGAAACTGAGGCCCAGTGGGGGTCTGCTGCACCTTCCTTTGATAAGTAGCACAAACAAGATTTAAAATGGGGTTTTTCATGGCAATGTCTGGGCCTTGTCTCTCGCCCTGGGTCATCCAGACAGGGCCCCAAGGCTTTCCCAGATGATGGGCAGTGGAGGGAGATAAAAACCAACGAGCTCTGAGCATGACTCCACAGCCCAGGCTTCCCTAGGGCACTGAGAGAGATTTCCTCATCTGCCCTCTGCCCTGAGCAGAGCTGTGAGCCAAGCTCTAGGCTCTAGGGCACAGTTGATTACACACGACCCTGACCAGTGACCATTTCGCTTTTATTTTTATTTATTTTTTTACTTTTATATACAATTTTAAGTACCCAGAGATGAGACGATCATCCACACTTCACAAGAAAAGGGAAATGTGCCAGGGAACACTGAGAGAGACTGATTTACTGCCCCGAGACCCCCTCCTCAAAGCCCCACCCCTCAAGTCAAGCATCTTCACTGTCTTCTTTATTCTCCTCCTTCAGGCGATACCCCCTGTCGCGCCTCCTATGGTTTGGGCCCACCATGGCCCTTCTAGCCTCCACCCACCTCTCTATGGTTTCTCCTCCTATCCTTCTGCCCCTAGGCTTCTTCTCTAAACACACCTCCCAGTCTGACCCCTCTAACCACCAACAACCTCTCAATGGTCCCTTAAACCATTGAGATCCCCTTCCAGTGCCCACCCCACCCCCCACCCACCAAACCCCGACCCCCTCAATCCTCCACGCCCAGCGTTTCTCATCATATCTGATTCTTAACTCCCTGGGTTGGCCAGATCCACTTGCTGGGCAGCCTCTCCAGGAGGCTAGCTTGGGGGCGGGGCATGCTTTTGTTAGGGGGAAAAGGATGTCTTAAAGCTGATTCCACACGGGCTTTGGGGACTCCACCCCCACCCCAGGCCAAAGCCAAAGACACTGGGAACTCCAAATCCCATCACCAGCAAAGGGAAGGTGGCTGGGACCTGAGGGTGGGGTTAAGCAGCCAGGTTGGTATAAAGCCAGACACATGGGCTTTGGGGGGGGGGTCCCCCATTTTGGCTCTCCTCCAGCTCGCAGCATCTGGCCAGCTCTGAGAGTGCCTTTGGGTTTCCAGGTCGGTGGATCGGGTAGGACACATTAAAGACTTTATTTCCCTATTTTCTCCCTGATTTGTACATTTCCTCATTTCCCTTTCCCTTGTAAATAAACCTTTTATTAACCTTTTGTGTGTGCCTGTAGTGGAGCATTAATAAGTCCCTTTTAAGCGTGTGGGTGAGGACCCACAGCCAGGCAACCCATTTTATATTGGGGTTGCCCCCCCAACAGTTTAAGGAACAGCCAGGAAAGGGGGGACATGACTTCTAGGGAGAGACCCCGGTAGAGAATGTGTGTCTCTGGCCCTTTTTGACCATTTCGTTTTTAAACTCCTTTTTCATGTAGTGCGGCCTATGAGAGAGGCTTTGGACTTCAAATTCAGGCCTGGGTTTCCGGGTTCCTCCTCCTCTGGGCCTCAGTTTCCTCATCTCTAAGGTGGTGCCCTAGAAGGCCCTAGCAGAACCCTTGTTGAGATGATCCATGAGCATAGCTACATGGTTCTGAAGGCATGAAGTGGCCATTCTTGTTTTTAAAAAATTTGAACAATGTTTCGTTTTCCACCTCATAGATTTCCCACTGGACTATGATATTCTGAATTGTGTTCAGAGGTCAAAAATTTTAAAAAGCGTAAACTTGCACTGAGTTCAGCAAAGTCTAACATTCTGGCTTGTCAGTGCTCCTGGTGGGGCTAAATACAGAGGGAACCCAGAGAGGCCTTTGCTGAGCATTCTAAATAAAGTAGCGTGCAGACCCCCATCCCAATCTAAACACACCAGAAATATCTGCAAATGCACAGCCATCCAAAGACACCTGTACACACAAGCACACACAAATGTCTATCACACAGTTTCCTACCTGTTCACACCCCCCCACACACAAATACACACACCTTCTCTTATACACACAGTCTACCTATGTGCCAAACTCAAACACAGGCACACATTCACACACTTGCCATAGAGCCAAACACACAACACAGTCACATACACATTCACTCATTCACACAGACACAAAACCACACAAACAAGAACACAAAGTCAGATACACCCCTACTCATACCCCCATATACTCATACTCCCATGGACACACATATACAAACTCACATGCTCACACATAGAACCAGACATACACATCAGCTATTCAGTCATGTGTACACACTCACACCTGTTTACACACATACACGTGTATGCTATTGCTGTCACAGACATATACGTCAATCACACTCATTGTCATGTCAATGTATTTTATTTTCTTCAGAGCCGTAATTCACTCACTCAAATATTTTCTGAATACCTATTATGTGCTAGATGCTGTTCTTAGTTCTAAATCAATGTACAAAAACAGGGAAATATCTCTGACTATGTAGCTTAGATTCTAATGAGAAAAAAAATGATTAAGTAAATTCTATAATAAGTTTGAAAGTGATGTGTATTGAAGAGAAAATTGTACTGCGTAAGGTGAGGAGGGAGAACCAGTTTAGAGATGGGCTGCAATTTTAGATGGATGACCAGGTTAAACTTCATTGAGAAGGTGAACAAAAAAAAAGTCATTGATAAAGATTTAAAGAAGAAGAGAGGTTATCTATGTAACTCCCTGGGGAAAGTGGTCTGAGAAGAAGAATCAGCAAGTGCAAAGGCCCTGAAGCAAGGCTTGCTTTCAAAGAACATCAAAGAAGCCAGTGGTGCTGCTATGCAGTGAGCAAGTGTTAAAGGTATAGGACCTCAAGCCAGGGAGGAAGAGAGTGTGAGCAGATCATGTAGGGCTTGCGGTGACAAAGTAAACATGTTGATATTTTGTTGTTTGCATGGAATTGAGGTTCAATGCTGTGTGCTGAGCAGAGGTGTGATGTGATCTGATCTCTGATGTCCTCTAACAGTATCCAAAATGAACTTAATCATTTCACATGTTATTAGCTGTCTAAACTCCAAACTGAGAGGGATCTGTCTTGGTGGTGATTTCTCTGTCCATCTGAGAGAGCCACAGTCAATGAATATTGTTTACTAATTGAGAGGGACAGATATTTCCAGGTAGGAGAGCATGCCATGGCTTATCCTGGGGAATTTGGTTCCAGAACTGTCAATCCAAAAGGGTCTGGGTCCTTTTGTCCACATTTTGGGAGGACAAATGACTTCTTGAGTGTCCTTCCCTGTGTGGGACCCTAATTACTATTCCCAGGAGCATTCTGCTGCCTCCGGGTGATCATCAGAAACAGCCAATGGCCTGAGACCTTCCAACCATACAGGTATGAATTTAAAGCCAAGGAACTCCCTCCAATCTCCCATTCTTAACTGCAATCACTGGGAAGTCACTGTGGGCCACACATTTGGTTTGTCTTACAATTTTTGAATAATTAAGAAAATTTTTGAATAATTAATTTTTTGAATAATTAAATTACATTCAAGTTTGAGTAAGGTAATAAAAAAACTACTCTTGCCTGGTTCAAAGTCAAACTAGCTTCCCTCTCCAGAAGCAACTGAGGTTACCGGTTTCTAGTGGACCATGCTAAGGTGTTCTAGACATTTCATGTGCGTGACCAACTTCAATCACAGGTCTCACACCTCGAACATTTAAGAGGTGTCCTGGGATTATCTCCCAATTTCCAGATAAGAAGACTGAGGCTGGGTGGGGGTGACATCATTTCTTCAAAGAGCACACAGCTCAGGAGCAAGGGAATTCAAATTCAAATTTTGATAGATTTCAGATCCTCAGTTTGTAACCGTGAGCTTTGACTGTATAGTCATGGATAGATTCCTAATTGCTGGAACTGAAAACCCAGAGGGTATTTATACAGACAAGAGGGCATAACTGGTGCAGAAGAAAGCACAGTTCCAGTCTTGGGAAGAGAGGTATGTCAGGCCCTGGAGAGTGGCAGTGAGCCAGGATGGGTGGGTGGGGTGACATATGTATCCCTCCCCAGCCCAAGGAAGTGAATGGAGCAGGGTCAACAGCTTTAATATCTGTTAGGTGTGCAAGATGGATGGGTGGAGGAGACTTTATAAATAGAAAAGGCAGAGGGAAGAATAGTTGATCATTTGGGGACTCCTGGTAGACAGAGAGAGAGAGAGAGAGAGAGAGAGAGAGAGAGAGAGAGAGAGAGACTCCTAGCTTCTCAGGAGATACCCAGGAGTTAAGTCCTTATTTCTTGCCACCGAATTCTTTCAGAAAGCACCATCTCCTTTTTCCAAAGAGATACACTGCCTCCTAATACCAGAGCCTTAGAGGAGGACAGCCACTTTGGAGGCTTCTAAAAGATTTGGTCTCCACTGTAGGTGTTGGGATATTGCTGGCAGTGGAATTGTGTTAATTTTCTCAGAGCAGGTGAGGAAGCCATGTCTTCCCAGGGCATAACTGCACTACACAGCAGGTTTGTCACATTACATCATGTCTAAGGGGGTACAGAGAAAAGCACTAAAGGGACTCAAATTATTTCTGGTATCCTTTGCAGGTGTATCTCCTCTTTTCTCAGATCCCTGTCTTGGATCCTGGCTTCTACTGTCTTCAAGTCTCTGGCCCTCCCAGATGTCCCCTCATGGAGTCTGTGTCACTTTGGGTACTTTGTGACTCAGCAATGAGCCTTCACCAGGTAACTGGCACCCTTGTCTTACCTGCGGGTCTCCAGTTGTAAGGCTCAAGTGAGAGCTAGCTCTGCATTTAGAGAGCTCCATCCCTGCCTGTCTTTGAGGACTCTTTGGTTGGATGGGCTGCTGGTGGCCAGCACCCCAAAGGGATAAATCTCCAAGAGTAGGTTCTTGTGCAGGCATGCTAGGTGGCACAAGGGGTACTTACTCCAGTGGGAAGAAGACAGGATCCACGGGGACCCGGACCCTTATCTGGTTGTGATAGTTTTCCCTGTGGAGGGTGATCCTGAGAACAGCTCATCCTACTAGCTCAGAACCTTTGATTTCCAGCTCTAGCCTCAGCCTGAGGAGCCTCTGTAAATGAGCCACTCATTTAGAGTTAGAGTTCCCGGCCCAGTCCTGGAGTGAAGTGACTTGCTGTGTCACCTTAAGCAAGTTAATACTCCACTCTGGGCTTCCATGTTATCCACTTAATGATCCGGAAAGGTCTCTGTTTTTCTGACCTTATGGCTCAAACAGAGCTGCATGAGAGTTAACATTTATTCACTTAGGTTCCCCCATGCCTCCAAAGGGCTTTAAAATATTACTTCACCCCACCATTGTAAACACTTTATGAGAGAGGTCCCATTATGAGCCCCATTTTATAGCTGGGGAAGTGGCCTAGCTTGAGTTTCTACTCAGAGGAACTCATGGAGTCACGTAGGTTTTCAAGTCTGCCTCATCCTGTCTTCTATGTTGAGAATAGGCTGCAGAGTGAAGGCAAAGGCAGGAAGACCCATGTGGAAACCACTGCAATACCCTTGTAGAGAGATGGTGATGGTCTGGAATGGGTCAGAGAATAAATTGATTCTAGATGTAGTTTGACGGTAGAACTGACTGCATTTGTCACAACCAAAGTTGAAAGAGAAGAGACAGAGAAGGCTCCAAGGTCTGACGCCAGAAGAACTCAAAGACTAGGTTCGCCATTCACAGAGATGGACCAGCTGGAAGGTGGGGCAGCATGATTTGCAGAGAAGCAAGACTGTTGATGCCAGCTTTGGACAATACATGTTTGACATGCCCATTACACATCCGGGGGGAGAAGCAAAGCAGAATAGGATGCAGGAGAGAGATCCAGGCTGGAGACACACATGTGAAGGCCATTGCAAGGCAGCTGAGTTTCCAGCCATGATACCAGTTGAGATCAAGTTTAGCATATGTGGATAAAGGACATAAGGTAGAATCATCAAAAGAGATTGCAAGTACAAGGAAAATCAGGTGAGGAAAAGGGTTAAAGGAGGTCAGAGTATAAATCAAGCCCACACGAGTGCTGCTTCTGGCTCCCTGATGGGGCAAGAACTTGCAGTCAGTCTTGGGCATAAATCTCCTTTTCACCCCATGAGTTAAAAAAACCAGTTCCTGTGGGCCTCCAAGGCTCTGAGGCTGAGCAAGCCGCAAACAACAAGGAGGACTGATTTCCCTGCAAGTCAGGCTTTTGGGGTCGTTCACAGTTAATGATTAGCTGTGATTTCTGGAAGGATGCAGTGATCCTGGACTTGATTGCTGGCATAATCTGTCCTCTCCTCCAAGCTTCCAGGGCTCCTGGATTTCTCTTCCCAGGAGGAGGGTGGACCGAGAGATTCCCCAGAGACATCTCCTAAAGGACTTGACAGGTGAGCACCGTGTGAGGAATCATGCCTGCTGATGGTAATATCCAACCCTTAGGAGTCAGCTGGGAGGTGAGTGAAAACCCCCAGAGGAAAGCAGTCTGCAATCCCGAAGGACCACAAAAGGCTGTGTCCTCCAGGTCTAACTGAGGAGGCAGCACTAGGCAGAGAAGGAGGTGACTTTAACACCCTAGGTGCCTTTAACTTCCTGCCTTTGCCTTCACTCTGCAGCCTCTTCTCAACATAGCAGCCAGGATGAGCCAGACTTAAAACCTAACAGAGGGGATAGGCTGGGAGAAGGGCACTCAACTCAAAGAAGTTGAGGGGGTATACAGGCATCTCTGAGGTGAGGTGTCAGAAGTATGTGAAAGAGCCAGTCATGTGAAAGAGCCAGGCGTGGAAAAAGAACAGGTGCAAAGATGTAGAGGTAAGGAATAGTCTAGCCTAGGAGCAGAGGGAAATCTTCACTCTTTTACTTTTGGAAATAGAAGTGGAGGCACAAGGGAAAGAGATCTCTAACTTTCTTGCTGCTGATGCCTAGACAACAGGGAATGAGAATTCAGCCAAATGGCAGGCTCTGGTATCCAAGGTCATTGGACTCCAATTCTGCAGTCTCATCAAGGTGCACATGGAGGAACTCAGAGATCAGCTGATACTGCACTGGAAATAATTTTCATAGGGCCAACATATAGATAGAATCAATAATAGCAATAGTTATAATTTCTGAAGTAATTCTGCACCTTCAGCCTTTTGTGTTAGGTGCACAGTATTCCAGACATCTCTGTGAAGGTACAATTTCAGGAAATAGATGCTACTTGTATTAGGCAATGTTTACTACAGTAGCAAACATCCCGAACATTTCAGGACCTTATAAGCAGACAGATATTTTTCTCCCCAACTGTGTGGGGCTCAGCTCAACCACACATGTGTTATTCTGGAGCCCCGGATGAAGATGGAACTCGCATTGGGGCTAAAGTACTCTCAAGATAGAAGGCAAAAATGCAAGCATTCATCAACCATCCTGTCACATCCATTCACATCTCACTTGAACCAAAGCAGAGTCCATAAGAGGTGGATTCTCCCTAGAATGCCCTGGGGGAGTTACATAAAAATGAAGGAGGATGTAAAATCCTACTACGGGGAGGGATAAAATTGTTGGAAACTATTCAGTCTTCCATGCCACACTATTTGGAGCACAAAAGCATTTATTACATGGAGTTGGGTGTTCACAAAGCTGTCTGCAGAGCTGGTGAGATAGACCTAGACTGGTTGCTGTGATTTTGGAGAATGGCACACCAGAAGGAAATTGAATTGGCTGTTGCATGAGAATTCACTCGCAGCCACAACAAATTATGTTCTGGAAGAACCTTCCAAGGTTGGGATGCATCTCCTTCAGCAGCTGATGATAAGGAGAACAGCCTATATAGAAAAGTCTCACTCCAGTCTCCTCTTTCCTTCACAGGACTAACCATGCATTGGCTGCGGAAACTCCAGAGGATTTGCACTCTGTGGGGGCCACAGATGTTCAGCTGCTCATTGCATATCCATGCCAGGCAACTGGCACCCTTGCCATGGGGCCCCCAAGAAGTCCCTGACAAGTTTAACTTTGTTAGTGATGTGATGGATCACTGGGCTGGCATGGAGAAGGTAAGGGGTGGAGAAGAGATTCAGAGCTGGACACTTGGTTGAACTCATCAACTTATCCATTCATGCAATACATGTTTGTGGGGCACTTATTTTGTGTCAGGCTCCATGATCGCCTATGAACAAAATGTCCATTTTCTATGGAGGCAGCATGGGTTGGGAACAAGAGGCATGGACCTGGCAGATAGAAGGACCCAGGAGACAGATGGGGGCAGTGTATGGCAATCTGGTCACAGCAAATTGCCATAATATGGGTTTAAAAACTGACTTAATGTTTGCCTACAAATACTGCGCATGCTCTGTTGTGATCCCCCCAGAAAAACAAGGACTAGTGGGCGGGCATCATGGAGGAGGTGAGGTTGGATTTAGCAAGAAAAATCAACATTAATCAAAGACTGAGTTTGTCATCATCTCAGAAGGTTACATGGCCTTATCATGAGGGGTGTGCAGGTAGGATGGTCCTAGGAGGTGAAAGTCACAAAGGCTCAAATGGGAGCTATGAGACAGAGTGATGCAGAAATTATGTTTGCTTTTCCATCCCGGAAATCTAAAATTCTACCCCTTTTACTATTGATCTGGCTATTGCTATTCCCTCAAGTTCTGTGCATCTTTGTGAAAGAGGGCAAGATTCATCCTGACTGGGGTAGGGGACAGGTGGATCTGCTAACATGGGTTTAAAGAAAGATGCCCAAAGGGACTCGTGGCTATGAGTCCCAACATCTTGACACAACCATAGTGCAGAGATTATGACTGCTGGGCCTCTAGGCTGATGAATCCCAGGGTGAAGATTATCTTAAAAAAAAATTGGTTCAACATTTTAAAATTGAAATTGTTCATGTAAAAATTTGAGTTTCTGACCTGTGGTTAAAATTTATATCTCCTGGGAATAAGGAGGAATGCCTGTCTACTATGACTGATAATCCTGAATCTATAAAAATGATTTAATCAATCTACTACATAATAGAACTTAAAAAACTTCACCATTGACAAACAACACTCAAGAAAAATCAAAAAGCAAATTACAACAGGAGGAAAGTATTCCTCCCCATATGACCCATATGACAGCCAAAGAGCTATAGTATCTATAACACAAAAAGACCTCATAGAAATCAAAAATAAAAGATGTGGTCAAATATAAAATTGACAAAGCATATCAATAGACAATCCCCAGAAAGGTGTACTCATATGGCCCTTAAATATAAGGAATATCTCAGCTTCACCCATGGTAAGTGTAATGTAAATTAAACTTTGCTGAAATAACAGTTTTTACCTACGAGTTTAGTTAAATCCACGTTTGAAAATATACTCTGTTGATAAGGCTAGGAAGAAATGTTAATGTTTATGTGAAAGTCTAAAGTAGTCTAATTCCTCTGGAGGGGAATTTTGAACTAACACAATTATCTGTAAGTGTTCTCTTTGACTTTGTGCCATTGCTCTCAAACTGTGATATGAGAGCCCCTGAGATTCTTTCAGGGAACCAGTGAAATCAAAACTATTCCAAAACAAAATCGGCAAGGTAGAACCTTGGTGCACCACTGATGGGAAGTAACAGCTTCCATGGAAAACAATAAGTCATTTGCTCAGAAAATTAAATGTAGAATCAAAAGCAGGGTCTTGAAGAGATATTTGTACAGCTGTGTCCACATCAGGATTATTCACAATAAGTAAATGATGGGAACAATCCAATGTGGACTGACAGGTGAATGAATAAACCACTTGTTTATAATGGAACCACATCAATATAATGGGATATTATTCAGCCTTAAAAAATGAAATTCTGATATGTGCTGCAACAAGGATAAACCTGGAAGTCGTTCTGTTCAGTGAAATAAGCCAGACACAAAGGGCGAGATATTGTGTGATTCCATTTATAGCATGAAGTGCCTGGAGTACTCAAATTCAAAGAGACAGAAAGTAGAAGGGTGGTTATCAGAACTTGGGGGCTGATTTTGTTTTGGAATAGTCTTGATTTCACATGCTCCCTGAAAGAATGCCAGGGGTTCTCATGTCATAGTTTGAGAGCAATGCTGCAAAGTCAGAGAAAACACTTACTGGTAATGGTGTTAGAGAGTTCATAATTCCTCTCCATAGGAATCAATTTTTGATGATGATGGGTAGTGATGATAGTTGCTCAAAAATGGGAATATAATTAAAAGGTACCATTTTAAGTATGTAATTCAGTGGCATTATGTTATGGATATTTCACTACAATACAAAAGGAAAACAAAAGCAAATAAATACATAGATATTTCAAAAAAGAGTGAAATAAACAAATTCAGATAACAGTTGCTCTTTTCCTTCATTCTCTCACCTGTACGCCAGTGTTCTCCAGAGGTTCTATGATGGGGATACCGCATCAAAGTGAGTGCAGGGCCAAATAAACCCATTTCTCTTCTACTACAGATGACATTAAAGAGATCTGCAAAAATATAAAATGATGCCTCTCTTTTTTATTTATTTTTTTTAATTAATAAATTTTATTTTTATATTCCCCATACAATTGCAATCCCCCCATTCTGACCCCAATCCCTCCCCTCCCGCCCCCCACCCCCCAAAAAGTGTCTCTGGTTCATAGTTTTTGTTGATTTTGATTTTCACTTTCTTATAGTTATTCATTTTCCTGGTCCCTTATTTAAGTTTTCTAGATCCCTGCTATGAGTGAGACCATCCGGTATTTTTCTTTTTCTTTTTGGCTTATTTCACTGAGCATGATCCCTTCCAGCGTCATCCATGTTGCTGCAAATTGCATGTGTTTATCTTTTTTGAATGCTGAGTAATATTCCATGGTATATATGTACCACATCTTCTTGATCCAGTCATCTATTTTTGGGCATTTGGGCTGTTTCCAAAGCTTAGCTATTGTAAACAGTGCTGCTATAAACATAGGGGTGCAGGTGTTCTTTGGAATTGATGTTTCTGTGTCCTTTGGGTAAATACCTAGGAGTGGAATTGCTGGATCCTGTGGAAGCTCTATGTTTAGTAGGTCCAGAAATCTCCACACAGCTCTCCATAGTGGTTGGATCAGTTTGCATTCCCACCAACAGTGCAGAAGAGTTCCTTTTTCTCCACAACCTCGCCAACATTTGTTGTTGCTAGTTTTTTTAATATGTGCCATTCTCACTGGTGTAAGATGGTATCTCATGGTAGTTTTGATTTGCATTTCCCTGATTGCAAGTGATGTTGAACATTTTTTGATATGCCTGTTGGATGCCTCTCTTTTTTAAAGCATACTTAACCTCTTTATTAAAATATACTTTTCATGGATATATATATATATATATATATATATATATATATATATATGCTGGGTTTAAGTTGCTTTTTAAAGTATACATTTAAACATTTGTCAATTGTAATCTCTTACATAGTAAGTATTGATAAAACCCATATAAATAAAAATTCCTTAGGATTTTTAGTAGTTTATAAGAATGTATCAGGGTGTCTATGTGCATACCATCCTGAACATGCCCCATCTTTGGAGACTGTACCAGGGTCAAGAGTGATTTGGCAGTCCCAACATGGGAAATTCATTTTATGTACTTATGTACCAACCTGCCTGATCAGTAGACTTTTTCCTTCTTCAGGCTGGCAGGCGACCACCAGGCCCAGCCCTATGGTGGGTGAATGACAATGGAGATGAGGTGATGTGGAACTTCAGCCAACTGAGTGAACTCAGCCAACAGGTGGCTAATGTCCTCTCAGAGGTGTGTGGCCTGCAGCGTGGGGACCGCGTGGCAGTGGTGCTGCCCCGAGTGCCTGAGTGGTGGCTGGTGACCTTGGGCTGCATGCGAGCAGGTTGGTAACTGACCACCGAGCTGGTCACTGTCTCCCTTGTTAAGGAAACCGATGGCAGTGAAAGGCAACCACCCCTCCTAAAAGCTGCCTCTCTACATAGCCTGCTGTCATTCCTTGTAAAGAGACACCACCCTTCTTTCATTTATTTAAACAAACTATGTGTGAAGTCGTAGGCTGGAGGTTACTAACACAGAGTGAGCAAACACAGTCTATGTATTTGTGGGACTTACAGATCTCTGGAGAAAGACAGCTATCAAATCCTTTATTGCACACATAATTTCTTTAATCTCATTTTTGATAAGTGGTATAAGGATTTTACAAGAGCCTATTTTTTTTTAAAAAGTTGGCAAACTATGACCTGTAGGCCAGATCAGGCCCCCAACCTATTTTTGTAAATAAAGTTTTATTGAAACATGGCCCTGTAAACATATCTGTGCCTGCTTCCACACTACAATGGCAGACTTGAGGAGCTGGGACAGAGAACATCTGGTCCACAAAGTTTAAATAGTTTCTCTTTGGCCATTTGCACAAAATTTTTGCTAACTTCTGCTATAAAAGGAGGCCTGAAACAACTGATACATGGGGGTCATGGAAGCCTGGAAAGAAGTGATATTTGGGATAGAGCTGAAGGATGAGTTGAATGTGGCTCCAAGCAGAGGGAATGATGCACAGGGAAGGGAAGCGTGGGAATGATGAGAAAGCCTGAAGGATGCCTGTGTGCTAAGGTCCTTGTACCTTCAATGAGATGAAGGAAGACAGGAATGGGAGTGGGACATCCAGCGATGAGACAAGGGTTGATTGTGTTTGCAATTTAGATGGGATGGAAATAAGAGATGGATTTAAGATATAATTGAGAAGAAATAGAACAGAGTTTTTGGATGACTGATATATGGCAGAGGAAGCCCAGGGAGATGGAAAAATCACAAACACATGGGCTACGGGGTGCTGCTGTCTTGTACTAAAGTGAGAAACATAGGTAGAAATAGGTGTGGTCTGACAAGTTCAGGTGGTAACTGTTGACTTTGGGGTATACCCATGAGATATTCAAAAAGGATGAGACATTCCAGTTGTGAGATAAATCAGTCCAGGTGAGGTAACATACAGCCTGGTGATTATAGTTGATGAAGCCATATAGTATGCTTGAAAGCTGCTAAGAGAGTAGGTCTTAAAAATACTCAGCACATGAAAAAAATTGTTTAATTATGTGTGGTGTTGGATGTTAACTAAACTTCCATGCTCATTATTTTACAAGATGTACACACGTCAAATCATTACATTGTACACCTAAAGTGAATATTACATTACAGGCCAATTATATCTCAACTTTTAAAAAGTATGGAATAAAAACAGAAGGGATGAGAAGTAAGAAGTAAGTAAGGGCATGCTATCTGAGATGGCATCAGAAATGTGAGAAGCGTCAACCTTTAGATTGGAAAGATGAGAAGTGAAGAGGTGGAGAAAACCCCAAGAAACCCTAACATCCTTCACAATCTACCCTTCCTGCTTCCTTTACACACAGCAGATATTCTCCTCAAAAAGCCCACATCCACCCTACTCTCTGGGAATAGGGGTGGAGGGGCTGAGAGTGTGGGGAAGGGTAAGGAAGAAGATGTAAATGTGGTCAAGAAGTAGGAGTAATTGGAGGAAGCTGAGCACAACTGTAGGAACTTGGAACTCCCTGGAATGAGAGGAAGGTGGCATACTGAGAGATTGTGGTCTGAGGGGAAGGAGACCTCAGCAAGGGAGATGCTTCTACAACTCAGCATCATAACAGAGAGACCCTGAGATGACTAGCTGCTCTGCAGTGTGGATCCTGAAGTGTTGAAAGAGAGGAAGGTGAACCAAGGTAGAAGTTAGTTTACAGGAGGAACATGTGAAGTCAGCTTAAGAATCAAACAAAAATCACTAACACCTCAAGATTAAGAAGAATATCATAGAAAAACTAAGAGTACTCTTGCCTAAGAAAATGCATTTCTGCAGTATCCCAGGTTTGGGAGAAATAGTCAGGACCTAGAGCTCCACCGTGCTACAGCACCACGGACAGTTCCAGCTGCTTTTCCTTATTATAATATTTGAATTGCTGTGAGAGTCTTGGGATCTAGGGAGCTCCTGAAGGACACTATGTGTGGGGGATCTTGTGTTGACTTTAGACAGTTGATGGTGTGATGTTAGGTGACTCGGTTTCTCTCAATAGTCTCAATAGGCCCCTTCCAGTTCTGAGAACCCATGCAAAATCTCTGTCAAATCTCTCAGATCCATTATTGATACTCCCATTGGTTATCCCTACCCCAACTTCCACTGTCCCCACCGCCTGTTTGCTTTAGGCTTCTCTAGGGAAGAATACAACCCTCCCTTCCAGTCTCTCTAAGTAATTTGGCTTCTCCAGGTCTCGTCTTCATGCCCGGGACTGTCCAGATGAAAGCTAAAGACATTCTCTACAGGCTCCAGCAGTCTAAGGCCAAGGCTATCGTGACTGGGGATGAAATGACACAAGCAGTGGACACAGTGGCACCTGACTGCCCTTCTCTAAAAATAAAACTACTAGTATCTGAGAAAAGGCAGGATGGGTGGCTGGACTTCAAGACACTGCTACGGTGAGCATCTGTATGTCCTAGCCTGGGGCCTCACCAAAGGTGGAAACTATAGCAAGCATGTATGTGCCAGTGTTTTGGAAATCCAAATATAACAGAGCAGAGTGTGAGTCTGTCAGGATGATTCAGGGAAGAAAAAAAAACCTAATATAAGAGCTTATTATCAAATCATTGCAAGGAATACATGGGGCTTGATCTGCAGGAACACTCTGAGGAGCACATAGAGTGCATCTCAGATTTACCCACTAAAGGAGAGACAATCATTGACACATCAGCCCCCGTTCCCTGCTGATGGAGGATTGACCTGGGGGAGACTGTCTACCCCATTCTTCTGGGCTGTACACACATGCATTCAGAGCAGGCTCAGGATCCCAGGCCATGGCAACAGAGAAGCCTTGGGACACACCCAAACTCCCTGGGTGCCACACTAGATGCAACATACTGTCAACACCAAGTGTGTTAAGACTCACCCAGAGCTATTAACTGCAATCATGGCTGGAAGAAAAGGTGATGCCAAGAATGTATCAGGCAAAATCCAAGAGAAGACTGGTATACTTAGTTTCTAAGCTCTACTTACCACTTTATGTATCCCTACACCAGATTCCTCAAAGATAGAGGATTCTGTCACCTTCCAACAGTCGATAGCAGGAAAGGCTAGAAGAACCAGTTGCCCTGTCACATGTCTGAAATCCTCTTACTAGAAACATATACCTTTGGAACCCCTAAGGGTTTTTTTTTTAAGATTTTTTAAAAATTTATTTATTATTTATACAAGCACTGGGTACAGTCAGAACCATGGGAGGGTGAGAGAATTCACCAGAGCCAGAGCAGGGAACAGAACAGGCAGACTGACCAAATACACTGCTGAGGGGAGCAGCAGACGGCAGGAGAGGTCTGTGCGCCATGTGGGACCCTCGCCGGCGGCTGGGGATAGAACCGGCACTGCAGAGGCTGTGGGCAGCTTCACAGCCCAGCACTCAACCACTGTGCCACCAGGGGAGGCCCAGGGTTTTCTTTTTTACTTAATGTCATGGTGTTTAAGATAATTGTCAGAGAAGTAGACAACTTCAATCAGCTTTGAGAGGCAACAAATCAGGACCCTGGAAGAGCTGTCTGAGAGCGGTGCAGATGCATCAAGGAAATAAAAGAGGTTGTACTGGGAAAACTCATAATAATTTAGCCCTTTTTGGTATTACACTAGGGTTCCCAGCAATTATTAACATAACATTTATTGAGTCCTTTCTTATTCCTTTCATATTACAGTCCATTTACTCAACAACTATGAGACAGATATTTTTGATCCCATTTTGCAGAATTGAGACTCTGAGAAGTTAAATAAATCATCCAAAGTTACAGAGATACTAAAATGCCAAACCTGGTGGTTTTCAAACCCAAGCCTGAATGGCTCAGAAACTATGGTCTTAGGCAGTCATGAGTCTCCCTTCTGGAGTGGGTTGGCTGATTTGCCCTTGCCTGCATGGGGGAGGGTGGTGGAGGGGGAGATCTGAGAAGGTGACAGTCTATGTCTCTATCAGAGGAGCATCTACCACTCACCACTGCGTGGAGACTGGTAGCCAAGAAGCAGCTGCCATCTACTTCACCAGCGGGACTACCGGCCTTCCCAAAATGGCGGAACATTCCCACTCAAGCTTGGGCCTCAAGGCTAAGATGGATGCCGGGTAAGAGAGCCCTTTCTCTTCCCAAAAAGCTATATTACCAGATCTTGAGGTGTTTCTTTGCTTAAATCTAGCTCTCCTGGGTTGTGATACCAACTGGTGCTTCTGAGAAAGACAGTTGGGAAGGAGAAAGAGGGTATGGCCTGGCGTGCTGGCTATCCAGTCATCTTAAATGAGACATTTCAGTTTCAGATAACAGGGTATCTCATAACCTCGTCAATACTTTGAGCCATGTGTCTATTAGACTGAATGACTCGTACAGGTTTATATGCATTATCCCCCAAACTCATCTCTATCTTGTCCTTTGGCATACTAGTAATGTGCTTTGATGTTGCCCAATTCCAAAATGGCATTTTTTGTCAGCAGAAAATTACTTCTCAAATTCATTGAAGCAGAAACTGGATTAATTAGATAAACTGAGAGCTCAGGATTTCTGGATTGCAGATTTCATAATTCAGAATTTTCTTTAAATCAGCTCCATCTGTGGAATCAACCTATTATGCCAACGTTGTCATATAATGACACCAAGAGATCTCTGGGTCTTTTTCAGAAGATCCTGTTTGCCAGGTTAATTTCATTATTAGAAATGGAAAAATACTTCAATGCCAAAAATATCTCAAAAACTGAAATGGCCCTGAAAACCAAATTATTTAATTGAAAATATTTAATAAAAGAGCTATGATAAAATGCTCTTTTTTTCTGGATAAATCTTTTTTATTCTAAAAGATAGGAAGATAAATCATTTAAATGTAACTAAAATATTGAATACCCCCCCCAAAAAATTTGGCCCTCATAGGCTATGACCTAATTTCCTTACATAGATAAAAGTATTAATCATCTTGAGAAAAAGGTATATATTATAATGGCTTCCATCTACAAAAAAAGTCTTCATCTCGAACCCAAATCATTTTTTGCTTTAAGAGGAGCCTAATCACCCCCCCCTTTTTTATTTTGGCTTAAAAAGGGAGAAAGAGAACTCTATCAACACCCTCACTGTGTTTAGGCAATTCTTGATACTTCAAGAAGACAAAAGACCTCCTCAGCCAAACTTGAACTTGACAAGGTCAATTATTAGAATGGTCTTTGAAACGTCTTTTGCTAGTAGACATTTCCTGGGTGGTTACCAGGAGTCAAAAACTGTACTAAGTTCTATTAAGAGCATGAGACTCAATTATCTGTTATGTCATGGAAATTTGGGTCACATCATCTGAATACTTGACCCCTCCTGTATGACTATAAAAACTCCAGGATGTGTATGTAGAACTTTCCATCCCCCTGCCTGCTTACCTTTGCACACACTTCTACAAAGACACACAAAGATTTACTGTGTACAGACATACACACTCATGCCCCACCTGGTTCCATCCTTGTGTCTCTTCTTTGTTCTCAGCATATGGACAGACCTGAAAACTTCTGACATAGTGTGGACCATCTCAGACACAGGTTGGATAATTAACATCTTGGTCTCATTTCTGGAATCTTGGACATCAGGAGCATGCACGTTCATTCATCTCTTGCCAAAGTTTGACCCACTGGTTATCATAAAAGTAAGAGAAGATCTGGTTTGTCCCAGATAGTCAGAATGAGCCTGGGTTTGGCACATTCTAATTAATTGCAATTTCTTTCAATTCATTTGCTATTTGCTAACCCTTGTCACATGAATGGACAGTGTTCAGTAAAAAAAGATGTTTCCTACTATGGAAGCCATAGTCCAGGGAAAGAGACAGACCCATATATGGAATTAAAAGATATATTCAGGAGATAGACATGATGGATCATTTGTACATTCAGCATGCTTAATGGACTTTCACCCTGATGTCAAGTATCAAATGATGGTGAACCTGGTATGAAAAGGAGAGCTGGGGTATTAGCGGTGATGCTGTGTGTGTGTGTGTGTGTGTGTGTGTACATATGTATGTGTATGAGCAGGTGTGTGCACTTGTCTACACCCACAAGGAATGCCATCATCTTAAGTGCACAGCCTGAAAATAGTTTACTTTTTAGCCACTCTATTACAGTTCAGAATGCTGTAACAAAATACCATAGACTAGGTGACTGAAGAAGCAGCCATTCATTTCTCACAGTTCTGAAGATTGGGAAGCTGACATCAAGGTTCCAGCATAGTGTTGTTCTGGTAAGAACTCTTTCCTCTAGTAAAAGGGCTGCCTTTTTGCTGTATCATTGGATGTGGACAGAGCTCTGTGTCTCTTCCTCTTCTTGTAAAGGAACGTATCCTCAGGCAACAAAGCAATGAGGAGATTCTCTTCAAGCAATTCTGTGTTTTAAACAGATTCTCAATTTGCCACCTTCCAAAATTTGAAGTGGCTTTTTTTAAGTGTCACAAATGAAAAATAAATACCAGCAACATGAAAACAGATGCAAAATTATTAAGCACATTAGGGAAATATAGAATGGTGATGTGTGTGTGGTGTATGTGTGTGTGTAGAGGGGGGAGATTAAGGAGAGTAAAGGGAAGGACAGCTAATTGCATGCTGAACTTCCTGTAAGGCAAGGCAATAAGGAAAATGAGATGATTTTCATAGTTTATACCAGTTCATCAAGACCATTCAGGGTAAGTAATTGCATGATGCTCTGATGTTAATCATTTTTTCTAGATGTTTTTGTAATAAATTCTGTACAAAGCAAAGCATGGGATGGTACAAGTAAGAAATGTTGATTCTGCTACTTGCTGATTGTCTTACCTTGGGCAGCTTACTTGATCCTGAGTCACAGTATTCTCATCTGTAAAATGGGGGTGATAATATAAACTCCATGAGGTTACTACGAGAGTGAAATGAAATAGTATAGGGACTCACAAGTCTTCAGCATTAGCTGTTTTTTAGTAGCACTACATCTGAATTATGCATAGGATCTTGTAATTTTCAAATTACTTTTGCACCTGAATTCTGTCCCAAGATATTTTTTTTTTAAAAATAGAGCTGTAGTGAATGTTATGAAGCTGTTCCCAGGAAGTTAAGTGACTTACCTAAGACCACACAGCAGATTTGCTGTAGAGACTGGTTTTCCTTTGGTGACTAGGAATTTATGTAAATCTAGAGGGCTGTTTATGGGAATAATTTGTTAAACAGGTAGGAACATTTAGCCAGGATTTGACAAAAATGCTCCAAATTAGTCCTGGATCTTTCTCTGTGGTGAGTGATAGACATTTCCCTGTCATTTTTGGTGTGAGGAGGCATAAGGATTGTAGAGCTCACTGGCCTGAAATTGACACAGCAAAAATAGCTAGGATTTAAATCCAGACCTCCCCAGCACCATAGCCCATACTGGTAACTACTGTGCACACCAGTGAGTCAGCAGCTGACTTGATGTCAATGTCTCTGCTATCTCTCCCTCCAGGTGCTGTCCAGCTACCCAATCAACAATCTGGTGGGTGCCCCCATCGTTTACAGGATGTTGCTACAGCAGAACCTTTCCAGGTGATAGGGCTTTGGGCAATGGTTAAGAGCCACTGGGTATGTTAACCTATCCTCTTGCATCCCCCACATACCCACAGGCTCCACTCTCTGATCATCTGAGCATGGGTTACCACCATGAAGTCAAAACCATCATCAAAGCACCCAGAATCCAGCTCCAGGTTTAAGCAGAGTCCAGGAGGCTACAAGGGACACTTATCTCTCTTCTCTCCTTCAGTTATAAGTTCCCACATCTACAGAACTGCTTCACTGGAGGAGAGGCCCTGCTTCCAGAAACTCTAGAGAGCTGGAAATCCCAAACAGGACTGGACATCCGAGAATTCTATGGTCAGACAGAAACGGTACCTGCTGGTAGGAGATCCATGGGCTGGAGGACCTTGTGGACTCCCCAAATCTCTGATAATAAAAACATGAGGCACCTTTTTATCAGTCACTTATAGTAAATATTTATTGAGCATCTGCTATGGGAAAGGTACTGGGTATTGAAAATTCAGCACAGACTAAAACAGGCAAAGTTGCTGCTTTTATGGAGATTGTAGTCTAGTGGGAATGGAGAGAAGAGATGTAAACTAATGAATATCTACATGGCAGATGGGGAAAAGTAAAGTGGGTGAAACGGACTGAGGTGGGTGAGTGGCTAGTATTTCAGATACAGTAGTCAGGAAAGACCTCTGCAATGGGGTGACATTTTAGCAGAGACCTGAGTTTATCAAACATGCCAGGCACTGTATTAAGCTGCTCAGTTAGAGTGAATCATGGGGAGCAGAACCCACTAAGCCCCCTCACCTCACCTGTTGAGATCTTTTCTTGGAACTCTTGGGATCCCATGAGCACAATGTGGATTCACATTGCTCTGTTGCATGATCCACTTATCAAAACAATTGAGGGATTACTTTTCCTCAACTCCTTTTCCCAGTGCCTCTTCTTTTTTTTTTTTTTTTGTAAATCTCAGGACTCCTTACTTCCTCCTCCCCACTTTAATTTTTTTTAAAGATTTATTTATTTATGCATACAAGAACTGGGGTACAGGCTGGAGGTGCTGGATGGGGGTGAGAGGATTCACCAGAAACAGAGTAGGAAACAGAACAGGCAGATGGACTGAAATACACTGCTGAGGGGAGTAGCAGGCGAGTCAGGAGAGGTCTGCCGCGCCAAGTGGGCAGCTCCTTGGCAGACCGGGTATCGAACTTGTGCTGCAGTGGCTGCGGACAGCCTCCCAGTGCTGTGCTTAAACCCTTGCGCCACCAGGAGGCCCTCCTCCCTACTCTTTTTTTTTTTAATTAATTTTTTTATTTTTTACATCATTGTTCATTTTTAAACAATATTTGCTTCTCCCCACCCCCTCAGGTGTAGTCCCCATAGAATTTCCTTCACCAGTGCACCCGTGCACCATCACCTCAGTCCCCTGTGCTCCTCCCTCCCTCCCTCTGATCCCTCTCCTGCCTCCTTCCCTGCAGGATGTCTCTGATTTATAATTGTTTTTGCTTTGTTGTGTTTTGCACTGTTGTTATTTTTGACTCTTTATGCTACATCCTTCTATGGTTAGCAGGACTCCTCTGGCAGAACACTTGCAGAGGGCTGGGAGCAGTGCTGTAGTGTGTAACTTGGCCAGCGTGGCTGAAGACAGTAGGGTTGTGGCACAGGCATCCAGCCAGTCAGAGGAGGCCATGTTTAGGGAATAGTCACCTGGCCTCTAGCATGTTCAGGAGGATTCATTTCAGGATTCAATCACAGAGGGTCCTGTTGAAGTAGGGCATTCAATCTCACACTGTTTAGTTTCTCTAAGGAGATTATAAGGTGGTTGCTAGTTCCCCTTCCCTGGGGAGTGGTCGGTCAGTTTGCCTTCCAAACGCTTTAGTGAAATCCCCAGAATGGGGAGTCTCAGTAAAGGGGAGCAAGGCAGGAAAAGGGGAGGGAAGCCACTGATCATGAGCAACTCCAGGATGTCAGGACGCGCTCTGCTGGATCTTTGTTTTCTGTGACTGAATGAACCCCCTAAAGTTTGCTCCTCTCTCTACTGCTTTCCACAGGGGCTCACTTGCAGAGTTTCCAAGACAATGAAGATCAAACCTGGCTCCCTGGGAACAGCAATTCCCCTTTATGATGTGCAGGTTTGTTAGGGGCACTTAAAAGGGAGGGAAACAAGGTAAAACACTAATATTTCTGGCAATGATTTATTGCATTGTTCATTAAGGAAACGTGACAGGGAGTAAGAATATTAGGATAATATTTGGGAAGGAGGGGGAGTAAAGCGGGAAGAAAGAAAGAAAAAGAGGGCAGAAGGAGGAAAAAGAGGAAAGAAAGAGAAAAGAAGAGTAGAAAATTATTTATAGTCTTATTATCCAGAGAAAGCTCTTTTGAATAGGTAGCAAATTAACTAGCTAGTTACATAAATATACATATTTTAAAAATAAAAATAAGGGTAAATCTTGGCATATCATTTTGTGACTTACTTTTATCATTGAACAATCTTGGGTGACCATCTTTCCCGGTCAATACCCATTTGTGGCTTTATTTATTTATTTATTTATTTATTTATTTATTTATTTATTTATACAAGCACTGGGTACAGTCAGAAGTGCGGGAGGGTGAGACGATTCACCAGAGCCAGAGCGGGGAACAGAACAGGCAGACTGACGAAGTACACTGCTGAGGGGAGCAGCGGGCGGCAGGAGAGGTCTGCGCGCCATGTGGGACCCTTGCCCAGCGGACAGGATGGAACCAGCACTGCAGAGACTGCGGGCAGCTTCACAGCCCAGCACTCAACCACTGCGCCACCGGGGAGGCCCTGTGGCACTATTTTTAATGATTATGTAGTAGTAGATAGTATGACTCCACCACTCTGTACCTTTTGTTGGTCAATAGATGATTTCCAAAATTTTCACTCGTAAAAACAACACTATAACGTGTATGTTATAGCTAAGATTTTGTTCCTTTCCCTTATTGTTCCTTTGGGTTATTTTATTCTTATTTATATAATTACATATTTTATATACTTACATAATTATTACTATATTCTCTTCGGGTTACATATTATCCTCTGGGTTAAATCTTAAGAAAAAGAATTTGTAATATGTAGTTATGGTTATGTGTATAGTTATATAGACCTAAAGTGTAACAAATTATATTCTGTTCCATGTTGTAATTGCCTGCTCTCTCACCCCTGATTCTGATAATCATTTATGAAGAGGTTTGGTTTTTGTGGTTTTTTGGTGACTTATTTAATCTTCATTATAATCTTGAGGGGGGAAAAAAACCCTGCTATTATCTCTATTTTAGAAATAAAGTCACTGAAATGTAAAATTTAAGTTGCTCAAAGAACTTAAGGTAGCAGCATCGTAATTTGAGTTTTGATTTGTCCGCTATCCGAATACTTGGGCCTCAAAGATTATGAGAGACTATATTCCTGAGCACTTAAAGCCAGAAGAATTTTCCCAAGGTCATCTGATCTAGTCTTAATAAAGGGCTTCATCTAAACTATTCCAGGCAGATGGGTTAGAGATTTCCATTTAAAGCTCTTGGCTCCTCTTGGTTTCTAGTTCTTGCTTTTAGTTACCACTTGAGCAAGAGGGTCTTTATTTTGGCAAGCTCAGCTTTTCCATGCTGATATTTAAGCCTTTTCTTGATATATGGACCATTACAGTCTGATTCTTCTTCCAGGTTGTAGATGATGAGGGCAATGTCCTGCCCCCTGGCACAGAAGGAAACTTGGGCATCAGGGTCAAACCCATCAGGCCTATAGGCATCTTCTCTGGCTATGTGGTAAGGAACGCCTCCTCCTCCATGTCGGTCCTCCTGGTGGGAAGACTTGGTTCTGAGTGGGATGAAGGATGAGAGATCATGGGTGGAATAAGTTGAGTAAAGGGAGGATCCAGTTCCTCTTGGGGGTGTGTTTGACTGGCTCGGGGTGGGCCCACCATATACAGTTGGTTATTCAGGTTGTAAAATGCACAACCTGCACATCTGTTCAAGGTAGCCTTGGGGCAGAGGATTTAGGCTTCTTAGACACAATGACCATGTTTCTTTGGTTACTAGGACAATCCTGAGAAGACAGCAGCTAACATTCGAGGAGATTTTTGGATCCTGGGAGATCGTGGAATCAAGGACCAAGATGGGTATTTCCACTTCATGGGACGGGCAGATGATATCATTAACTCTAGTGGGTGAGTTGGTTTCTGGGCTGGGGAGGGTGATCTGGACCTTTATTCTAGTTGGTTCTAGGTTTTGGGCTGGCCTAGAGGTGGAGGATTCAGTCTTCTCTGAAGGACGGTTCTTCTACAGATACCGGATTGGGCCCTCCGAGGTGGAGAATGCACTGATGGAGCACCCCGCTGTGGCTGAGACAGCTGTGATCAGCAGCCCAGACCCCATCCGAGGAGAGGTGATGGGGAGCAACAGCCTGGGTGTGCAGATTTGTTAGAAAATAGTATAACATGGTGGCTAAAAGGCATGGATTCTGGGGTTGGACATCTTGGTTCCAAATCTTGGCCCCAGGGCTTACTAGCTGTGCGATCTTGGGCAAGATATGTAATCTCTTGGCGCTTCCATTTCCCATCTGGAAGATGTGAGATTTTGTGATTGTTCAATGTATTAATGTTTGTAAAGCTTGGAATAAGGCCTGGCTCATAGCAAAACCATATAAAGTCTATTATTTTAGGACTGCAGGGATTCCCTCCTGCTGGTTGGCATTTGAATCAGAATCTGATCCCCGAACAGAAGAGGGGCTTAAGGCAAAGTATAGGGCTCCTGAGCTATGAGGTTTACAATGAGAACAAGGGGGAGAAGAAATAGAAACAGGCCCATATGGAGTCTAACAAGGATTGGTGTATGGTGGAGAGGCTGAGGGGTACAGAGGTGTAGGTTAGTGGCCAAGTGCATTTCTGCAGGGTGCATGTTGAGCAATTTCATACCTCCTGCAGGTATAGGGAAATAGCTGTGGAAGTCATAGGAACTGGGATCTAATGGGAATCCTCTAATGAAAAAAACCTACATGCCAAACATTGAGCTAAACTATGCTATATATGATTTCATATGCCAAATATTTCCTATTAAGGAAATAAAATGTCATACTATTAAGTATGACAATTGGATTTCCATTTTATAGATGTGTAAACTGTAGTTTGGAGAGAGGTTATCCAAATCATTTAGGTTTACAGTCTCTAGTCTTTACTTTTTTCTCTTTTAACTAGTTTCTCCCCATCACTCTCTGTTGTACACACAGCATGAGCTTCTAGCTTGGTTTCAATCTACAATCCTACCTATCCACACAATTAGACACTTGAGAGAGAGATAGAAGGTCGACCACACTTATCTTCAGTTTCACCCTTTCCGCTGCCCCAGGTATCTGGAGGTACAGCTGAGGGGGATTAGCAGGGACAAGGTCTTAACACTGGTTTTGCATTATCCAAGAGATGATGATACACTCTGATTCCTTCTCTCTTGATCCTCATCTTGGCTGCAGGTGGTGAAGGCATTTGTGGTTCTGACTCCACAATATCTGTCACACAACCAGGACCAGCTCATTAAGGAGCTGCAAGATCATGTGAAGTCAGTGACAGCCCCATACAAATACCCAAGGAAGGTAAGAGCTCTGGGAGCCCATGTTCCCTAAACATGGGGAAGGGCAGATGGATCTCCTTTTGTAATTCTTTTCTTCATCCTGAGGAGGTGGCCTCTAATTCCAAAGTTCTGCCTAACTGTGACCGTGAAAGTACAATGAGACAAATCATTAACTATCTAGATGCCTTTAAATTGGCCTCAGCCTTTAGCTCACACTAAATTGAGATGCGCTCATGGGAACAAGTTCTAGTCAATACCCAGACGATGTCCCCACTTTCTACACTGAGCTCTTCTTACATTATTCCAGATTCTCTCAGTTACAAGTGATAGAAATCCACTGAATAAAATTGAAATTTATTGCTCACACAATTGAACAGTCCAGGGGTGGACAAAGTCTTGGTCATAAGGGATGGTAGGTTATACTGTCTCTGCTATAACTCTTTGGCTCTGCCCTTGTAGTGTCAAAGAAATGCAGCCAGAGAAATATAAAAAACAAATGTGTGTGGTTGTGTTTCAATAAAATTTTATTACAAAATCAGGAGGTGGGCTGGGTTTGGCTCATAGGCCATAACTTGCTGTATTCAATCCCATTGTCCCAGAGCACTTTCTGGAACTTATTATAGCTCAGTGGCTGCCCTGAGTTTTTTATGGGGTTTACCAGAGTTAGTCTTCACTGAACTGAGCCCTCCAATGGTGAGCTTCTCCTCACCATACAGCAGTTCTCTGAAATATCCGGCCCCACTGGGGTCACAGTCAGTCCATTCTGCCCTGATTTTTCCCAACAGATGGAGTTTGTCTTGGACCTGCCCAAAACTATCACAGGTAAAATCCATCGGTCCGAGCTTCGAAACAGGGAGTGGAAGAGGTCTGGATGAGCCTGCGCCCAGCGAGACCTGCAGCGGGCCTTCCTCCGGATCCTGATCTTCTTCCATTTCCCTTTGGGTGATCTGCCTCCCACTGAGGATACGTGATTCTTTATGACAAGATATATGTCTGATTTGTTTTTTCTTTCCTGGTCATTAGCCCACAATCTTTTCATGGTAGATGTTGAAAGAAGAAAGGGAGGAAGGAAATGAGAGTGAGGAAAGGAAAGGGAATAGGAAAAACAGGAGAGGAAGTTAAGAGAAAGTTGAAAGCAAAAAGAACTGGAAAAGGAGAAACTGAGAAAGGAAAAAGGAAGGAGGGAGTCCACTTCTTTTCTTTATAAATAAAGTTTTATTGGAACAGAAACATGCACATTCATTTATATAGTCTCTGGCTGCTTTCATCCCTCCTTCTACCTAAGGAGGGAAGGAAAAGAGAAGAATTGGAGGGAGGGAGAGAAAAAGACAGGAGGAGGAGGAAGAAAGGAAGGGAGGGTGAAGAAGGAAAGAAAGGAACAAAGAAAGAGCTGGATAAAAGTAGCTAGAGAAATTCATAAAGGAAAATGTTGGAAGGCCGGTAGGATGGGGAAGAGGGAGGGAAGGACCTTATAATTACTCTCATAGATAGGCAGATTAACAGACAGTGACAGCGTCACAAAGAAAACTGGATCTTAGGAAGAAAATGACCGGCATGGCATTCCATCTCAGCCCTGGGACAAGACCTCCCTCCAGAGAAGCTTGTGTATGGGGTTGGGATGTTAGAGTCATCACCAAATGAACCTAAACCTTAGGGGGGCATCATGACAAGAGGAGGGGATCTCCATTTACTGAGTATTTGCCATGTTCCAGGCACTGTACTAGGCATTTCATAAATGCTATCTCATTTAATCTCTGTTTGGCACCTACAGACCTGACAGCATAGCTGTGAGAACAGTGTAAGTGCCTCAGAAAGGTGTCTCTTCCCCCATAGCTCATGTTTTTGGTGGAATCTACTCTTCCCAAAATCAAGTAATAAAATCATTTCTAAATCAAGACCCTGAGGCTTGTCTTTAAGGAAAACACAGATGGGGAGAGTGGTGTTGAAGAATAAACTACAGACTTAGTTCCTGGGGTGCCTGCGAACAGTCAGGGATTCAGGAGCTCGAGGGAGGTGAGGGCTTTGAGGGCTTCAGTAATGGAGGGTGAATCTTCAAGAAGGTTCTGGTGGGCTCTAGAAGGGAGTGAAGAATCTCTAAGTATCTATGACTTCTTCTTAAGAATGCTTAGTATGTTCAACCAAGCACTGAACTTATGTTCAACATCACTTGTAATCAGGGAAACACAAATCAAAACTACAATGAGATACCATATTATACCAGTGAGAATGGCACATATTAAAAAAACTAGCAACAACAAATGTTGGTGAGGTTGTGGAGAAAAAGGGACTCTCCTGCACTTCTGGCGTGAGTGCAAACTGGTCCAACCACTATGAGAGCTGTGTGGAGATTTCTTTGCCTACTAAAGATAGAGCTTCCATATGATCCAGCAACTCCACTCCTAGGTATTTACCCAAAGGACACAGAAACATCAATTCCAAAGGGCACCTGCACCTCTATGTTTATAGCAGCACCATTTACAATAGCTAAGCTTTGGAAACAGCCCAAATGCCCAAAAATAGATGACTGGATCAAGAAGATGTGGTACATATACACCATGGAATATGACTCAGCAATCAAAAAAGGTAAACTCATGCAATTTGCAGCAACATGGATGGAGCTGGAAGGGATCATGCTCAGCAAAATAAGCCAGAAAGAAAAAGAAGGAATTTAAAAAACCTAAATAAGGGACCAGGAAAAAGACTAATTGCAATAAAGTAAAAATCAAGATCAACAAGCAACCAGAGACACACAGAGTGTGTGTGTCCCCCCTCCAGAGTGGGGGGCAGGGGAAGGAGAAGAGGGATTAGGGTCAGAAAAAGGGGGTGGGAATTGTATGGGGAATATAACCAAATTGAAAATGCATACATTATGCAAAAATGAAAAATGATGTAAGTATTATATAAAATAAAATAATTTATAAAAAAATAAGCTATTTAACCTTAAAAAAAGAATGCTTAGCAATAATAACAAGGATAATAATAATATCAAGCACCTGCAAGTGTCACAAATGATGCCAAGCAAACAGGTACATTAATGTTCACCATCACCCATTGATTCAGGTACTATTATTTTTCTCATTTTACACAGGAGGAAATAAGACTTGGAGAGATTAGATGATAGTCCCCAAAGTCACACAGGTGGTAAATGATGCATCAATTTCAAGCACACACCTATTGCCTACAATGCCTATGACCTCCTGCAATTTGCTTGCCTTTTCATTTGGTCCTTGACAAAGTACTCTCACAGTCGTCTTTGAAACTACCCATAGAGTGTGGACATTGTGATGTATTCCTTCTGAAATCCACTAAAATACACCAGTGCTTTTACATGTGACCTAACAGAGACATGAAATCAAATAACAAATGCTAATCAAATAACAAAACTTTGTTTCTCTCAGTCTGGTTCTATCAATGTTTAAGTGGATATCATCTCATTACAGTTTCCAAGAATTACAAATCAAGCAGATTGTCTGTTCTGGCACATTCACTGCTCTCTTGATCCTATAGTGAGAATTCTTTGGGCCATAACTCCTTACTCGGTGGCCAGCCCAAGATCTCCTTACTTTCTCCAAGCTCAGAAATGACTGATAGTGGAAACTCATACTGTCAAGGGAAATCAATGACTTTACCCAAAGTACAGAATCTGCCCCTCCTGCCTCCACTCCAGCCTCTTCTCCACGTGGCTTGTGTAAAGCAATCACAATATTCAGCCAGTACCTTTCCCAGACATTTGTTTGCTGTGACTAAAATGAAATCACCAGCTCTTTCTTTTTCAGGATACCCCATTCTTCCTATCTTTGCTTAACAATGAAACCCCAGCAACCCCCAGAAGCAAAAATTAATGATTGTCTAGTCCCTATGGCCCAACATGGGCTGTGGAACATCATCACCATTCTGACACATTATTGTTGTTGTTGTTATAGGCTTAATCTAGATTCCCAGACTAACTAAGGGGGGTATGTGTGTGTGTGTGTGTGTGTGTGTGTGTGTGTATCTTGATGGCAAGATTGTTCCAGGCTTATACTCATATCTGTAACTAGAAGGAAGAATGTAATTTGGAGAAGGGAAGTTGCCTCACTTTCATCAATATTATTTCAACCTCAGGTTCCAGTTGTGGAATGACAAAGGGCTGGCCATTATATCATGACATGAGAGTTTGGACTTCATCTGGGAAGTAATGAACTCAGTCAATTATATATTTCTAAACAGTTAAACTTATACCTGAATAGTGAATGTATTAAAGAATAATTTGAGAAATGCTTTGAAGAATTCCTTCTTCTTGGAACTGGGTGACTAGTGACTAAGTAAGGTCGGTGGGTCGAGGAGGCACTGAAGGATAACATGACATTTTCTGTTAGGAAGGTGGCTAGAATACTGAGGTGAGAACATTGAATTCAGTTGTGGTCGTGCTAACGTAGGTGATCTCTGGAACACTGGGGGGCTGATGACGGATGCATAAATGTACTCCCGACTTATACATGAGGAGGTATGACCAGGAATGCCCCGGGGGCCAAGGACCAATGTATGACAAGGGACTGTGCTGCACCTCCCCCTGCAGTGACCTTTAGGGCTAACCGTCCCTAGGTCCAGCTGGGCAACCAGCGCGCGGGGGAAGAACAGCCTGAAGCAGAGGAAGTGCAGCGGAAGTTCCCTGAAAAGGCAGAAGCTTATCAAAAGAGAACGGACCACCAAGAACCACTACAAGAATGCTAAAAATCTTCTTTCTAGAACTACAAACTTTAATCCCTTATTTGTCTTTCTAAACTTCCTTCTTTCTTCTATAATGGTCATTGCTTGTTATGTAGATCACCTCCCTGATGGTGATAGACTGAGCCCATGAGCAAGCTAATTTCATTGACATTCATTCCTGTGCTTTTGGAAAACATATATATACTGGTCACAAACTTAAAGATAATTACACTCAGATTTTCACTCTTGAAGTGTGTCTGTTTGTCATTTCTTTCGCCGACGCCCTGACCACCCTGCACGCTTCTCTCAACCCTGAGGTGGCCTCATCGTCTACTGCTGTGCTGGTCCGCGGCAGGACTGCAGAAGTTGATCAGTGGAAAGCCTTGTTGATAAGATTAGAACCATGGCTGGGGATCTAGAACTTGATCTCAATTACAATACTGAGTCATCAAGCAGTGAGAAGTGCCTGGAAGGCAGACTCACATCCCTGACACTATAGACAACAGAGAACATTTTCTAGTTCCATCCCTCCCTTTTCTTTTTGTCCTCCTTCCTCTCACAACTGACGCTGTGTGATTATTCTATCAGTAAAAAGGCCAGGATCTTGCCTTCAGCAGCATCCTGCATCCTATTGCTTGCTCCACGATTCCTGTTTGTCAGGGCAGTGTTGTCAACACAACATTCTCTAAAGTCACTGCTTCTTCTGCTTGAGTAACAAGTTTTTTTGTACTTTGATCCTTTGGGTGTTTAATCTTTTGATTTACTGTGGCTAGTCAACTGGTCCTATCTACTTACTCTTCTCAAAATAAAGACCTTTTCTGAGTTGACATTCATTAAGACTAAATTGACTAGAAAGGGTATCCTGGCTTTCAGATGCCAGGTTTACCCCTTAGCTTTGTAAGGGTTGTTCTAGGTATCTCTAGCAATCTCTGTGGTGACTTTGAATGAGATATTTTTCTTCCAGGTTCAATGGAGATTGGGAGGGGAAAGGTGCTGGGGAAAAGTTGGGTCAGGACAATGGAGATCTCCCATCATCCAACCATACCCCCAAAATGGTTCTAGTGGAAAACTAACAGTACAAACTCATGAGACAATGGCTTACGTCATGCAACCTCACTATCAACCCAACATCTGCATGCCTGGCTAGGTGATTTGCAGACTTTACATCATGCCATCCTGTATCTTATTACTATTAATATGTCAGACATTTGCATGTCTGTGAAATTTTGGGGATACATTTTCACAGCTTCATTTAATCCTTTCAAAGATCACCTGCAACAAATCTTATTAACAAGTCCCCTCCACTTTGCAGATGAGAAAGTGAAGATTAAAAGGGGCAAATTGTTTGCCCCTGAGCTATCTTGTAAGTGGCTGAGCTCAGATTTAAACACAAGGCTCCGGGAACCCACAAGCCATGCATTTTGCTAGTATACCAAACTATTTCCCTTAGAATTCCAAATTAAAACAAATAGCAACATTTATTATGCCAAGAACTGTCTTGTGAAATTAAAGCTCTTTTGTAAGAACCCTCCACTGCACTGTTTCCTGGCCATGCAGTGTGAACTCAGCTTCCTCTTAAAGTCACAAAGCCCAACTGATTCAAACAACATATTAAAGCACTTCAAATGAGCTTTTCACAAATTATTTCATCGAATCCTAACAGTGATAAGAATAATGAGACAACCAAAGGAGAGCGTTGTCACGATTATCATTTCCATTTTACAAATAAGGAAACTAAAGTAAGAGAAAAAGGCAAAGGAAAGCCAAAGGCATGGTAGGAGGCAGACCTGAGGGCTAAGGCCAAATCTTTCTGCACACAGAGTGGAGGCTTAATTGTTGACACTTGATTGACATTTAATGAAAACACTGGAGGTAGAGGACTGGGAAAGGGAAGCAGATTTGCCACAGAGAACTAGTGAACTTGTTCATTCACACCCCAAGTGTAGGGTAAGGTAAAATGTCAGGCTTTTCTGCCCTCCCGCCATCAGGATAGATGATGGATCCTTGCGGTCCTGAATGCAGGCCTGAGGGCGGGCACCTGGAATAGGGTGTGGGCATAGGTAGATGGGATTCACCTGGGCTGAGACGGTGCTTTTTAAGGGCGGCGTCACAGGGACACTAGTAGAAGCTGAGAAGAGCAGGGGAAGCTGAAAGAGAAGCCGAGAGAGAAGCAGAGAAGCAGAAGCAGAGATCACCGGAGAGCCCAGATAGAGTGAGGATTTGCTGGGGGCTGGGAGGCCTGCCAGCCTCCCGGCCCCCCAGCACCCCTGCTTGCTGTGTACTGGGTAAATCCCACTAAAAGCCTGCAAAAAGCCACTGAGGACTCTGACTCCTCCTTTACCCAGTCTGCATGGGATCCTAGAAAACCTGCACTGTGGTCATTCCTGCCACTACACCAAGTCACCCTACGAGAAGGTGACTTCGATAGTTTATTTTTCTGTCTCGCCACGGAGGCTGTAATTCATTTTTTGCCCACTTGTAAATGAGTACCTCCTCCCCCTTCTGAATCATCCAGTTCCTACCACGGTCTCCACCCCGGCTGTGGGCTGGAGCCAAGTTCTGTTATGTGCACAATCCTGGAAACTTCTGATCAGAGAGAACTGAACATGCAAAGTCTCCTTTTCTAAGCCTATCCAACAGCAAGCCCAACTGTTTTCTAGACAGAACCAGGTAAGATGAAGAAGGTCAATGACATTTTATTTGGGGGGAAAGGTGTGTGTGTGTGTGTTGTTGTTGTTAGGCACAGAGTTGCAGCATATATACAAGTTTCTGGACTTAAAAGCTGAAGGCCAATGTTCAGTTCTGCAATAGCACTTACAGGTCAGTGGAACTTGGGTTAGCTATTTAACTTCTCTGATATTTCATCTCCTAAAATGCAAAATGAAGGTAGTGCTATTGAGTGAGGGGGATACATGTGACATATCTGGCTCAGTAGCTCACATGTAGAAGATAATCAATTTAATGCTGGGCAGTTTTGAATGTGGTGGGTCATGGAAGAAGGGTGCAGAAGGGAGTGAAAGAGTCCACTCTTTCACTTGATAAACACTTGAAAGAAAATTCCACTCTGAAGACATTGGTTCACATTCTGTGAAGTGATTTCCTTTTAAGAAAACTTTATTGAAAATATCTAACTGAGAGGTTTTGGTTTCAAATTTGCTGGGCTTTAGAGAGCACCTCAATATTTATTGAGCCCTCACTGTATGTAAAATGATGTTTGTAAATTATCTTTTCAAGTCCTTGTTGGCTACCAGGTGATAGGTATTATTAATGCATCCTCAAGTTCAGACACATAAACATTTATTGAGCCCTCACTGCATGTAAAGTGATTTTTGTACATTATCTTTCAAGTCCTTGTTGGATACCAGGTGATAGGTATTGTTACTGCATCCTCAAGTTCAGAGACATAAACAGTTACTAATATCACCCAGCTGATAGGCAGTGGAGCCAAACTCTTTAACTCCAGGATTCCCTACAACACATAAAGCATGTTGCCTCATAAAGTAGACTTTCACTCCTGTCTTGTGAAATTAAAGCTCTTTTGTAAGAATTCTCCACTGTACTGTTTCCTGGCCATGCAGTGTGAACTTAGCTTCCTCTCAAAGTCACAATGCAAAACTGATTTCAAACGACATATTAAAGCACTTCAAATGATTGTTGCTTAAAACTATTTCATAAGATGTCTTTAACCTATAAACTCCAAGAGAGCAGGAACTCTTATAGTCTAATTAATCTCTTTTGGTATCTAAATGCATATGGGGCACATGGTAGATCCACAATAAATAGCTGTTGAGTAAAATATATTTTTCTATAATTCAGAACTGTGCAGACATATTGGCTTCCTGTCTTCAGTTTTCATCTCCCAGTTTTCTTATTATGACAAAAAGAGAAGATTCTATGCTTTTCTTGGGTACTGATTATGTGTTTGATGTCATGAGGGTCCACTTATACATGGTTATATGTAAATGCATTTTCTCTTATGATTTTCTTAACATTTTCTTTTCTTTGCTTACTTTATTGTAAAAATATAAGATATAGCACACAAAATATGTGTTAATCAACTGTTTTTGTTATGAGTAAGACTTCTGGTCAACAGCAAGTTATTAAGAGTTAAGTTTTGGGGGGAGTCAAAAGTTACATGTGGAGTTTTGACTGTGTGGGGGTCAGCCTCCCTAACCTTCATGTTGTTTAAGGGTCAACTGTATTTATAAATATCATTATAGATATATTAATGATCTAGTTATCAATATAGTTCCAGATATAAGTGCAGATATAGATGAAGTTATGGTTATATATATAAATTTACAGGGATAAGCACTGGTACAATTACAAAGATTGGTATTTAGATATAGAAATACAGTCATAAAGACAGACGTGTAACTAGTGGGAGAAATGGACATATAGAGCTCTCTGAGTTTCAGCCTTCTTAGCACCCTGAGTTCAGGTTCTTATTCATCCGTGCAGAAGCTGGAACTTGTAGTGTCCATGCTTAAGAATTTATCCCCATTTCTACTCTTTACACTCTAGTTCCAGAGATCTTTTTTTTTTAAAGATTTTATTTTTTATTTATTTATGCAAGCACTGGGTACAGTCAGAAGCGCGGGAGGGTGAGAGAATTCACCAGAGCCAGAGCAGGGAGCAGAGCAGGCAGAAGGACCGAAGTACACTGCTGAGGGGAGCAGCGGGGCGGCAGGAGAGGTCTGGGCACCATGTGGGCCCCTCCTCCGGTGGCCGGGGAGCATCCGGGGATTGAACCTGTGCTGCAGAGGAGCAGCCGGGGACTGAACCTGTGCTGCAGAGGCTGTGGGCAGCTTCGCAACCCAGCGCTCAACTGCTGCGCCACCAGGGAGGCCCAGTAATTCCTTTCTTATTTAACTAAGAGGGGTGTGTTAGTATTTAGGGTTGCCATAACAAAGTACCACAGACCTGGGAGGGACTAGAATGACAGAAATTTATTCTCATCATTTTGGTGAGAAAGTTTAAGATCAAAGTGTTTGTAGGGTTGTTTCTCAGGTCTGGCTCCTTGGCCAGCAGATGACTGTCCTCATGACATTCTCTGTCAGCAAGTGTGTGTGTCCTAATCTCTTCTCAAAAGGACACCAGTCATGTTGGATTAGGACCCTTCTAGATGATCTCATTCTAACTTAATCACCTTGTTAAAGATCCTATCTCCACAGTCACCTTCCAAGGTAATAGGGCTTCAACATACAAATCTTAAGGGGACATATTTATCCCATACTAAATAAATTTAATAATTTATTAACTAATTAATTAGATTCCTCATTTCTCTCTCTTGTTTTGGTCTTTCATCATTTACTAAGGGGTTGTTTGCAATATCCTTGAGTATTTTAAGGACAATATTGAGGGCATTCATATGCTTGTATATAGAAAGCAGCAACTAAGTGATAGTCTTGCTTTAAATCAGCTTATGCCTTTGGAGGGAGGTAGGAAACAGCAGGTAATTCAGGTTTCCCAAACCAGCTACCAACCTTGCCTGGCAACCTTGAAGAAGTCCCTGTCTTTCTTGTGACCTAGGCCAGAAATTTTAAGCTCAAAAGTCCACAGGGACTTAATGGGTACAGTAAATAGAGAAGTAAATAGGTGTGACAAAACAGGGAGTGTCAGAACTCTCCACAATAATAAGGCAGATTATTCTCCGCTCCATCCAGTTGTTGCCAGGTTGAAATAAAAATCCAGTATTGCCAGACCTTTTATGTTACTCAAAGAAACCTTCAATTTCAGACTTTTCAATTAAATATCCCACAAATTTTATATGTTGGCAATTCGAATTTTCCTCCAAGGTTGAGAGCCACAGGGAATATGTCTGAGGGCAATTCTGGACTAATGGGCTTTGTAGGATCTTTCTTGTCCAAAAGTGCTCTAATAAAACAAAAGATGGTACTCTTGATTGACAGGCACTACAAAAGAAGGGGAGGGCCTCCCCTGGTGGTGCAGGCCTTGAGCGCAGCACTATGAAGCTGTCCGCAGCCTCTGCAGCACTGGTTCAATCCCGGCCAGCTGGCAAGGGTCCCACATGGCGAGCTGACCTCTGCTGTCTCTCCCACTGCTCCCCTCAGCAGTGTATTTCGTCAGTCTGCCTGTTCTGTTCCTCTGTCTTTAGTGGGTCCTCTCACCCTCCCGCGCATCTAGCCTGTACCCCGGTTCTTGTATAAATAAATAAATAAATAAATAAATAAATAAATAAATAAATCTTTTTAAAAAATAAAAAAAGAAGGGGAAACATGTGACCCCGGGAATCATGATGACAAAGAAACTCGAAGGGATGGGCTGTTCACATAACTTTCCTCTTTTCTGCAGATAGTAGCCTGCTGTGTCTTCAGCATGCCTCCCCTCCTGGTTGTACATCACAGTATCTGAATTCATTGGGGTTAGGTGATGGTAAAATCCTGAAGGAAATTGACTCAAGTTTTCTTGATTGATTCAGCTGTCAAACAATATTGTCTTATGTTGAAACTGAGGGGAGGTGACTCAATTGTCTGCAAGGATAAAGTATTTGAAACTCAAAGCTGTTTGCAGAGTAATTTTCTCCAGTCAACAGTCTCATGATCATGTGCTTGAATCTGAAAGCTATTTGCAAAGTAACTTTGCTCAAACATTCTCATGATTAGCTTAAACTATTGTTCACAATCAAACTTCAAGAAGAATCCTTGTAAATGAGGTTCTGCTCCCAAGTAGGGACACTTGTTGGGACCTAGAGAGGCAAAGAAGTTTTATATCATGTGTCAACTCTGATGGATTGTTTGTCCCAGCAAAGACCCCAAGGCTAACTCCAGGGCCAGTAGGGAAGATGCTATTATATAGCCTTGTTTGTCCTGAACATGGTGGTAGATACTTGTCATATACTTATGGTGTCAAGTGACAGAAACCCAATCTGTGGCAAAGAAAAAAGTGTTTGTTCATAAAATCCAGCCAGGACAGGATGTGAACAAGAGAGTGGGTAGAGATGAAAATGGACCTTGAGAACAATATAAATCAACAACCTGAATGCCTCTCAGATACTCTTTGCCCCTCATTTGCATGCCTCTGTAGATGGTTTTCTTTTCTCCTGTTGACTGACTATCTCCACGTGACAGGAACCATAACTCAAAATGCACATTTCAGGGTTTCAACCAGGGAATGACTGTCTTATGCAAGCATTGGTAACAAACAATCACACACACAAACACACACAATTTGAAGAGGGATCATGATTATTCCCGTTTGGATTTTAAAATCATGGAAATGACTATTAACCCTGGACCAATCAACTTTGGTTGGGTGGTGGGGGATCATGTAAAAACATGACAACTTCCATTAAAAACCAGACAGCTGGGTTTGTGGAAAGAGGGTTCTCCAGAGTAAGGACAGCATGGGGCACAAGGCTTTCAAAATGGTGGGTTTCCACAACAAAGGGATAGCAACATGGCTGCCATCCTGGGCTTAAATTGCAAGGATGAAGAGAAGACCCTCCTTGTGTACCAACCTTGTCTACTGGTGACAGACCCTCCCCATGATTTTTCTGCCTTGTGGTTTTGAAGCTCCTAGGAGAAGATATTCCCACCCAAATCAATTATGTCTTCCAAACTCCAGCGAGGCAAAACAAAGCTATAACCGTAGCAATTAACTGGGAATGTGCCTTCATTTTGTGGAGGAAATACATGATCAGTCTATAAGCCACGTCTTCCCATGACAGGTGGAGATCTGAGAATCCTGAGGAGTGCCCCACCATGCAGTGGCTGACGAGGTTCCGGGGCATCCACAAATCCTTCCATGGCTTTTATACTCAATACATGCGCTGCCAGTCTTTATCAGAAGTCGGAGCCCCAAGATGGAATGATTATGATAGACCCAAGGAATTTAACTTTGCAAATGATATAGTGGACTACTGGACTCAAATGGAAATGGTGAGAAGGCCTCCTGAGTGGGGCTGGGATGGGAGTGGGGAGACAGGGTGGTGAGAAAAGGAATGAGCCTCACTGGTCTTATCTTGTTCCTAGCAGCCCGGGGAGGCAAGAAACCAAGGGCAGCTTCTGCCTCAGCTTACTAGTGTCAGGGAGGGAGTTGATGTCTGGGGCTTCAATTCTCAACCTAGCCATTTCACCACGTCTCTGAGAGTTGATGGTGCCATCTGTGAAACAGAGATAATCTCACATAAAAAACAAGAAAGCAAGTGAAAGTGACTGGTACACAGTCAGTTACTCCATAATTGTGACCAAGTGCAAAAGTTCTAATCACAAGCTCAGCAAGTTGAATGGTAAGTCTAACTGGAATTCATCTCATCAAACTTGGGCTTGACTTCAGGTTACATTCGAGAGGAAGGGAACAAACTACCAGATTGCATACCTGAGTGTCTGACATATATAGCTAAGTTATGTCATCCATCCTCCTATGAGAGTGGTGAATCCAACTGCAATCTCCCCTGTCAGTGGGGGTTTTAAGGCATATCCAAAAGATCAGTTCCTGTGGTCTCTGGAGGTTACTTGTCTCTGCAGAAAATCCTAAGGGCTTGATTTGTTTTGGTTTTGTTTTTTCCCAAGAAAGGTAAGGTAGTGACACCAGGAATTTCAGTAGACATTGGGTGGTGTTCCTGTAACTAAGTCTCCACTAGTGATGTCAGTAGTGTAAAAATTCATCCAGCATTGTCTTTGTACATAAAAGAGCATTCACCTTAGATGGAGTCGATGAGTTGAATAATTATTAAATTCCCAGGAAGATGCATTCATGTACTAATATCTAAGACGTGTGTGTGTGTGTGTGTGTGTATACACATTTTTACCTTTTGTGGGAGTCCCCTTCCTAATTCCTTCTTTTTCCTTTCTCTGTATTTCTATAATAACTCCAAAGGGGGGTGGGAATGCCTGTATTATAGAGAGCATGTTTTTAATGCCACATCAAACAATTTGCATTTAAGACTTTGATTAGATGGGCACTTTTATTATCCCCATTTCCAGATGAGAAAACCAAAGTTCTAAGGGTTTAAATATTCTCAGAAATTACATAACTAATAAATGAAGAAGCAGGATTTGGTTCCAGACTGTCTGAATATATAACACATTATTTAACCCTGTCACAATCTGATGATGATAAAATAGCTGTCTCCAGGCTACAAACAGACTTTTTTTAGTGGAATAAGTTAAATTAGAAACCTGCTTTACAAGAACTGTGAACCTTGAAATTGCTGCTTTGAAAGACCCTCCAGCAGGCAGGCACTGCTGTCCACTCTGGCTCCTGGTCCTCATCTTATGACTAAAGCATCACCTGGAAACTGATCCATGGCTTAATCAAAACACAACTCAAATCATCAGGGTAACCGAATTTATTTTGATCCACATTTTAACGCATTTTACTTGTGAAATGTGAAATTTTATGTGAAATATTTTGCCTTTATTTAGTTGGCAAAGAATCCATTATAAAACAAAAGAAAGTGCTTTGTCAGTCAAACAACATAAACCAAGGGGAAGAATACAGTCTCTCATTCAGGTCACCAATGTAGAACTCTGAGTGGCCTTGAAAATCAAATCTTTTTTTACTCTAGGCTGCTAAGATATTACATTCAACTTGAATTGATTCCTGGAGCAACCTCCTAAACCTGTTCATAAAAGGTCATATTATGTCCACATTCATTTTTTCTACCTCTTTGATATGGCATTCATTCATTCAGCTGAGACTTAGCAAGTACCTAACATATAGCACTACTTTGAGAGACAAATATTCAATGTGTATTTAAACTACACTTCTATTCTCACCTGAGCTTCAAGTCATGTGATACCAGAAGCCCTCAAAGCAGCCCTCGCACAACCCAGAGCATTGCTAATAATGTCCACCCTTTCTTTTTATCCCAAGAGGAGCAGAAGCCAGAAATTGGGTGGCTTCTTCCTGACCATGCTGCACCACACCAAAAGAGAGGAGATAAGAATGAGCAAATACACCACAAAATTTCTTATAATTTTGAGTATGGATTTTTATTGTTTTGACACTTGTAGATTGCTGTGGGTACTTGGCTATTTTTAGAACTCCCACAAAGATATTTAATTAGTCTGTTCTTAATTTATTTGCTCTTTTGTGAGGGAATGAAAACCTAGAGTTTCTTGGTCTGCCTTCTTACTGATTTCATCTCTAGAGTTAGCTTAATTTAAAATGCAAATTCTCCCAGATGTTCAAGAATTAAATTAGCCTGCTTTAATTTTTGTAATAGTCATGGTAATTTTATTGAGCACTTACTATGTGCCAGGCACTGTCATATATACTTGACTATTAAGTTACTAAATAATTTAGTGAACTTTGACTCCTTCTAAGCAGTATTATTGTTCCCATCTCAGAGATGAAAAAACTGAGGCATATCCTCAGAAAGAAACCTACTGTCTATATGGAACGAAGAGAGACACATGGGAGAATGAATTTTAAGTCTTCCGTAGGTTACATGAAGTCTGTTCATGATTTCATGTGACTTGAGAGGAGGTGACTACAGTAGGTCAGAAGAACTTGACTAAATTACACCCATCCTCCAAATTCTCTTTTCTCTACATATACTTTAAAATAAGGTCCCAGTCCTTGAACTGTGCTTACAACAAAATATGACTTGGCAGAGCATTTGCAAAAAAAAAAAGTGCCTTTTCCTTTGAAACAAGAAGTAATATATTATGTATAATCTTCAACAGGAGGGCAAGAGAGGTCCAAACCCAGCCCTATGGTGGGTGAATAACCAAGGAGATGAAGTGAAATGGAGTTTCAGAGAGATAACAGACTTAAGCTGCCGTACAGCCAACATGTTGACACAGAACTGTGGCCTGCAACGCGGAGACCGCCTAGCCTTGATTCTGCCTCGGGTGCCTGAGTGGTGGTTGGTGAGCCTAGGCTGCATCCGATCAGGTCAGTGACTCAAACAGATCCTGGTAATCTCAGAGGTGGCCTAGCGCTAATTGGTCCTGAAGCATTAGGTGTTTTCTCTTGCCTAAATTTCTTTCTCCTATACAATCTTTCCCTTTATTGGACTCAAATTATATATAAGTGTACATGTACATATATGTAAAGCTATTTTTTATTGAATACTTGATAGGAACCTGCAGATAAGAACCTTCAAATCCATAAGAACATTTGAGGTAGGTACTATCACCCCCATTCTGTTTATTTATTTATATTTATTTATTATTGAGATAGCATTGATTTACAACACTGTATCTCTTCAGGACCTAGGCCTTTACCATAAGCCATTGGTCCTCCTCCTTCATTTGTTCCAACCTCCACCTTCCCTCTCTAGTAGCCTCAATTCTGCACTCATAATTCTGGTCTTTGTTTTGGTTTAGTTTTGTCAGGTCCTTTGTTTTGTTTCTCTATATCCACATCTGAGTGAAATCAGCTGGTACTTGTCTTTTTTCTGTCTAACTTATTTCATTTAGCATAATCCTCTCCAGTTTCAACCATGTTGTTCCAAATGGCAAGAATTCATCTTTTCTTTTAATAGTTAAGTAGTATTTCATGATGTATGTATATATATATAGCACATCCTCTTAATCAATGCTCTTTTGTTGGCGACTTAAATGATTTTCATAGCTTGGCTACTGTAAATAGTGCTACAATGAACATAGGAGTGTTTTGCCTTACTTTCCTGGCTCTGTGTATTTATTTTCTTATCTAATATTTGTGGATTATTTTACTTTGATTTTGATCAAAGGATTTTGACAAGGAGTGTTCTTGTCAACATTTATTGTAGGGGAATATCTAGTGTTTGCAAATTCCTTCAACTTTTTTTTTTAAGGATTTATTTTATTTATACAAGAGCCAAGGAACAGGCCAGATGCGTCGGAGGGTGAGAGGATTCACCAGAGACAAAGCAGGGAACAGAACAGGCAGACTGATGAAGTACACTGCTGAGAGGAGCAGTGGGCGAGACAGGAGAGGTCTGCTTGCCATGTGGGTTGCTCCGAGGCCGGCGGGGATTGGACTCGCACTGCAGAGGCTGCGGACAGCTTCACAGCGCTGCACTCAACCACCTGCACCACTAGGGAGGCCCAGATTCCTTCAACTTTTATTTGAGGTCTTTATTTTCCCCTTGTATTTGAAAGAGAGTCTTGCAATCTTGGTTGACAGTTTTTATCTTTGAGTATCTTTGAGTACATCATTCCATTCTCTCCTTGCCTTTATAGTTTCTGATGAGAAGTCTGATGTAAACTTGATGGGACTACATTAATATGTTACTTGTTTTTCCCCCTATACCTTCAATAGTCCTACTTCCTCTGTAATTCTTGCTAGTTTCACTACTGTGAGTCTTGGTATAGGTGTCATTGCACTTAGGTGTTCTTTCAGCTTCTTGGACTGGTATATTTAATTCCTTCCCCAGGTCTGGATAGTTTTCCTCTTTCATTTTTTTTCAATAGGTTCTCTATTCTCCTCTCTCTCTTCCTCTTCTGGGGTACCCATTATTCTTATATTGGCTTTCTTGATAGTGTCAGATATTTCTCAAATTGCCTCCTCCTTTTTTTTTTTAACATATTCTTTGTCTTTTTCCACTTGTGTCATTAGACCATTACTATTTTTAAGATCACTGATTTGATCCTCCATTTGATCTATTCTACTTTCATAGCTTTCTGTAGAGTACTTCCTCTCATTTATTAAACTCTTTACCTCCTGGATTTCTGTTATTTTCCTGTTAAAACTTTGATTTTTACCTTCTGTTCATTGATTTTATTTCTGAGCTCATTAATTTGTTTTTGGGAGCTTTGTTGTGTCTCTTTGATTAACTTTTTTTCCTTATATTTCTTTGACTTGTTTTTTCTGAGTTATCTTGTATTTCTTTGGCTTGCTTTTCTGATTTTTCTATCTCTGAGTTTATTAAAGCAGTTTATTATATAAGCTCTATCTAATAGGGAGATAGAATCTTCTATCTTTTCATGTTTGAATTCTGGAGAATTGTTCTCACTTTGTGATATCATACTCTCAATGTCTCATATTTGAATGTGTTATGTTGTTCTGTCTACCCATTTTGTTACTTAAAGTTTCCCTATGTTATCATTGTTTTAATATCTTTAGATTTGGGGGTTATTTAAGTCTTTGCTGGTTTCTATATGTACTAAGATCTTTTTTTGTAGCTGTTGAGTCAGTAGGGTGGGGAGAAACTTGGAGAGAGCCAGATGTTGATATGGATGAGTCAGGGTGGAACTGGCTCATATTTGTGGTACCTCCAATATCCTTCATCTCTAGGGTTTCGAATGAGAGACTCCATAGTCCCTGTGTTTTCTGTGTGCTTCCCAAAGTAAGTACCAGTCCCAGAGGGCAGGAAGGAGGAGTGCAGATTAGAAAACCTGCTCTGATATTTGTTGGGGACCCATCCTATATGGTGTACCCCAGCTCTTCCACAATGTTTCCCCTTTTTCATGGGAGTATGCCTCCATGCAACCTCCACTGCTCCCTGCCCAAGAATTCTGGTTGAATTGACAGCCTCACTACCAATGTTCCCTACTTCAGACCACAACCCAGAGCTTCCTTTTTCCATCTACCACCTGTTCAATATATCATGAATATCTTCAGTGTGAACCATGATTAAATCTCCACTAGGCCCTACTGTCCAAGGAATAATCAATCCTACTCCTATATGAGTGACTGTCTGTCCAAATAGTGTCCCTCTGGCTTGCTTCTCCAATGGCCACACTCTAGGAATTTGTTGTAGACATTGTAACACCTATAAATTCCAGCTCAACATCCATAAACATTGGAGCATACATCTAAGATCCAGGACATTCCCTTCACCTAACTATGATAGGGTTATCACACAAGAAGTCTAGTATTGATACAATGCAGATGCCTGAATACAACCATAGCCAAATTCCTCAATTGCCTCAATAATGTTCTTTATAGACTGTCTTTTTCCTTAAACCCAAAAATCCAAACTAGCATCATATGTTGCATTTACTTGCCATGTCTCCTCAGTTCTTTTAATCTGAAAGTATCCCCTAGCAGTTTCTGCATGACAGTTATTTGTAGGAGTTGTCTTTCTCAGTGCATCCCACCAGGAAGTATATGATGGTGGTTTGGTCCAATATGAGTTGTATTATTCTATCACTTTAATAAAGTGATATCCACCTTTGTAAAACTACCTTTCCCCTTTGCAATTAATAAGTAATCTGTGCTGAAACATATAATAAGACTATGTGAGTATCTTGCACCCCAATAGTTTTTTACCCTATTGTTTGGTTATTCTTGATGATTCATGACTGAATGGCATGGTTTTAAGGTGGTTGTATATGAGAATTTTCTATTTCTAGCACTCACTCTACATTTATTAGTTATCATTCTTCTGTGGAGAGTTCCCTTCCTCTTTCAGTTTATTTGTATAACTTAGAGCCAGAATGGGATTCATAGATTTATTACTCCAGTCCTTCTATTATGCATGCTCACACAACATTCTGTTATGCTCTTGTTATATGTATATTTATACATACTCTCCCTCTCTCCCATTCTTTCACAATACAATTGTTGATGCAGACATCAAAATCATATGGAATCAAGAAGTAACTGCAATGGCAGAGGGAGTATAGAGAAGCCATGTCATCTGTAGAGCTAAGAGATAATCCATAAGAAAGCTAAGACATGGGCTGAGCCCCCTAGGGTAAGCAGAATTAAAAATATGTAGAAGCAAAGAAAGCAAATTCTAAGACTGGCCATATCACATGCAAAGGCTTAGAGTCAGAAGAAGTTTGTATGAAGAATGGGTAATTTGAAGTAGAGAATAAAGTTGTGGGAGAGAAAGCTGGAGGTTGGACAGCCTTTCGATGTCAGCATGGGGAGTGTAGTGTTTTCTCGAAGAGAGGGCACAAGAATTAGTGAAGAGAAGACATGTGGAGGGAAATGTTAGTACTTTGTGGAACTTAAGCAAATAATAATATGGAGGATAGGTAGTAGGAAGGTTCAAGACACAGCATCCAGGAAATAGGTTAGAATCCAATGGGGCACAGAAAGACTTTGACTAAATGTTGGTGTTGGAAGATGGAAGAGAATGTAGGAAAGTTCAAAGGATAGTGTAACTAATTTTGGGTGTGAGGAATGAAGAGAAAGATTCAAGATGACAACAAATTGACTGTCTGAGAGAGACGTGAAGGGAGAAAGATGGAGGCAGGGCAGGGAGGCAGCCAGTTCCGAGTCAGAGACACTGTTCTGATGGCATAAAATAGGACCCACCTGCTTACTCGATAGGTCCATCGAGAATAGAAAAGGTTCTAGCAGTGTTTCAAAATTTAATACGCAGAAGGTTCACTTGGGGCTCTTGTTAAAATGCAGATTCTGATTCAGCAAGTTTGCAGTGGGCTGTGAGTCTGTGTCCCAGGTGCAGCTGGTGCTGTGAGTCTGTGGACCACATCTGAAAGCGGCTAGAGGATTTCTATGCAGATAAGTTGGGCTTGAAACTCATGTTTGTGAAAGAAAAAAAAAAAAAAAAAACAGTTCCTTCTCCTTCCCAGGAATCATCTTCATGCCAGGAACCACCCAGTTGAAGGCCAAGGACATTCTCTACCGACTACAAGTGTCTAAAGCCCAGAGTATCGTGACCACTGAAGCCCTTGCCCCTGAGGTGGACTCCGTGGCTTCTGAGTGCCCCAATCTGAAAACCAAGCTCCTGGTGTCCGATCATAGCCGTGAAGGGTGGCTGGACTTCCGCTCATTGATGAAGTGAGTTTCTAGTCTAATAAATGTGCTTTCTGAGAAATGTTGAGAGAAAGTTATTCACCCCAAAGTTCTTGGAAACAGACAGTCATGGTAGGCAGGTCCCCAGGTCAGACACCAGAAACCTCTTCCCAGATCTGACATTGATTTGCTGCCTGACCCTTGGCTCATTCCTTCCCCTCGGCTCATTCCTTCCCCTCTCTTGCTGTGACTGCTTTATCTTTAAAATAAGAAAATGGAATTGCTTCTCACTCACTAAAGTATAATCACCTCTGGATTGCACAAAGGAGATGTGGAAAAATCAGAGGGTTATTGTGTTGTATCTTCCTTTGGATGAGGGATTTGAAGTACTATTTTCATATAAAAACAAGTATGTGAAGAAGTTGAAAGAAAGTGAATTTTTTAAGGTGAAATGTGAGTCTGAGTCTCAGGTAGTTTGGGGAGCAAACACTTTCTGTGTCCCAGGTGCTGGGTGCCTTCAGGAATACCTTGCAGGTAATGTTAGGGAAGTAATGGACAGACGACAGGCCTCTTCTATCTCCAAAGTTCTGATTCAGAAAACCTTCAGGCATCTTTCATATCACACATCAATGTTGCTGGATTTGTTTTCTTGAAATTTCATTTCAGTTTTTAAACTTGTTTTACTCCAGCCCCATAGGCTAATATTACAGCAAAGTCACATCTTATGCTAGATTCTAAAATCAGAGAAAAAATGACCCCAAACGTCATGTTGTTTCTTTTGATGGGCAAATCAAAACTGTGACTTCTGTCCTTTGCACTATACCCTATTTTCAGATCAGCATCCCCTGAGCACACCTGTGTTAAGTCAAAGACTTCGGACCCAATGGTCATCTTCTTCACCAGCGGGACCACTGGCTACCCCAAGATGGCGAAACACAGCCATGGACTTGCTTTACGATCCTCCTTCCCTTCTAGGTAGGAAAGAGGAATCTAACTCAGAGGTTGGGCCACATTCTGGGACAAAGTGTGTGTGTGTGTGTGTGTGTGTGTGTGTACACGCGCGCACATGTGCATGTGTGCGTGGAGACCTGAATAGAACCAACTCCATTCTGTTTCTCCTTTCTGCTCTCTTTGGTTCATATTGCTAAGGGTCTAAGAGGTAAAAACTGGAACCCTGGAGGCATGACAGAGGCACTTTTGGGTGTGAAGGAAATGTGGGTGGAGTCAGCAAGCATAGACAAGCCACACAAAGCTCTTGTTGCTGTCAGTGATTCCAGGGTTTGGTGAAGGAAAGACAAAATGTTCTAGCAAAGTGACCCAAAGTGATAGAGCCTCTCTTCTCCCCCATCATAGGAAAATCAGATGTGGAGTTTCCCAATCACGTGCTGTTAGAAAAAGTGATTCTTGAAACCAAGTCACGCAAGCCACTACCCTAATCTAGCACAAAAAATCACAGAGGCCAAAACCTTGGGTTATCATTTAATCAATTTTAAACCAAACCTCTTCTTCACGCTCTCCCTCCCCCAAGTAGCAACATTCACACCAGGTCAATTTCCACATAGTTTGCAATTCGTTAACCAGATAAGTTTGCAGAGAAGGCTCTTTGTGGACAACAGGTATCTGCATTGATGATCATGGGTGTGGAGCCAAGTCCTCCATGATGGGGGTAGGAAGTAGAGGAGGGCTTTCCTGGCAGCCAAAAATAATACAAAGGAACAAAGATATGGAAAGTAGCATACAGAGATTGAGAATAGTTGGTATCTGGTGAGAGATAGAGACCCGGAGATGGGAAATGAGTGGAGCCCAGATCAGGTGTGTCTTGTGGACATTGGTGTAGAATTTGGAACAGATTAGAAAAACACGGGAGATTTTGAAAAGTTTTCAGCATAGAGAGGAGACTGATCACATTTGCATTTTGAAAAGATCACCTTGGAGGCAGGATGGAAGATGTGTGGGGTGATAGGGAGGAAAAGTCATTAGAAACAACAGTTAGAGGGTTTTAGAATAATTTGGTACAAGATGGCAGTTGCTTTAATGAGTGCCAGACACAAGAAGGGTGTTAGCACATTTGATATTTTAAGAGGTGCACAAGACCCACTGGGCTAGATGTCGGACAGAAGGTTAACTACCAGGTTTGAGGGTTAGGCAGTTTCACAGACAGTGTTGACAGGCACTGATCCAGAGTCCACAGGAATGAGTCCAAGAGGAGAGCAAGAGAGACCAGGCTCTGCTGGGCGTGAGGTGCCTGTGAGACATCCCACAAGAGATACCCAGCAGGTGCCTGGGTCCAATTACTAGCTAGAGAGATGGCCCTAGCTAGAAATTTCTGGTGGGTGTGCCATAATCCTCAGAAAAGGGATGAGAATATATGGGTGTCTCATCAAAACCCTCCCTACCAAGAAAATCTCCACAAAGCCTTAGCCTGCTAATGAAGAATTGTGATTTCTCAAGAAGTTATGCATCTAGAGATCCCTTGGAAACAGAAAGAGGAAGGTAGAGAAATAAAGTTCCACTCACTTCATGTTCCTTTGGCTTATGATTGTTTCCAGTCCTTTGCCAATATGAGGTATTAATTAGTTCTCTGTCTCTCTCCCTGTCTCTCTCAATTTCAAATGACAGAGAGCCCAATCTAAACCTCTTGAAGCCAAACACTGATTAAGGGAATTTATTGGATCATGAAAAGAGTTCTCCAGGATTTGCCTGGAGAGTCTCCAGATTAGGTTGTTATCTCTCCATCTATCAGCTCTGATACTGTTAGGTTTTGATCTTCTGAGAAAGCCTCATCCTTTATTATACAAAAATGACCACTGGCATCACTTGGGACTCTATCAGATTCAAATCCAGGGAAAGAACAACAGACGTTGACTCTGTGTTCCCTGTCAAAAGGTTCATTATGATCGAACCAGCTGATGTCACTCAAGACCAGGAACTATAGTTTTACAGTCTTGGGGGCCTGGGTGGGAACAGATCTTGAGCCCACACAAATCACATGAATGAGTGACAGGTGGATCACGACCCCAAACCCAGAGTCCCCCGCCTTGGATTACATCCTCCTGGGAGCACACAGTGAGGCTGTTGTATTTTGGAGTTAGCAGGAGATTACTGCAGCTGAAGACGTCTGATGTCTTCTGGTGTCTGTCAGACCCAGGCTGGATTCTGGCTGTTTTGGGGTGCTTGCTTGAACCATGGACACAGCAGGGTCTACACTCTTCATTCACCATCTGTCCAGTTTGAGCCCAAAGTCATTGTAGAGGTAAGAATTCAGTACCGTCCACCATCACAAACTCCCAGAAGAAACTCATGTTTCAAGATTAAAAACTGGGCTCATCATGGAAAGAAGATTTGACTTAGCAAAGGAGCCCATGAGCATAACCTAACACCAGCCTGGATTTCTCAAAGTGTGAAGCACAGAGTAATATGATCATTGCATTAGACTCACATCAGAGGCAACCTTGAAGAAGAGGCTTAGATTCCCCAGACCCATGCATTGAACTGTGTGGGTTCGAAACCCAGAATACACATTTTGAGAAATGAAAGCAAACCAGAGTAAGGTCATGTCTCCTGGATGCCAGGTCCCGGCTGTGCCAGTGTGTGGTTGGAGTATGACACATCATGTTTCTTAGTGCACTTTGGACATTTATTAGTGGTTTACTTGTGACCCTGAGCCTCAGTTTCCTTATCTGTGAAATGGGTGTTTCCATAATTACTATCTCACAAAATTGTTGGGAATAGTGATGAGGTGGCACAAGCTGGCACCGGGACCACACTCCCCAAGTAAGTGGCAGCAGTGGCTGTTGTCTTGTGGTGATAATGGGCTCCTTCCTTGCATGTCCCTGCCCCTGAAATTGCTTTTTTGCTTCCCCACTTGCTTCCTTCTCAGAGCTGCCCCCTCAAAATCTGAACCCCTGCTGATCCTTTCCTTCTCCTCCTGTGAGGAGTT